CTTCATTATATCCAAATATAAAGATACGCGATAGATTTACAAAATGTCCCGTCTTGATATCTCACTGTTCGGTTGGCTTCGGTTCGGTCGACGCTCTCGGATCGGCCCCACGTCTCTCCTCCGTTGAAGAGCTCCGGCCGAACTGTTCCGGATGACAAGACAGTATGATATCGGCGCTGTCAATCATATAAGACAATTTGATAGAAAACCACCGCAAGATAGATTAATTAACGAAATGGTGGATCCGCAGGACCAATTCTCACGATGACCTGTCCTTTCAGCAACCCGAGAAACCTTTTCGACGACCTCGCCACAGCCCGAGAAACACCAAGTATAGAATACAGCGAGAAACTCGGAGGCTATGTGATCTCTCGATACGACGACATAGTCTCAGTTTTAGACAACCCCGGTGTTTTCAGTTCAAGGCCCACTGTTCCCGATTTCCCTCCACAAGTCAAGCAAATCTTCGCAAATAAGGTCCCAGAAAGGGGGACTCTGCTCGCGTATGACAATCCTGACCATGATAGGCTGAGAAAGAGCGTAGCTTCATTCTTTGTGCCTAGAAGACTAGAGCGTTTTGAACCATTGTTGCGAGCCACAGCCCATGATCTGATAGATGGGTTTGTGGAAAAGGGTTGTGTCGATATCAAGAGCAACTTTGCACTCACGCTACCTTTGCGGACTATAGTTATTGTTGCTGGCCTTGAACCATCGCGATGGCAATGGATTGGAAGATGTCTCGCGCTGTTCGGTGGGATTACACAAACAAATGAGGAGTCGAGTATCGAGCAACGAGTTCAGGATGTATTGGATCTCCACGAATATGTCGCCGAAGTCATCGCAGAGCGCAAAACAGACCGAAGAGATGATCTGATCAGCCATATCTGGAATGAGCGAGATGCTGGAGTCGTGGAGATGACAGACTATGAGCATCTGAGCATGATTCCAGGACTTCTCTTAGCTGGACACGAAACAACCACCAACCTTCTCTCAATGGGGATATCGCATCTACTACACCACGGCCTATGGAACGCCGCCACGGAAGATAAAGAGGCTAGAAGGACTGCGATTGAAGAACTTCTTCGCTACGAGTCAGCCATCACAGGAATGGAACGCCTCGTTAAGGAAGAATCAAAGATCGGAGATCATATTGTCCAGCCTGGCCAGAAACTCTTTGTTGCATATAACTCTGGAAGTCGAGACAGCACAAAATTTGGCAACCCGGATAAAATTGACTTCAAAAGACAACATAAACACCAGCACCTTGGGTTTGGACGCGGTATTCATGCCTGTCTTGGTGCACCTTTTGCACGGCTTCTTTTACGAACCGAGCTTGCCGTGCTGAAAGAGAGACTACCAAACATGAGGCTCGAGACACCATATGAAGAAATTCAGTACTGCAGGGTTCATTCTGGTCGTGGGCCAGAAAGAGTTGAGATTGCATGGGATGTACCGTCTCTGGATGAGAAGCGCGTCAATGTTGGCCAAGCCACCGTCAACTCCGCGCTTCGGTCCTCTGCCAAGACGGAAGATTTGGAGATGGTCGTTGAAAATGTCGAAAATGTTACAGAGAGGATAGTTACCCTGACTCTACGTCCCAAAGACGGTGGGAAGGTACCAAAATGGTCTCCTGGATCGCACGTCGACGTCCAAGCTGGTACTATTGGCTATCGTCAATATTCCATCAGTTCAAAACCCTCTGACGACCAGCACATAAAAATAGCGGTACTTCGAGAGAATGACACTGGGGCTTCGAATTGGATCCACCAGAATGCTATCAAAGGGAGTCAGATGTTAATTCGGGGACCACGCAACCACTTCAGTCTCGAGTTTGGGTCCCGCAAGACCATCTTCGTTGCGGGTGGTATTGGAATTACTCCAATCATTCCGATGGCTGAGGCTGCGAAGCAAGCTGGCGTTGACTACTCCATTTTGTATCTCGGCCGATCGAAGAACAACCTTGCATTTGTGAACGGGTTGACAGAAGAGCATGGTGATCACTTCAAGCTTTGGGTCAGCCAAGACCAAGACGGTAAAAGATTTGACCTGAAATCCTTCCTAAAACAAGAAGATGTCAGCGATCTGCGCGTATACTGTTGCGGTCCAGAAGGCCTCCTCACAGGTGTCGAAGAAGCCCTGGCAGACGCACCACCAGGAGTTTTAAGGCTCGAACGCTTCGCTGCACATAATAATGGAAACACGAAACCAAATACTTCATTCAATGTAGTATTGGCCCGAAGCAACAAGGTTCTGCGAGTACCGGAAGACAAATCGGTTCTGGAGGTAATCAACGAAGCGGGCGCTGGAGTGCTGTCGACCTGTAGTACTGGAGTGTGTGGAACTTGTGAAGTGAGGGTTCTTGATGGTCTAGTCGATCATAGAGATGTAGTCTTAACGCATTCTGAAAAGGCGGAGGGGAAGAGTATGATGCCGTGCGTTTCAAGGTGTCTGGGGAAGAAGTTGACGTTAGATCTTTGGTGAAGACGGTTTCTGGGTAATGAAATTCTTGGTAATAAAGAGGACACGCAGTAACGCATGGAGATGGATAAGATTAAAATGTCACCAAGATTGAACAAAGGAGTGAGTGAGTCCAAGGCCCCCAAGCGCACGAAAGATGTGTACTAGTGACGATTCATCGAAAAGATGGTGACAGAGAGATTGCACGTCAGTCGGCGATGAAAAGTCTCCAAGGCTCAAACAACAGGAGTCGCCGTCGTGCAGGCCCTTTGTGCCATTATCGGTGAGATTTTATGGTCGTGCAGACAGTTTTTGGTCACACAAGAGCACAAAACGGGTTGTTCATAGCATCTCAATTTAGGCTCATTAGTTTTTCATAGAGCTATAGTCCATATTCGATTGTGCAAGCCCAAGTCTCCACACATATCAAGTCCTTAGTCAGTGGTGGTAGTACCCTTTCGAGCCTCCCTCTCAGCAACATATGCACGCCACTTCGGGTTCCAGATACAGACAGGAATGCCCAGCAAGAAGATACCACCAAACAATCCAGCCAAGACACCAAAGGCCCATTTATACCCGTGCTCCTCAATCATAGGAGTCAATCCATAGGTAACACCAAAAGAGATGATGTTCTTGGTGCCGACGACAGTGACGAGCGCAGGACCAGGATGCTTGGGAGCAGCCTCAGAAGCAAATGTTGTCGAGATGATGATGACAGCTGTGAATGAGTACTGGAAGATGGTCCAGCCGAGATACGGTCCCCACCACGTTGCACCACCGCCAGCTGTGAAGCCATAGAGGAGAAGCATGCCCACGCCGACAACAGCTGGAGGAGCCATGGTGATGAGGTGATGCTCAGGTTGGTGAATACCGCGGTTTCGACGAGCCATCCAGAGAACGAAGGGATTGGCGAGGAATGTGCAGTAGAGCATGCCCAGAACAGCTCCAACGACTCCGCCAACGTTGATCAAACCGATGTCCTTAGCTTCCCAGTGATAATACTGCATGAGAACTTGGTTGTATGTCAAGGACATGCCAACACCACAGCCAAGAGCGATCGAGGATGTGAGGACCGCGTATAAGATACCGGGTGATGAGAACGACGCGAGCATGTACTTCCAGCTCAGCAGAATGACACGCAACGGCTGAGAAGATGGCTTAGACCAAGGTCGGAGACGCTCAACGTATGCCTTGCGCTCAATATCCTGAGCAGGGTTTCCGGCATTAGGCGGCGTCAATCCCGATCGAGACATCTCCTCCAGATAGGCCTGAGCCTCAGAATCAGGGATGACCTTTGTGACTCCAAACTCATCAGTGATGACAAGCTGGCCATCAAGCGAGGCAGCAGGACGAGTAAACTGTGTCTCAAAGCCAAGCAAGAAAGCAATGATCAAACCGACCCCAACAGTGATGGTGAATACCCAGTAGTACCACCTCCAGCCGAGGTCAGCGTTGATGTATGACGATGCCAGGTTGAGAGAGGATGAAATAGCGTTTTGAACCATCCAGTAGAGACCGAAGATGAAGGCTCGTTCGTGGAGGAATGTCACTTCTGTGAGCATGAGAGGGAGAAGAGACTCGGAAGCGCCTGTTGCGATACCCTGAAGGATGCGTGAGACGAGATGGCCGTAGTAGCTGTTTTGAGTGGCTGCTGCGATGCTGGCGGCGAGAAGAACGACCACGGAGATGAGGAAGATGGGTCGACGGCCGTAAGCAAGCGACAGAGGCAGAATGATGTAGTTTCCTGACCTTGTTAGTGCCACAATAACAGAAAATATTCCAAGAACATACCAAGTCCAATAAACAAGGTCGGTAATGTAATGAGTAACACAACCTGATCCGAACTAAAGCCCTTGGGAATATACATCTCAAAGAAGACGTTCAAGATAGCTCCCAGACCCGAAGCAACTGAGAGTCCCATAACCGAGAACCAACAGCAACAAAAGACCAAGCCGTATTTCTCCCACGGTTTAAAATTTAAAGGATCATTAGGATCCGACGACGGCACGGGAATCTTTCGAATCTCGCCCTGCCTGTTAACAAGAAGAGCGTTTCCTTCAATGTGACCGCCATCGTGGGCTGTGTGTGCCTTTTTCTCGTCTTCGATGTGGTCTGCTGAAGCGATGGTTGCGAGATCTGGGAAATCTGACTTCTCGGCCATTCTGAAGTTGAAGTCGGTGCTGAGACTGGTTTAGAGGCCAAGATTGAGGCTCATTGAGGCTCTTTATGAAGTGGGAGGTTAAAGGGCTTGGCTAGTGTTTCTTACTAAATAAGTCCGTTGATCAGGGGTGTCTAGATGAGTCGTTCCCCCACACTCCCGTTCCGGGGAATCGGTTCGGAAACATATTTTTCGGTTCCTGAGCCGCGTTAGCGTGGGGTTTAAATACAGCATCACTTCATCGACGTGCGCGGTCCTGGTTCTTTGGCTATTAGATAGATTGTAACACACTCATCAAATTGCAACAAACTGGACTTGTTCCGGCTAGCATTCGATGCCCTTAACTCACTTCCTAACTGTCTTGAACCAAGAGTTGAGGTTGTGGACCGAGTGTGGCATCAGTTATGCCATCATAACTGGAACAGAATGATTATAGTCTTGGTTAGCAATCTATAGTTAACACGATCAAGATCTATGCTGTGAAGTTTATTTCCGGCGAATAAACTCAATTGCAGATTTTCGTATAAAACGAACCGAAGTCCGTTGGCAATAAATCCCTGTCCGTTGGTCGAGCCGACTCCTCCACATCCCCGATCTCACCCCGCATCCCCCATATTGCCCCGGATTTCAGTTTGTCAACATCTCAGCTAATGAAAACACCATCAAAGAGGCCCAATTATCTTTGCCCAAAGCTCAAACAACAGCAGTATACACGTGAATGCAGCCAGAGCTTCCGTGACTACTCTGCTGAGAGGCCAATCTTCGCCACGGCTATCGACGCGTCCGAGCATAGGCAAGCCAGTGACAAAGAATATCATGTATCCAAAAGTTCCTACTTTCATCATGCGATCTCTCTTGTCATAGAGAAATACTTCGGAGAGAAGAGGGCTTGCCATGAAGAATGTTTCGCCGAACGCAACGACGTATGAGAGAGCCAGCACCACAAAGATTCGTCCAATACATCCAGGTTGTAATCGACGAATAATCTTCCGCTCTGCAAACGACAAGAAAGTGAAGTAACTCATAAAGTATGCATGCGTGAGCGGATACAAGAACAAAGGAACTTCTCCGCCCGTTCTACCAGCAACAGCAGAGCTGAAATTCAATTTGTTGTTGAACATGTATCGCATGCCCATAAGATCGAAGAAGTAGTGAGAGATGAAGTATGATCCCATGAAGACTATGATCGATACCCATAGGTTGAGCTTCACCCAGTATCTGCGGTACCATGGACGACCACTGGGCTTTGATAAGAGTGCTGGAAGAAGTATCGAGGGCAAGGCAGCAGTGATAGAGAAGAGCATATAATCAACGTCGTTCCAGCTGTTAATTATGCCACTCAACATCACAAATGCCACGGCGGTGACCCAGAAGGGGCTTTGAGCTAGTATCAAACCCTCCGTCCATCTTTTGTCGGCTTCGAGATATTGAGCAGAGATTTGCTTCTTCTTTTTAGGAGATTTTGCCATGACTTGCTTACTATTTTGCATGTCTTTGATTTTCGCTTGAGGTGCAGAAGTATTATAAGAGCCGAGTTGAAGTTGAGAGAATGTCAGCTTTGGATTTAACCGCCAACTCTCGCTGAGCCAATCCGAAGGACTGTTTTTACCCGATATGACCTTACAGTCAGTGCCCAGGCTCGTCTGCTCACATGCCACGCTAATAACGTTATCGAGCACACCAACGCCATGAAGTTATTCCCATTGCTATTTGGCCATTCTGGTGAAGTTTAGTCTTGAAGGTTGACATGTTACATTTGCTTCAAGCTCATGTAACGTTATGTAATACCCATTGTTTCGACCAGGATCTATCGTCTTATATGATGACAAATCCGCCCAACAACACTTCATCCACACAATATATCGTTTCTCGATAACATAATGTTACTCATCAAATAAGGCTTTCAATTCTCTGCTTCTACTATGACCCCTTCCAACGGAATACCAGATACGTACATCACCCGATGGAACACTCACTCGACCCCTATCAATAGCAGGAGTCCCAGCTCTTCAACACGAACAAGAAAATACAACACTTCTTGTGACGGGTGTCGAAAGTCTCGCGTTAAATGCTCAGGAGGCGTTCCTTGCCGTCGGTGTGCGACTTCATCTATTTCATCAACATGTGTCTACAGCCTTTCTCAGCGTCGAGGGAAGAAAAGAGCATGCACAAACAATGTATCATCAGCATCGAACGAGTTCCCGTCATTAGAGATCACACCATCAGATTTTGACATAGGAGCATTCAGTCTGGAGATTTCATCAACCTCGATCGAGTCTCAAAACATAGACCCAGCCGTGAGTAGCCTGCAAGATTTAGCCGAGACCTGTTCCTGATAGAGATAGCTGTTTAATGACGTACTAGGGTTTGAGCAAACCCTTACAGACCAAGATGCAGGAGCCATCTCAGGAACTTCAGGCACTGCAAACTCTCCGTCCCTGACTGAGATTGTGAACGCTCTGGACTCTCCGCCTCCATCCTTTTGTCTCAAGCCCAAAGCAAAGTGTCCCAAAGCATGTTATGCCGACATACACGACATGAGCGGCAGCGTGGATGCTATAACGCAAAGTCCCGGGCAGACGCCACTCGATGAGATACTATCATTATTCCAGCGCATTTTCCACAAATCTGCACAATATCTCGCATGTCAGAATTGCGATACAGGCTGTCTTCGTCATATCAACCTCGTGATGCTTCATCAGCGACAAGTCAACCTTCTTTCCGAACTTGCTGAAGACCCAGGGGACTATCTCAGGAATTACTTGACACAAACTACCCTTGGAAGCTTTCAGACCTCAAAACCGGATGACATTGCGATAAAGCAGTTGATGGTTAGACATGCGACGAGAGATGTTAGAATCTCCGTGGACGCTGATCATAAAAGCGCGACAGGGTTTCAAGAGAGGTATATAGCGGGTACATTGGATTTGAGTGATACGGGCAAGCTTAATGTGAAGTGGCTGGTGGAGGTGTCGGAGAATCTTAGGAGGACGCTTGAATATGTAAGAGTTCTGCTAGAGAAGGATGATTGGGCCACGAAGCTCCTACATTCATAACACCTGGAAAAAGACAGGCAGGGGCTTGATATGCATTCATGTCATTCTTTGGTAATAGTTGGGCTAACCCAAGCGAATTCAGTCAGGGGAAAACCTTCGGGCAACGACCCCTTGTTCTACCAATTCTATGAGTACACTAATCAAAAGACATCTTGGACACCAAAATATCAGAAAGCCTCAAGAGACATTACTAATCAAACTGTACATCGTACTTCTTGCGCAGAGTCTCGCCATAGCGCCAAAACAGAAGAGGTGCGATCGATACTACGATGGCAATGAATCCAAGAAGTGAGTTTCCCTAATAGTTGTCAGTATCAAATGAGGTATATTCATGGCGAACTCACCCATCCATAACCAAGAGCAGAATACAGCGGTAGGCCAGCAATAGGGAGGCATCCGCCGACTATACTACGTATAACACTTGTCGCAGCCAGAGCGCTAGCCGCATAGGTTGTGAAGGCATCGATCATATATATCTGAGTGGGAAGCTACTATATGTCAGTCGTAAGTATAGGTCACGGTGAGACTACAGCTTACAAAAGAGAAGATCAAACCAGCACCAGAGAATCCCGTGAAGATTATAGGAACTATCCAGTGGACCTTATACTCTGCTGTCCAGCCATATACGAACAGCCCAATGGGGAGAAGCGGAATTCCAAGGACGATGGGAAGCAATCGATATCTGAAACACTTAGTGACGTTCGTTGTTTTCGAAGACATACTCACTCAGGCTTAGACTCTCCGTCTTTCTTGGTAAGATGGTCTTGAAGCCAGTCACTCAGCCAGGAGAGAACCACCAATGCAACGATACAGCCTACTCCTACTCCAAGGAAAGCAAGCCCAAGAACATCAATCTTAAACCCGTACTGCTCAGGAAAGATCGTTGAGAACGTGGTAAAGAGAAGATATAGGTAGCCATATATCAGTGCGAGATATAGAGAGAGACCAGTGACGATAGGACTACGGATCAACATTCTCATCGGCCTCATTAGCGCTCGAAATAGTACTTGTCCGACTTTCGGTGCTTCTTTATTAGGAGTCGGGTCGTCTGTGCCCTTGGCTCGTTTTCGCTGGATCGTGGGGTGGTGGGATTCGGTGAGGAAGAGAAATGTCGCGATCGTCATGAATCCCTTCTAAATGCAGAAACATTAGCACTGATTATGGGACATAAAATCGTACTCACAAATATGGCCATGATCCAGAACACCCATCTCCATCCGAGGTCCTTCGCAACGAAGCCACCTATTACAGGTCTATTGGACGGGTCAGTACCTCAATGTTCGGTAAGGAGAGTAAACTTACCCAATGACAGGACCTAAGAAGTAACCAGTGAAGAATATCGACATCACAAAACCTCTTTTCGACAGTTCAATCTGATCAGCAATACTTCCACCCCCGATATTCATAGGGCCAGCACCAAAGCTCCCAGCAATAAACCGAAAGACAATAAACGTTGCAATGTTCGGTGCAAGGGCACTGCCGATCGAAAAGCCAAGGGTGACAACATTAGAGATATTAAGAAGCAATCGACGACCGTAAAGTTCCGAAAGCGGTGACAGAAGTACAGGACCGAACGCGAAGCCTAGAACAAAGATTGATACGACGAGAGATGTCACGGGTGGTCGAGTTTCGTGGAAGTCTTCTTTCAGGAGAGGAACGCCTGGGACGATGACGGATGATTCCAAAGGACTAATATGAAACCGTGAGATGATAAGGATTTTTGATGTTGGAGAGGACTTACGTGATAAAACCCAAGATAGACACAATTCCCAAGTTCAATGATTTCCTCCACAGACTCCAATTTTGAGGATTATCAGGGTCTCGTTCCCAGGGGATCGGGAAGCCTGGTTGTTGCTTTTCAGCGTCTGATTCGGTCGACATTCTTTTGTACAAGAGGGAACTCAGACAAAAGACAGCAATACTGGCATCCTATATAATTTTAATCATTCCTCTCTATATAGTAAATAGAGCCGTCGCGTTTTGTACGAATTTCTAGACAAATCGAAATGTTGCCAAGCAAATCGTAGTTCGCTTTACGAAAATTGCCCGATTAGGAAATCCTGCCACCTCGCTCAGCGACGACCGGCTGAGTTTTTGCGGCTCATTCGGAGTTTAATAAGCTTGTCCAAACGCCAAAATGAGCTTTAGCCAGGGGAAATTAACTGCATATGTCATTCTTGACTTTCAATGTCGGGGAATATCACGATTTAACGTTGACGGTCGGAGATTATGTAACACTCCAACCTTGCTCAGCGATGCTGAGCCCATAATGGTATAAGTGGCTGAATAACACCGAACGAGCTCAATCGTCGAGATATACTATATAAAGCCTTTCACAGTGTACATACATGAAATCGTAACTTCAAACAAGACAGCAAAACACCACATAGCCTTTCATTCATATGTCAAACACCACAATGTCGGGAATTTATACCCAAGTTCAGCTCAGCGACGGAGTTAAACTCAATGTCTGCCTCCTCGGAGCTGAGAACAAGTCGAAGCCCTTGATAATCTCTCTTCATGGCGCTCCGGGGCTCTCGTCACACACCGGCATAAAAGAGGACTTCAAGTTTCTTGCAGACAGGTTCCGTGTTCTCGTGTATGATCTTCGAGGCAGTGGAGGCAGTGAGGTCAAGGGCCCTTTCACCGATGAGCAGTGGGTCTCGGATCTTGAAGAGCTCAGGTAAGTGACCGTTGAGCGTTTACCTCAAGAATCGTGGTTAACAGTCTTTACAGGGCTTGGGCGGGAGACGAAAAGTTTATCCTTGCTGGAGGATCGTACGGTGGCTTCCTTGCGCTGAACTACGCCCTCAACTACCCAAACCGTCTCCTGGCCTTGATCCTTCGTAACACCTGGACATGTGGCCCCCAGGGAACACACCGCGCACTGGCAAATATCCTCCTATCCCACCGCATTAATCCTGATCCCATGCGCCAAGTAAGACTCTGGACCGGCAACGTACGAGGCCAAGAAGACGCAGGACAAGGCATGGCCGAGATTGTCACCATCTACACCCCCGAGAGTAACCCGGCGCCTGAATCATTTGAAGGTGCAAGTACCGAACTTCGTTGGGAGGTTCACAACGCTGCGTTTTCGTGGTCACAGCCTCGTTTTGATGTGAGGTCCAGGTTGATTGAGATCAACGTTCCGACCTTGGTGGTTGTTGGAAGGCTTGACATTATTTGCCCCATTGAAGAGTCTGAGATGATCTGGAGGCATATCAAGGGTAGTGAGCTTGTTGTCTTTGAGAAGTCAGCTCATAATCCTGCTACTGATGAGCCAGAGAAGTATCGAGAGGTTCTCTCGGACTTCCTTGTAAGGCTTAAGTGTTGACTGTGTTGGTAGATCCGATATGTTGATGTTTTTGAGCTTGGAATTGCCATGGACATCAAATTTAGTATTTGTCTTTTGAACAATATAGACCCATGAACTATTAGTTCTGTCGAGACCGAGATCGATCTCCAGCGACGGAGATGGCATCTCACCTCTCGTATTATATCTATATTTTAGTAAAACTGAAGCACGTAGTATCGCTAGCTCTGCTTTGAATGGACAGCAAAACTGTCTTCCCAGCTGTACGGGTAGCCCGATGAAGCCTGGCACCAATTTTCGTCCGCCTTCGGTTGTAGTCACACATATACCTTCAATCGATGACAACTACTCAGCCGTCGAGATTCTACAGTAGATCTGCTTGAAGATGTGCAGCCCAATACTACTTGTCTTGTGTACCAATGCCTCGACTTGCAGCCTTTCAGCGCTATTTTTACTAACGCGCTCCATTCGAAGACCCCATCTTTTCATTACACTATGTCGACAAGCCAATTTCATCGATGCATAATGCAAGAGTATACAGCAAACTTCCACCCCCAGAATATCCATATTTCCTAGTGGTTTGGCAGAGTGTTGCGGTCACTGGCGGGTTGTGGGAGAGGTGATGCATATCTGTACGATAGGGGCTATCGGCATCAATCTACTACTTCAAGTCAACATTAGGTCAATCAACAGTAGGGCATGCTCGCAAAATCTTGTAGCTGGCAATGTTTATTATATTGTTAGCATTATTTGTATGTGCTAAGCTGGTGCCCGCCCCTCGCAACCTATAGACAACCACCAATAACTCATTCGTCCTCATCCTCATCATCACGCCAGAGTGGCTGAGGGAATACATCGCCATGCTTTAGAAACTCTCCGCATTTTTGTTGGATCGATCTCCTGGCTGAGTTGTGTATCGAGTTGGGTGAATGCTCCATCGTTTCCCGGTAAGAGTACATATCTGGCACTGTGGACGCTTCCGGAAAGTCAAGAACCCCTGAGAACTTGTTCAACGACTTCATGAGCCATTCTTCATCAAGACTCAAGTCGTATGTAGAGATTTATCTTATTCTAGCCTCCTTCACATGCTTTCCAAGTTCCGGATTCTCAGAAAGAGTCCTACAGAATAAGAACTCTGCTTTTGGATGAGTTTAGAAGTAGCCAAAATGATGATGCAGTACCTTCTGTGCGATATATCCCCATCTCTTGCAGATGAAGGAGAGATTGAAGATCGTCTGGCGACGTTCTTTGGCCGCAGGAGGAGGTGCTATCTCGCCTGTACAGCCTACGTCCGGCCAATCTTTATAAAGCTTTTGACAATGACATATGCTCTCGCAGATGAGAAATATAATCTCCCGTTGGAGGTTCTGTATCTGCATGTTGTTTGAACGATTGCTTTGCAATATATGATAATTGGCGGTTTTGTGAGTTTTAAGAGCTTGAGTCGAGCGAGGTTGTACCCGGGAGGAAATCGGGGCCTTTTATAGTCCAAAGATGAGCTGAATGACTGGAAGGTGCGAATAATTTCTCACAGCCAGCTACTATTTCTCATTCAAGGCTCTTCTCTTGTATCACTGTAATAGTGACCGCATTATCAGCATGTGCTGATTGTCGTCAGGAAGCACAGTCGGAGTGTGCCTCCTCTAGGAACTAGCAGTCAACCGATTGCCAGCGGTTTGTTTAGGTTGTGACTATCTTTTTTAAGCATTCTCAAATAAACTTGGTAGCATACTAGCTTTATTAAAAAGACCTACTCCATTTACAGGTTGGTAGGCTACCATCCGTTTGCTAAGTAATAACATCAATGACTCCTCTCTAAGTCTCACACTTGACAAATGACAATCAGGCGATTCGAGAGCAATTTATTTGTCTTTTATGAGGCTGAGCTGTTGTTGAAAGCTTTCATGGTATACTAATCCTACACGATATGTGCCACAGAGCCCTCCAAGGCTCCTTAAACCACCTCAGTATCAGAAGTCATAGACCAAGCTCACGTTTATCTCTCCCCTCTCAAGAAACAGAGCGCATTTCTGTCTTAATTTCTCACAAGAAGGATCCTCCGAGAGTACCGGCGGGTCTGGTGTCCCTTCCGGAGGAAAGCTTAGATGAACATTTATCTGGACAGTTTTCAGTATTTGATCCTCAGGGCTTTCGGGACAATTGGATAGAATGTATGTAGCGACTGAGGTAGATAGCCCCTTCATGTCTTCACGTTCAATTTCGAATGTTATGGTTGAGATTGCAGGGTGGAATACAGCTACCCAAGCCTGTTCATGTAGCATTAACTCGTTTTCTGTTCTCTCACAGATGGGTTCTGTTGCGATACGTAGCCGAGTAACATTTTCAAGGATTCTTGCCGCTGTAAAATGGCGTGCTTTTTATTGCGTCAGTACTGTCGCTTCTGTCAAAGTATCCTTCTTTTTGGTAAAGATTTCACAAATATCTTGAGCTGTGGCTGGGTTTGGTTCTTCTGTATGTCTTCGCATGTAGCTGGAAACTTTAAGGGGCCCCGTGGCAGACACCAAAAGTTGCAGTACTTTCCGGCCCAAACACACGTCTTTCAGATGAAGAGTAGGTATATTGTTGAGCTGTAAAGGACTCTTCATCGTTTGGCGAGTTGGGTTTCCAACTATCAGGATCTCAAAACCCTTGAATATTTGACAACAATCCACCACCAGCTGTATCTGAGAGATCGACTGGATCAGACAGAGGATGAGCGTCCTGATAGTGGGGCCCTTCTAACATGGTAACCTTGATGACATTACGAGGAAAAGTATTCAGATGACTGCTGGATGGTTTCTTGAATTGCTGCATCAGATGGTCGAGATTTTGAGTATCCATTTGAAGATCTTCGATACTTGGTACTTGAAGCAAGATGATTGGTATAATAAACGCTGACCACGCTCCGATGCTCAAAGTTGAAGGGCGTCGGGGGGAGGTTTAGAATGTCCGAGAATTTGTCTAAGGACTTGAGTAGCCAAAGCATCATCCTCCTGGTCGAGATCCCAATCCAGCTGAGGAACGTACTTCAGGTAAATCCGCTTGACAAAGCGACCTAGTTCTGGCTTTTCTCAAATGGTCCTGCAAAATCTGATATCGCTTCTCTCAGGAAGCCATTAGGATGGTAGAGCACTCGCTGTGCTATATTACTCCATCTTTTGCAGAGTGAACAAAGGTTTGAAAGCGTAATTTGTCTGCTCTTGCAATCGGGTGAGTCGATATGTCGGAACGTGGCATATGTTCTCGTGTCTATATAACAGTGTAGACAAAGGTCTTCACAAATTAGGTATATGAGCTCGGCAGGCAAGTCCTAGAGGTTCCTGTCGTTTGTTTTACAATGATGGGATATAAGATAGTGTCGGTGAGATGGATGATTTGTTTGACAAGATTGAGCTAGGAGAACTTGGTTGGGAGAAATTTCCGGCCTTTTATAGTCCAGGGATGAGGTGATTCACTGGAGATGCGAACAATCTGTCACAGGCGTGTATGCTGTTCTGATTCAAGGCTCGGTCTTATGCTACCAAGAAGGTACGCAGTGGATGCTTAGGGCATCTATCGGTCCTCGGTCAGTAAGCTTATTTACCATGGGCCACTACTGTGTCCAACAATTAGTCACCAAATGTCAGATTCGCCATTCAGCGAACTTGGGGGTTAGTGAATATGTACTCAGAATTTTGCTACCTCATTGCCGCTCCAGGAAGGTGATACAATGCTATAGTGTCACATCAATCTCTTTCTTAATCAGGGTCTGGTTTTGTTGACATTATCAAGTGAACAACATCTATCGTAAACATTGCCTGGAACGTCTGTGACCTTGTCTACTGATGCCTCCTGATCTGATAGTACTGAGATTCCCTTGCAATGTAGCACTGACGGTAGCTTGTAACAAACTGCAACTCCGAATCTTGGCACTCTGGACTTCGACCACATAGCTGACCCCTGTGTAGATACAGTTTTGTGTGTGCGTTTTTGTGTTGTATGCAGAGTTTCGGACCTAAGCTAGATGTCAGAACATTTCAGGGCATTGTCATAAATGCTCAACAAGCCATCTTGGACAAAAGCTTTTGCTAAACGCAAAGTTCCTGCTGGACTTACCCAGGTCTTTTGTTGCTTGTGATTGAGGGCTTGAGCTTTCCTACTTCTGTTTGTAAAGCTATAGTTCAACAAGTGGTACTGGTCCTTGGATATATTGATGGATGGGTAAGATCAGTCTGGATAATTATGAAGAAGGGGGACCTTGGGAGGACTCGCGACGAGACTTTAGAGGCTGGAAAAAACAAGCTTTGATATAAGATTAAATGTTGTTGATCTGGGTCTGCATGTGATTTTTTTTGAAACACTACCTATGTGACAAATTTTGTTCTTCGGCTCATAACTGTAGCATTTGATGTTATCCCCTGATTTGCCGATTACTGTTTGACTTTGCAAAATATCTGTCTCAGAGCACTGATGTGGCTTGTAAGAACTTTTTTACCCCTGGATCCATTCAGCTTGGGGGAACTCAAAAATCAAAATTGAGGATGTCTCGCCGCTGGGTCCACCGAACATGTATGTAAATAATTGAGGGAATTAATTTTGAGTATGTAAATACTTGCTGTTGAGAGCCTGGCATATGCTCTTACAATCAACGATGTTGAATATCTGAGAAACAGTAACAATCCCTATACGCCCGTGTAAAGCAAACGCCCATCCTTCCAAAAACACATCTATCCAGCTCATTTACAGTCTGGTCATCCTAGGGTATCACAACTTTTCACCTCCTGTCAAAAACATCCCGAACCTCAACAACGCCATCCATCCTTCCAAGGACCAGAACCTTAGCATCCTCATCAAAAGCCCCAGACATAACCATCTCCTCCGTAGCCTCATCGTACATAATCGTTCCCGTCGCAACATCCATTATGTCGAACCCATCTTCAGTTCTGCAGAGCATGTATCGGCAGTCGGGTGAGATCGCAAGGGGCCATCCCTCAACAGGGCGCACTGCGTTGAGGTTATAAGACGTCAAGTCGTTGGCAGAGGGGATCCAGATGTGAACGTTTGTTCCCCAGACTGAAACGATGCGTCGACCATCGGGGCTGACTGCTAGAGCGCGGGGGTTGCTTGAGCCGTCGATCTCGAGACGGCGAATTGTCTTGCAAGTCTTGGTGTTGGTGATGCGCAGCGTTCCGTCGCGTGAGATGGTGACGAGGCTCTGGTCGGGGAGGAAAGCAGCGTGAGTAACTGCGTCGATGTGGCTCAGAACCTTTCCGACTCGGACTCCGTTCTTCACATCCCAAACTCCAATGCGATTCCTCGCTTCACCGACTGCGATGAGTCTCCCATCACGGCTCCAAGCAATTGGCTCACCCTTAGCCTCCTTGAGTTCGCAAGCCGTCTTTCCACTAACATAGTCCCTCAGGAAGACAGTGCTAGAGTGGTGAAAGTCGAAGCCTCCTGTAAACTGAACGGTCCAGTCCCTAATAGTCGCCAACTTCGAGCCATTGGGTGAGAAGACAGCGCGTGAGCCACTTGTCTTGGAGTAGCCGCTCTGAGTCTTGATGTCAAAGACGTCGATCCAGGATTGAGAGGTTTGCGCAGCTGTGTAGATTGCGAAGACAGCTGAGGTTGAAGGGGAGATGCCTACTGAGGCGATCTCTGCCTTGCTACAGGAGCGGCTGAAGCGACGTGTGATGTCCATGAGTGATGTTTGGACTCTGGCACCTGAAGTCTGAGATCTTGATGGTGAAGATGAAGGAGATGCAGATGATTGTCCCCTGTGGTGTCGTTAGTCGTGAGCTCGAGGCTGAAAGGGGCTGGACTTACATGATGATGATGATGATGGACAGTCAATAGAGAGTGTAGAAATGTGGAGAAGGTACTAAAAGTTTTGTGAAAAATATTGATATGATTGTATTGTTTGTAGTATTGTTTTGTAGAGTGTAGTTTGAAGGTATCGCCAACTTCCAAAAAACCGGCGATCACCTTGATCTTTAAACAAACCGCGAAGCCCACCACGATGACTCCTCCCTGCATCTAAACACACCGAATCTTACAGATTGCTAATCACATCCCTCGATTTGGCGAGACTCAAAAGCGACTGCTAACAAAAGGCGTTAGAAAATTTCACATTATTCTCAGCATGTAGTGAAAAAGGCTGAAGACATACAGCGGTAGGGGTGAGTCACTAGTAACACCCGCCGGTCTCCGCTGGAGATACGCGGAGGAGAATTCGGCGTGGCAGAATTAGGGATAGCGCTGATGACATGGGTGCCGGCGTCGTTATTTTTGGACGTGAAGAGGGAATTGGAGGTTGTAAGAATGAGACTCAGCGGGTTCATGATAGCCCGCATCTTGGCATTGCATGCAATGACTCTGAAGATCAATTACTCTTACTAACAGCTAATCACTCCAATTGCCCGCTTGCAGCTCATCTTCACAGCTCTTGATCTTCATTGTGATGTGAAAAGGTGAGATGGAGACCCCCACAACCCCATGAGTTGCGATGCGGGGAGTATAAGTGAAAATGGTCTAGCCTTCTGAACCAAACACTCCAAAACCAGACTGCGCGATGGTCCATTAGAAAGCAGAAATGGAATCATTGATTATGAAATCATTGCTTTGTAAATACTCGCTATTCAGCTCATGAGCTAAAGTTACAATCGTGTCCGATCACGGAGACAGACAATGGATAGATTTCATCATATTCAATTCATCATTTCATTCAGGCATGATCACACTGATCATACCAGACTTATTCGTCATTTCGACCCATCAAGGTGTCTTTGATGCGCGCCAACAAGAGCATTCAGCTCCACCATTAACTCATTCATAACTCCCAATGCTACTCCCAACAAACTCCTTCTTTTTATTTTTGGCAATACCACTCGCTTAAGCACCGAATGCCTCCTCATAGTTGGTCATGCAAGATCGGTAGCGAACAGAGCTCGTCCTCAGAGCCTCCATAGCCTGCTGAAGACCCTCCTTGGAGATAGGAATCTCCTCAATCCACGACTTGATGCCCTTGTCAGCAGCGAGCTGCAACATCTCGAGCATCTCACGTCGGCTACCCAAGTGCGATGTTCCGATGTAGCAACCGTTGGTGATGAAGTCCTGGTTGCGGATGGAGATACCATCACCACCGGGAAGACCAACGGAGTTCCAGTGGCCGTGCACATCGAGAAGGCTCAGGTACTCACTGAGAGCGAATCCCTCGAAAGAAGTGGCGGTGTTGATGATGATGTCGAAGGACATCTTGTGGCCCTCGGTCCAGTCCTTCTCACCAGTGGCCAAGAAGCCATCGGCGCCCATCTTGCGGGCATCGGCCTCCTTGGCTCGTGAACGAGAGATGGCCCAGACTTCAGCGCCAAGGGCCTTGGCGAAGAGAACACCGTAGTGGCCAAGACCACCGATACCAACAATACCGACCTTCTTGCCGGGTCCGGCGCCGAGACGCTTCAGTGGGCTGTATACGGTGATACCGGCGCAGAGCATGGGAGCAGCTTGGGTGCTGGACAGGGCTTCGGGGATGGGGTAGACCCTACGAATTGTAAGTCAATGGGGTCGATTGGGTGGACAAGTGAACTCACCAGTACTCATGCACTCTGCTGTGAGAAGAATAACCACCCTGGGTCTTGAAACCAGTATCGAGGTAATCAGCGCCATAAGCGTCGATCTGGTGCTTACAGTAGGTCTCGTTGTCATTCTTGCACTGACGGCACTCAAGACACGACCAAACCTGGGCACCAGCACCGACACGGTCGCCGACCTTTGCGAGAGTGACCTTATCACCAACACGAAGAACCTTGCCAACAACCTCGTGGCCTACAGCGAGAGGATAAGGGCAACCGCCCCAGTCGCCGCTGATGGTGTGACGATCACTGGCGCAGACACCACAGCACTCGATCTTGATGTCGACATCGTACTCGCCAAAGGGACGGGGCTCAAACGAGTTCTTCTGGAAATCAGTCCAGTGCTCGGCGCTGGGGGACTGAAAGCCCTGGAACTTGTCGGGAACAGACATGATGATGATGAACGATACAAGGGTAGTGTGAGTATTGAGATGACGAGAAAGAGAGAGCAAAGCAATTGAGAACAAGTCAATTGGGGTTTCTCTTCCTTTATAAAGCTCATCTCATGACGACGAGCCGACCAAATACCCCCACTCGTCGAAACCACCTCAGAGCTCACCCCTCATCGCGTTGACTACTGTATCCGTTACGTGTGAGGGGCATTTTTTTCTACTACGACCCCTCCATCATGAAGGATCATCTGATTCGAGTAAGCGACGCGGTTTGGGGGGAGGAATTGAAGTGTCGCATTTCGAGATTGGGGGTTTCGGGACGCTATGCCCGAATTGCAGACAGGCGACATGCGATAGCCGATAGCCGATGTGGCCATGTCATTGGCTGAGGGGTCATCATGACTCTTGACATGAAGCTCGGATTATCGTGGGCCGGCGGAGTCTGAATTCCTCCACCAAGAATCGTGGGGGATGAGGTAGCATGAGAGGAGCTGCATTGGCGATCTGTGAGGAGTTGGCTCGCGATGTGTTTTATAGTTCCATTTGTCCTGATGGGGGTATCCTTTCATACGGCATCATATGTTCTAGACCTTGCTATATCATGTCTTGTCAAGGCGTAGTCAAGTTATATCCAAATCATTCCTCCTCATGACCACAAAATTCGGGTACTCCAAACCGAAATCTCGCATCCCCAAATACCGAACCTCGCTATAACCGTCCGAAAAGCTCACTGCTTCTTCCAATCCTTCTTCTTCAAAGCCCTCGACTCTCCCAGTCCAATACCCATCAAAAAGCTCAGTCTCATAGTCATCCCAAGATACACAAACGGCACATTCCCCCAATCACTAGCATTCCACGCCATGACATCCCAATAAATCCTCGGCCCAAGCTCACTCATCGAAAACAAGTGTCCCAGATCCGCAATAAGTAGTACAAGCAGGACCGTCCTCCAAACCCGCAAATCCGCTGTAGATCGCAGAACGAGCGCTTCGTTGAGCGCAAAGAAGAAGAACATATTGGCGAGCTGCGACATAGCTACAGATGTAGCCTTTGGTGTTTCTGCTGGTGCTGAAGATACGTGAAGGAGAGATAGGTAGGTGTCTTGGCGGAAGTGAGTGTAGAAAGCGCCGGTGAGGGCAGAGATGGGTTCAAGAATGAGGAAGAAGATGCGGTAGATGGGATGGATGCGGAAAGCCACTTGGGCAGACCTTGGAGTTGGAGTGGCCATGATGAAGGTGAGTTGATGCGATCACGGAAGGTGAATTGTGTCTCTGATATGTTGCTACGTGGTGATAATGAACAAGCTCTCAAAAACTTCAGTATGGATCCTTGACACGGGAAAAACTTGATCCACTGTCTTCCCCACGACAGCCCTGCAGCATTAAGCTTTGGAAGGGCTGCATCCTGAGACAAAGGTGAAGATTGCTGGAATTGAGATGCAATATTGGATATTTTAGCATGAGACCTACCGATCCCAACAATTTGCGACTTATAGCACTTGTCTTCGAAGGCCGTTCTTGAACCAGGGTGTTCCGTAGGGTAGCCATGACGTCCAGACTCAGGACACTTCGACCAAATTGTCGAGGTCTAGACCTTCAAGACTTAAAGCTTCAGGCTGAAGTCAATTCGAGCTTACAGAAATCCAGATCAACCCATATGGAGAATTTCCCAGCCGTGGCTGACTGGTTCCAAGGAACCGGTATCGGACTGTCCGGTTCACCAATTGTAAGCCAAACCCAAGTTCTTCTCAGCGACTTGTCGATCCCTTCCTCAACTCAGTCAGATTTTTCGTTCTACGGGTTTCAGGGACTGATGTACGCAAATCTTTTTGCAAACAGTTTCGGGCTGTGAACCGTCCACTCACAAAGGGGAAATGCTGTTACTGTTCGGAGTAACAAAACGGCAGAATAAGGGTCTTCAGCCCCTGTGGATGAGATCAGTCAGTGAGCCCAGCTAAATCCGGGGTTGCTTTGGGGGATTAGCTTGTTTGGGGTGTTGATCCAGACCCCTGGATGACCTGGGCGCATTGAGTGTTGCACTGCGTGGGTTCTCGAAGTAACGCTGTTGTTGTGGTGAATCAATGTTGCACAGCCATTGGCCGTTAGAGGTCTCGTCAATAGGGATTAACGGCCTTGATATGAAGGCCCAACATTGCTGCTACGTTATAATCACAGTTATTGCGGCATCGTTGCATCAGTCAGTGCCTGCAAATTTCTCTACTGAAAAGATTCAGCCCCGGAAATAAGAATACGGAAAGTTTGCATCGCCACTATTAAGTGTCTTTGGCCCCGTTTGGTAGGGTTGGCTGAGGAGTGGCTTGATGGAGGGGCGGCTAGCGACAGGTGCTACTGCTACCGTATTCAGGGGACCTCACCGCTACAGATTAAAAAAGCAAAGAGTTTTACGGAGTACCGTCATAATCTTTAGCCTCGTCAACAAGTAACTTCTTTCTTCAACTACGTTGTATGAGCTTGTTCAGACCGGACCGAGGAAGTGAATCGCGGGCTCCGAGAAAACTGGAACCATACGATCCACCTCCGCTCGATAAATCAAGAATCGTTGTCCTTCCCGCATTCCAAGACTCCTTCTGGGGCAGCGCTAGCTCACAAGTGCATGTCATCGTGTACTGTAGATGGCGTTAAGCATGACTTGGGACCAGTCGCCTTACATCACCGCCAAGGGTCGTTCAGTATCGTGACTCGGCCTATGGAGCACTAGCTTTTGTTAAGAGATACTTTTGATCTCTTCCCTTTTCTAGACGACACCCTCTCCTTCTTTTATTCCCCTGATCACCGTTCTTCTGACTCGTCTTGTTGTGCTGTGCTGTACAGTACATCCTGTGAAAACCTAATCAGGGACCCCCTGTTTTCCAGATCCCTTCAGTGGCAGTTCAGTTTGCCCTTTAAATTCAAGCCCCCCCTGTCTTCCGCCGACTTTACCGGGATTGCTAATCGCAACGGTTTTTTCTGAAGAAGCCTGCTCTTCCTCCCTCACATCCATCTTCCATTCCTTTTTTACTCCTTTTCTGTTGTTCTTTTCTGCTTTTCTGTTGGGATCAGCACAGAGCGTATAACGAGTACTAAAATACCCTCTGAAACCTCCGTCCTTTTTTTCTTTTTGAATTGTTTGCTTCGTGTACCGTTGCCACCCAACACCGAACGACCAACGACAGGAACGGGCCCAAATCAAGGTTCCGCGAAACTTAAAGAAGGCCTGAGACCGCCTCTGCGACCAGGCCATACCGACCGCCCGATCGTAAACAACAACGACAGAGGTCAAACCCTACGACGAGCGCATTCATTTAGCTCGTTGCTCCTCACTGCTCGACTATCCGGTCAACTCGACATTCCTTCACATTCATCGTCGTTCGATTATTTGCATTTCCAGCTCTGATAGTTCCAGCACAGCCCGCTTTGATACACGTTCCTTTCTCTAGTTCGACAGTTTTGCTACCACCTCGATTATGACCAAGCGCATTTTCCCCATCAACGACTGGGCTCCTGCTCAAGAGGTCATGATGGAATCTCCCTCCGAATCTTCGTCCTTGGGCGTCTCGACGCCTGCCCAGACCGCGAACACCACTCTCCGCCCTGAAGCAGTCGCCATGCACACAGCTGCCCCCCCTCGAAACCGCAGCATGAGCCTTTCTATGCCCTGGCGACGACCTAAATCATTTGCTTTTGGTCATGACCATTCTCATTCGCAGCATCTTTCTCGGCATTTTAACGATCTCGCTGTTGACGATACCGAAGACGAGTTCCACGAACTGAACAGCGCCCATCACGAGACCCAGCACCAACACCACTTCCACACTCCAGGTGCCAAGCAGATCAAAGGCATGTTTCGCCGCGCTTCACTCTCGATCAATCGAATGGTTCATCGACGACCTTCGATTGCTGAAGATGTCGAACAACCCGAAACTGGTAGACCTACTACTTCATACAACAATGCGCACTCGACTTGGAGCCGTCTTCGACAAGCAACTGTTCGTCGTTCACGATCAATCTATGGATTCGACCTGAAGCATGACCAAAACGCCTACAACTATGAGAACTCTTCACATCTCCCGATTCCCGGTTTCCGTGGCGAGCCACCCGTCATTCCCAGCAACTCTGGAGCTGCTGCTAAGGCCTCAGCTGCTATGCAGAATGAATACCTCGCCCGTCAAGGCCTCTATAACATGTGGTTGAATCCTAGCACCAACGACGAGAGCAACGATCGTGAGAGCGGAATCGGAATTACAGTGACACTTCCTGGAGTCGAGAGTGAGACTGAGATAGAGCAAAATGCTGCTATTAGCACGATCGACTTTATCTCCAGACTTCCTGCAGAGCTCGCTATTCATGTCCTCGCAAACCTCGACGCTTCAGCACTCACCAAGGCCAGCGTGGTTTGCAAGAACTGGAACAAGATAGTTAGTAACCAGCACATCTGGCGTGAGTCTTGTCTTCGCGAGACTACTGCCACTTATGCTACAAGTGAGCCCGTTGCGCCTGGAAGTGGTCTTGGAGTTCCTGCTATTTCACCGGCGAATGACTGGAAGGACATTTACCGTGTCAAGCAGGAGTTGAGCCAGCGATGGAAGACTGGCAAGGCCAGACCTGTCTACCTGAATGGACACAAGGATAGCATCTACTGCCTTCAGTTCGACGAGTAAGTTATTCGGTCCTTTTACAAGTGATTTACTAACCTGAGAAGGCACAAAATCATTACTGGTTCCCGCGACAAGACGATTCGGGTTTGGGATATGCATACCCTTGAATGCACCCTCATTATTGGACCACCCGAGGTCATCGCCGAACCCGACATGCTCATTGACGAGGATGGCAACCCTACTCATTTCGCTTCAGGATCCTCCGACAACGAGAGGTCAAACTTCTCTATGCCTCGCAGTACATCATTCCCTACACATCACATGGCCTCTATTCTGTGCCTGCAGTATGACGACGAGATCCTGGTCACTGGATCTTCCGACTCTACCTGCATCGTTTACGACGTACGCGCAGGATACCGTCCTATTCGCCGACTCCGACACCACACCGCAGCTGTTCTCGATCTTGCCTTTGACGACAAGCATATCGTCACATGCAGCAAGGACTTCAGCATCTGTGTCTGGGATCGCCACACCGGCGACTTGATCAAGCAGCTTCGGGGACACAGCGGACCTGTTAACGCAGTACAGATGCGGGGCAACACCATCGTGTCTTGTTCGGGAGATTTCCGCGTCAAGTTGTGGAACATTGAAACAGGCAAAAATATTCGTGAGTTCACGGGGCACACCAAGGGGCTTGCTTGCTCCCAATTCTCCGAAGATGGCCGATACATTGCATCTGCTGGTAACGACAAAGTTATCCGCATCTGGGATGCCAACACTGGCGAGTGTCTCCGTGAGATGCGCGCCCACGAGAACCTGGTTCGCAGTCTGCACATAGATAGTGTGAGCGGCCGACTGGTCTCTGGAAGCTACGACACCGACATCAAGGTGTGGGATATGGAGACTGGACACCAGCTGCTCGACTTTCCCAAGTGGCACGCAAGCTGGGTTTTGAGTGCGAAGAGTGATTACCGTCGCATTGTCAGCACAGGACAGGACCCCAAGATTTTGATAATGGATTTTGGTGCTGATGTTGATGGTATTGAGAATATCGAGAGTGCCAGGCCTCTTCGGATCGAGGGAGGGTTTATCTGAGCCCCGAGCATGCGACGGAACAATACGATTGGGCGGATACTAATATGCCAGACGAACACGATTGAACTGGCTTTACGACTTTATGACATGGAAGGGTTTGCTAGACTGATTTAAGATGTAAGGCAGCATTAGGGCATGTTGGATGGACATGGACATGGACATGGTGCATGCGTGCAACCTCACGGAGCACATTTGAGATCCGGCGATGGATCTGTCGCTCATGAGGATTACTCGCCAATAGCGTTGATGAGCGATCTGGATCACATAGACTGCGTCTGGAGTTTATGTAAACGAATTTACTTATTTACTGCTTTCGAGTCTTCGGGTCCTCGAGTCTCTGACATTGTGCTTCGTTTCACGACGAACGGTGAATTAATTTGTTTAAGTGGTTACAGGGTTCAAGGCCGGTGCGTGAAACAAGGGAGTCCGAGATCCACGGGAACGCGCATCGATATCGAAATGCGGGATGAAAAAAGGATGCGGAGTGAAACACATAGCGTGTGATGAATAAACGTAGATCATGTGAAGGGAATGGTTCAGAAACAGATTGCATGAACACGCACCCTGAATTAATATATTTCATGTCTGCATGTTCACAGTTCACCTGACTTTGATGGTCTATCCTGTGCTATATCGGGTAGGTGGTATAGATTTAGAGTAATTGTTGTACCACATGCAGGCAACCGTTGACCTTAAATGCGACTCTATTCTCAGATTGATGTGCATTGTGAGGTGGTGGATTGGGCTGGAATGCACTTCATGGCGTGGCGGGATGTGGGGAGAGGTGTTTTGAAACAGGGGACCACAAGGGGACTTGTTGGCTGTGATGGCTTCAAAGCCACCTTGATTCAATATTTGCGTAGATCAATGGCATTAATTCAATATCGATAGCTCCAAAACTTGCTTTTTAACACTTTCATGCTCGGTATTGACTCTGAATGGCTTCATAACCGCCACTATACAGCGAAAGCCAAGGAATAGATGAGACCCCTACTGTAAATCCCTTTAATTAGCATCACCTCACGTACCGGAGCCACCTCGGCCACAACGTGATCAAGCGCTTAACAGATGGTAGTCGCGCGCGTGTTGGAAGGGTCCTGCTAATAGCTGAGACAACGAGGGGGATTCTATGCCGTGGCGCAGAGAGAGTGGGAATGTCTTGTCTTGTAATTAAACGGACCATGGCGTAATGCTTCAGTGGGATAGGAATGTAGTTTCGTCTTGCATAGAGTTTTGGAGGAATGGTGGATGCATGGGTGAGTGGAAATTAGAGTATGCGAAGCTAAAAGTTATCGATACCACGTTACTGGTAGCCACGGGTTATCTTTGCAGCGAGAGGCCACCCGCCTCTTTCGGTGTTACTGTGAATCATGGTTATGAGATGTATGATCTGGTGGTTTGGACTTGTGATGGCTTCTTTAGTCTCTAGACAAGAGAATTGCCGCTGTCTAGATCATGCCCCGGCTCTTTTGATCCGGGAGATGTAGCGTGAGCCACCCGCTGGCTTGTCCGGGGTCGTCCAGTGAAACAGGGCGCTAGACCGATAGAGGTACTTTCCCTTTTTGTCGAGAGATCAAGGGTGTTCTCTTCGGTAACTGGACGAGCTTGTTCCCCTTTCCCGTCCTTTCTCTTCTCTGCATCATCGCCTCGACTTTCATCATCCTATACTCGTCAACCCATCCTTGACTTTTGTATCAAAATCTTTATCGTTTCATGTTTTGTTCTGGCCTGGTTGGCCTTGTTTGAAACGGTCCGTGATGCTACCATAGCCAATGACGATCGCTTTAGTCTGGTCTTTTTTTCCTACCCGCCCTTGTCTAGCTTCGGCCCCTTGGAAGAGTGAACAGACATTCAATGGACAACTCCACTCCAATGGCAGGTCCTCGGAGGCAAAGACGGCGGATGGCGTCCCAGGAAAGTTACCACGATGAGATCCCTGTTCCTGGTCAGGGCAATAATAAGGTAAGTCGAGTCAATAGTTCATGTCACATATAATCATCCCAACCGTGTATATCTATCCTTACCCTGTCTACTCTTCCCTTTCTTCGTTCCATTTCAAGTCAGTCGAAAGCTACCACACCACACCCTCCACCACGACAGTCAGTCTTTATCGTGTGAACACGCGATCGCGTGTGTCTCTCCTTGCCTCTCTTTTTTATTCATATTCCTGCTTGTCTGGAACAGCGTCATCTTGATCACCACCCTCTCTTTTATTTTGCCTGCTTTTAAAGAACAAGCCAGCGCCCGTCTCTCCCTCGAATAGCTTTGTTTCTTGGCTTAAGATTTTTGGTCTTATTTTCTTTGGCCTATCTACTTGGTAAGTTTCATCTGTGAACAAGCCTCAATATGCAAGCGGAACAGGGGACCAACAACACCTGCGAACCCTCATCTCAAGTGCCGCTTTCGAGCATTGCCGGCCGGATCATGTGAACAATTGATTCCTAGTGGTCTCAGCGCCTATAGATCCTGCTCTGCTGTACACCCTTTCGGTGCCACTGTCGAAAGCTGCCGAGATATATCATCACCTGCCTCACTTGGACTTTGACGGCTGTCGACAGTGTCAGGCTGCCAATTCGATTCAGATACTGCACCTCACTTTCGTTCTGCCAGTGCCATTGTTATTTTCTGCCTTATTTAGTCTCGTCTGTTCCTTCGTCCAACCTCTCTTTTCATCCTTTCTTCACCATTGTGCAGATCATTGTTCCCTTCCTTTGTTCACCTCGATCTAACACAAAACCCAACCCCAAACCTAGTTGATAGCTTTCTAGAGCTTAATACTGAGATCTCTTCTTTTCTCGCACATTACACTGCTTTCCCCAAAGTTACTTTTGCGCATGATTTTCTCCAATTTTCTCAGAACAAATATAAAAACACAGGCATACTGACTGCATCCTTCATAGCCATCCGCAACATCAACACACTCTCTAGAGCGATACTACACCTCTACACCCCAGAAACAACGATTTAGCTGGCTATTCATCGTCATCATGGGGCTTTCGACTATCGTCACGGCCTCCCTCTTGGCCATGCGCCTCTTCACCCTCCCAGCTTCGGCTGCTCCTCAGGCCATTGAGGTTGAGGTTGAGGTCGCTGCTCCCGCGGCCTCTGTGTCTACTGCCGCTCCGGCCTATCCTGCACCCCCCTCACCTGAGCCTGCCACTCCCGAGCCTCCTGCTTACTCGGCTGCCGCTGCTGCCGGTTCTTGGTGGTTGTCCGACATCAAGCGCCAGGGTGTCGTTGCCTATGGCTCTGCCGACTACAAGATCTTCCGCAACGTGAAGGACTACGGTGCCAAGGGTGATGGTAGCTCTGACGACACTGAGGCCATCAACGCCGCCTTCTCTGATGGCAACCGTTGTGGTAAGGGCTGTGACTCTTCTACTGTCACTCCCGCTCTCGTCTACTTCCCTGCTGGTACCTATGTCGTCTCCAAGCCTATTCTCCCCTACTACTACACCCACATGATCGGTGATGTCAACAACCTTCCTGTTCTCAAGCCAACTGCCAACTTTGAGGGCATGGCTGTCATTGACGTCGATCCCTACAACTCTGACGGCTCCAACTGGCACACCAACCAGAACAACTTCTTCCGACAGGTCCGCAACTTTAAGATTGATCTCACCGGTATGCCCAAAAGCTCCGGTACTGGTATCCACTGGCAAGTCGCCCAAGCTACCTCTCTTCAGAACATCGTCTTCCAGATGATTGAGGACCCTAGCGACGACAACAAACAGCAAGGTATCTTTATCGACAACGGCTCCGGTGGCTTCATGACCGACCTCACTTTCATCGGTGGTCGATATGGCGGTTTCTTTGGTAGTCAACAGTTCACCAGCCGAAACATGACTTTCCGCAACTGCAACACTGCCGTCTACATGAACTGGAACTGGTTGTGGACTCTCAACGGCCTCGACATCTCTGGCGCCAAGGTCGGCATTGACATGACTGCTGGCGGCAACGTTCAGAACGTCGGCTCTATTCTCCTTACTGACAGCAAGATTGCCAACACTGCAGTCGGTGTCCTGACCAACTACAATCCCGCCCAGCCCGATACCAACGGCACTCTTATCATCGACAACGTCGACATGTCCTCTGCTGTCCCTGTTGCCGTCAAGGGTGGTGGATCTAGTGCTACTATCCTCCCCGGCAACGCCAAGATTGCATCGTGGGTCCAAGGTCGTGCCTACACCGGCGGCAGTGGTAAAGCTATCCAGGCCACTCAGACTCCTGTCACCAAGCCCAAGGCTCTTCTCGATACCAAGGGTAACGTCGTCACCAAGAGCAAGCCTCAGTATAACAGTGTCCCCGCTGCCAACTTCATCTCCGTCAAGTCAAAGGGTGCCAAGGGTGATGGCAAGACTGATGATACTGCCGCCATTCAGGCTGTCTTCAACAGTGTCCAAGATGGTCAGATCGTTTACTTCGACCACGGCGCTTATGTCATTACCGATACTGTCAAGGTTCCCAAGAACATCAAGATTGTTGGCGAGGTCTGGCCTCTCATCATGGCTGGTGGTAACAAAAACTTCAAGGATCAAGCCAACCCCAAGCCCGTCTGGCAAGTCGGTCAAGCTGGTGATGTCGGCAACGTCGAAATCCAGGACCTCATGTTTGAGACTCTCGGACCCCAGCCCGGTGCCATCTTGATGGAGTTCAACGTCGCTGGTTCTACTCCCGGCTCCGCTGGTCTCTTTGATGTCCACTTCCGCGTCGGTGGCTCTGCCGGTACTCAACTCCAGTCTGACACCTGCAAGAAGACTCCCGACGTCAAGACCGAGCCCAAACCCGAATGCCTCGGCGCCTTCATGCTCTTCCACATGACCAAGCAGTCTAGCTGCTACCTCGAGAACACCTGGTTCTGGGTTGCCGACCACGAGCTCGACCTTAGCGATCACTCTCAGATCAACCTCTACAACGGCCGCGGAGTTCTGATTGAGAGCACCAAGGGTGCTTGGCTGTGGGGTACCGCTTCCGAGCACAGCGTTCTCTACAACTACCACCTTGAGAATGCCTCTAATGTCTACATGTCGCTCATCCAGACCGAGACTGCTTACATGCAGGGCAACCCTGACGCGACCGTCCCCTTCACCGTGAACAAGAAGTATTTCGACCCTGACTTCAAGGCCACCTGCACCGGTACCTCTGAGCGATGTGCCCGTACCTGGGGTCTCCGCGCTGTCAACTCCAAGGATGTCTTCATCTATGGAGGAGGCCTCTACAGCTTCTTCGACAACTACGACCAGGTCTGTGTCGGCCAGAACAACTGCCAGGACAACATGATCGACATTGAGAGCTCCCAGGTGCACCTTTACGGCATCAGCACCAAGGCCTCTGTTAACATGGTCAATGTTGATGGCAAGTCGGCGGTCCTCGACAAGGACAACCGCAACAACTTCTGCGCCGCCATCGCGCTCTTCTCATCTTAGGAAGATGAAGTCAACGCGCCACCTTATGGTGTGCCTCCTTACGCATGGCCAGCGCGAATACCCGAGCGACACGTGCTCATTGCTGATTATGTGCTTTAAACGTGCCTCTGATTTTCTTTCTCTTTCTTCTTTTTTCCATAGGGTCTTTTTGTTCCAGGATGGAACTGGAGTTTCGGATAATAAGCGATGAAAAAACGCTTTTGATAACTGCACCTTACCTTTGAGTAGACAGGGTAGCTGAATGAATCAAGTTGAGACAAGAAATGTGACCCCCAAATGTGACATTTTTGTGAGTGTGATATGCTGTGCTGTGATGTTATGACGTAAGGAAGGCAGATGTGATGTTTGACCGCGGGACGTTGTGGTCACAAGGCGGTTGGTGGACAGAGCCCAAGAACAAAGAGCAAACAACCACATAAAACAAGAGTAGACTAGAAAGAGCTTGAATAAAACGCAAGTCAATCTTGTATACAGAGTATGTTTTGCCTCTGTATGAGAAGGACTACGAAAAGGCAAAAAGATGCCGGTGGAAATCGAACCATCAAATCAGCAAAAGCGAAGCCGATTCCCGAAGGAGATGAGAGGCGGAGTGATGAAAGGAAGAGTCACACCACTCCGCCAAAGTTCAGTTGTTTTTAGCTACTTCGCTGAAAGAGAGAGCAATAGAATGAATTATCAAGGCTGATTCCATGTCTTGGAGGAAGATTAGCGTGGCACCGTGGCGTTGATGTTGCCTGGTGTTGGTGCAGGGGTTATGCTGATCCATGGCTGAACGACAAGCAAGGTTAATATGTACAGCCCAGCAGATTCAGGCACAGAGAACAAGACTATGTATAGTTAAAGAGAATAAGTAAATTATCAATTTCTTTTATCTATGCCTTGCTTAAAATTGAGAACATTGTAAAATCGAGAGGGGAAAGATGCTGCATGGATGTAAAAAAATAGAGGCTCAAGGGTAGCTAACATTCGAACTCATGACCAAAAAGCGAAGTCTCCCGAGGGAGAGGTTTCTTTGGAGATCCAACCGGAGTACAGTTGAGTTAAAGGTGTAGCTACTTCGCTGGGAGTACTGCATGTTGGTCTGGTCTATAAGGCTATAGTGTTGGCTGAACTAGGGTGTCTTGCAGCACATCTCTCCAAGCTGGAGCTTTTGCAAGTCAACGGGAAGCTTGCCTGACTGAGGGGATGTTATTACAAGAACATCAAAAAGGTATCTATATATTTAATATGTCATGTCTAAAAGTATTGTCTCTCAGGTCCAGAAAAGTCCAAAAGAAGTGGTCAGTATGGCCATCCATGTTCACATTGCGCCTCGAACTGCAGGACTCTAGACTGGCAAAAAGCGAAGGCTTAACATCCGGAGATGGTCAAGCAAGGTTGGTTCAGTTGAGCTATTGAGCACGTATTTCTCGCTACTTCGCTGGTAGCTGTTTGTTTGCTTTGGCATATAAGCAACTGTTCTTTGTCGCTGTTGTTGTTGGGTGGAGAGGTGGTGATTTGCTGCAGGGGTTGTTGGCGGGTGTGGGGTTCTGGAGCCGGCGTTGAGTCACCTCGCCGAGATGCATCTGTGAGGACCCCTGCAGTCAGGACTGTGTTGACTTGTCTGAAACTAATAAGGAGAGCGACGTCTCTGTTATTCAAGAGTAGCTGTGTCTTTCAGTAATTAATCTCAACTCCTCAGATACCTGGGTACTAGTCAAGGCGAGTAAGATTTCCTTCCGAGGTTTGTATTGGGACGAACGACTTGATTTGCTAAGCTATATAATGGCTATACAATGGCTATAACTTAATGAGTACTTCAGAATGCAAGTTGACGAGCAGATTAAAATGCAATGTGAAGTCTTATTTACTTCATGATCTTACGTGAACACTGAACAGTCACGTTAATAGTGAACGGTTGTTGTGGCATAAGGTTATGCTTAATTTGACCGCCTGCTGTACATTATTCATCGGCTAGATCTCCCGCGGGTGGTGCCACATGACTCCCCGACAGCTCTCATCTTCACATACTCATCGTATTACTTCAGCAAAATGTCGTGGACAAGGAAAAAGACAATAGGGCCTGCACCACCTCAACCTTCTTTCACGCCCAAGTTTCCAGAACTACATGAGGAAAAGCGGGCTTCTAATAATGGCCGGGGCACTGATGATGCTCTCACTGTGACCCGAATCCTTGAAGCAGCCGATATCCCATGCTGTATAGTCGGTACATGTGCTCTCATATTTTACGGAGCAGCCAGAGTGCGTCACGTATGTTTTTCGGTCACTCAAATATGGATGATTTCGTTGACGCCCAATAGCACTGGGAAATCTGTGTCCCGACACATTTCGTTGATAAAGCAGTAGCATTGTTACAGTCAGAACCTCATTCTGCCAGTTACCACCTCGCGGAACCCTGGGACACACCAAGCTCATCTCTATTGCATACTTGGCACCGGTTCAAACATAATGAAACCGACTTTTGCTTTGTCATTGTTCCCGACAGGGATGTCCATATTGTCTGCGAACCCTCCAACTTCACCCGCAGCCTTCGAGGACTACCGTATCCCAAACTGGACGTCTTTATACAGAGCTGTCTAGATACAGGCGATGAACTACAACTCTGTGATGTGATTGATGGTACAGACTTGCCAGAGGAATGGGGAGAAAAGAATCTTGAACTAGACGGTACCAACGACGTCGAATGGGCTAATGAAGCAAATAGGAGAAGTGATGAATACAAAGGCGGGAAGTATCCCAACTGGTCGCCTTTTGCATGCAATCGAAGAAGCAGAAGAGCTATGTGGCAGTCCTATGTACGAACAAAGAGGGATAGAATGGATTGGGCCAAGCCGAGCCATGTGTTTACTACCCAGTATCATATTATCGATACTCCAGATTCGTGGACTGTTCTCTCAGATGATTACTAGAAGCAAGGAAGACGAGAAACATGGCTGCACTTACCAGTTATACAGACAGCAGTAGGCCTTACGCGACGTTTTATGGACAGACCGATATTGCTAAGAAGTCCATTCGGTCTCGACTTTGACCTTGCACAAGCATAATCGGTACTCAAACTTTATCTCTTGTGTGTTTAAGCCCATCACCAATCGCCCACGTCCTTCACAATGTCTCAGCTAATCACTACCACCCTCACCACCATCCAGGCCAGTGTGTAATTTTCGCTGGAACCGGACTTGGGGAGCTCGAGGCCTTGATCCTAAAAGACAAAATACTGAGGTAAATTTAGTATAGCTTAGGTAACTTTGTAAGACTTTATAAAGATCCTTACATTCAGAAAAGAATGTTCGTGGACATTGCTCTCTCAAACCAGTCGTTTTGATGTAAGCATATATGCCGCGATATCTAGACTCGTCACTTAGCCATTGTTAAGAGAAGGGGCCCTCGAACTTATCACGCCTCACGTCGGAACAACTCAATGATCACAAGTGCCAATCATTGCCTTGACTTGCCAGGTCGAAGGAAGCTCCCGTACATAGATGAAAGGAAAGAAAGCGATTAGACTATTTGGATATAATTTCCCTATTCAGAAAAAATGGAAGGGACATCGGAGAGTAGAGTGAGCGTCTGTCGAAGAAGTGGCACCGAGAGTTTTGCAAGGTATTCTAGATTAAGAAGTGTGATAAGACGGTTCGCAAGGAGATAAAAGGGTCCTTCAACTAGAGTAGAAGATGAGATGGTAAAAAGCAGAGGGGCGCATGTCTTGCAGCTTGGACTCGAACCTGTGATACTAACGACAAAAAAAGCGAAGGCAGCGAGGCATTTGCTCCCCGCTGCGTTATACGTTTGCTTTGTATGTATTTCAGCTACTTCGCTGGCAGGAGTGTCTGAAATTGTAGTATATAAGCTTATGATCACTGTCCGTAAGGCTACGACTCTGGACTTACTGCTGGGGACACATGGGCAGGGGCTCGACAGAAGAAGTAAGGTATGTATGCTCTATCACGGCATAATGCACTCTCAAAACCCAAGTCCAGCCAATTCAAGACCTTTGTGCATTTGAGGTGCTTAAATCGAAACATTATCGTTGCATCACTTTGGTTGATCTAGTTGTTCACGACCAACAGGTGCTATATTCAGCCGCTTGTTCCGGTTGGCTCACACATCCTTCATCCCCTCAACACCTCGGTATCAGTCCACTACAGGCCAAAGTACTGGGAGATCTGCATGAACTTTCATCACATCATACATCTCTTGCACAATTCCCAGGAATACTGCACCCCCAAATCATTATTCAAAGGTATGGCAAGCCATTCATTATATCCTTGGGGCTCAGGATGATAACCACCGATAGATATGAGCCACAACGATACCGAAACCCCGGAATATCTTTTCCTGGAGATTCCTGTGAAGCAGGTTCTCGAGCAAGATGGGATACAAGTTGAGGAGCCTTGGGGGCGTTTATATATTAATGCCATTCATGAAGGAAGGTTTGGAGACGCGATATGGGCTCGCTATCATATGCTGGGCGATGTGGAGGATGGAAAGGTTGAAGGCGAGGATATGACCGTGGCTGAGAGTATCAAGCAAGACGCAATCGGATATAAGCAGCATGACCGGGAGGACTTCGACAAGGCTGTGTCATTCTACAAGGAGCATACGAACAGCGGTGATGGACACCCTGAGGTTCTTGAGATCATCTTTGGGGTTGATAGAGAGGATGTCAGTGGGATCAAACTCCCCCCCCCGTTGGTTAAATACTTGACGAAAACAACAGAGTCGTGCTGTCAGGGTGATTGTTCTCGAGTTAACGCTGAACTCAACCGCAGCTTGACTGACGCTACCAATTGAGAGTGTTGTACATCGTGATAGAACCTAGAAAATAAAAACAGAGTATACTGTAAGTGATAAAAAGAGGAAGCGCAAAAAGAAAGACAAAAATTAGAATGTGATGGCCATCACAGGACTCGAACATAGAGTCATAAACACTGTAGGAAACGAAGGGTGGATCCGGGATTCCGGACTCCCGCTACACCAAGTGATTCAGCTTGTGTTTCTTTTTAGCTACTTCGTTGAGTGTGATTGTTTTAATTTGGTATATAACGAAGCTTGCAGGCTGATGATGCTGGTTGCCTGGTCGAAAGGGATTGTTGCTGTCTGGGCGTGCAGGCAGCAGCCGAGGCGCAGCACAAGTGGCGACAAATGTCATTGGGTGGACAACTCAAGAGGCCTCGTTATAATTTGTTTTGAGAGCCTTGTTTACGCGGCTTCGCTTTCCTAAATGGTGAAGAGAAGGCCCGTGTTGAACTGATGGTTGACTCTGATATGGGCCGTCTGGTCATAGCCTAGGGGTTGGCTGTCCCCAGGCGGACAAGCACACGATCGCCAACATCACCACCTGACGACAACAACGTCACAGCTTACACCGCATAAACGTAGAAGATCATGGGAATGAAATGGTGTATTGAAGTGGTCTTGAATAAACTCCATATATCATCCATGGGCAAGTGTCTGTTCAGATGGGACAGCGAGCTAAACCCTGACTCAGACCAAGAGAATTCCTTTCTCGATGAACTACGAGCCTTGAACTGTTCAAGACTCAGAATTACAGTATCAGGGATGAAGAAAAGAGGTGGGTTTCGAACACAGACAAAAAGACAAGGAGTGGGTAGCGGGAGAGAGAGTTTTTAGGAGCGGATTTTAGGGTTCATAGGTTCTAGGACGTATGCCGCTACACCACTCCTTGTCGAAAGAGGTACATTAATTCTAATATTTAATACTCTACCCCGGCCGACTTGCGAGGTAGTTGCGTTCAAGTGAGCGAGCCTGCCACTTACACCACATCACGCAACTCACCAAACAATACCCCTGAGTTCACTTCATCATTATATAGAACCTGATTGTTAGCTTAGAAGACGAGCTCGGAGTTGGAAACAAGCCATAGCAAAAAGAAATGCCATATAAGAAATGATGGCAGCAAAGAGAAAAGGGGCAAGGAGTAAAGAACAAACAAGGAGAAAACAAAAGAGGAATAGGAGATGATCAAGTTCAACTCGAACTTGATTAAACTGGCAAAAGCGAAGAGTGGTACAGGGTCGGAGGGAAGGCCGGAGGGAGGATTTGCAGGCTCGGAGGATACCACTATACCACTCTTCACTGGGGGTATAGAGAGTGTTTTTGGCATATAAGGGTATGTGGTCAGGTCTCGGACACAAGACCCTGGTGCTGATAGGCTGTCATTCTAGGCGGGGCAAAGTTGCCTCTGCCTAGCTAACCTGTGGTCCTCCCCTCTTGCCGCCTTTTCTGGCTTGGCCTCATGCTGAATCTGTCTTGAAGGCTTCCACGTAAAGAGCCAAAGCTTGAACTGTCCTTCTTGATGCGTTCTCAAGTCACACCTGAGTCTCGACTTTGTCCAAACGAGGCCAAGCAGGTGTAGACCCTTTCTCGCAGTACACTTGCGGCGACCTTCCTTGAAGACTATAGACTCGACTGGCCAACAAGTAGAAGGACTGGCAAAAAGGAAAAGAACAGTGGGTACTGTTCAACTCAAGCAAAAAGCGAGGAGTGGTGGTCGTGGGAGAAGAGGGAATTGTAGGAGCGGACTAAAGAGTTTTTAGGTTCATAGGTTATAGGACGGATACCACTACACCACTCCTCGTTGAAGGATATGGATGTGATTTTGACATATAAGGGGTAGAGTCGGGAACTGGTGCTGTCCAGAGGGGCAAAAAAGAATGTCGCGGAAGACACACGAAGTCGCGACTCTGGCAAAAAACAAAGAGCGGGGCCTAGTGGGTTGAGAGAGTTTATAGGAGAGAATTTGAAGATTTCAGGTTAATAGGATGCGGATTCCCACTAGACCACACACTCTTTGTTACAGACCATATGTGTGGTTTTGGTATATAAGGGGTAGGTGGCCATGTCGTGTCAGATGGCGATCGTCGACGCAGCGCCCCTATCACTGGCAAGAGTGTCCTTATGTGGTGTATGATCATGTTCTGAATCGTGATGGTAAAAGGGGGATGCCATCGCTGAGGACGAGGCCTGTAGATAGGATCATCGTCAAGCACTGGTCTGCCAAGGGTGCGAAATCGAGGACCAAAAAGGGGCTCCTTGTAGGAGAGGATTCGAAGTCGGGAGCCCTGCCAAAAAGCGAGGAGTGGGCAGTGGGGTGAGAGGTTTTTTAGGTGCGGATTTGAGACTTTAGGTTTAGTAGGCAACGTATTCCCACTACACCACTCCTCGCTGATGGTAAACAGAGTAATTTTGGCATATAAGGGGTAGGTGGCTGGTGTCCGTCTTGTCATGTGTCCATCTATCCACACCATGTCGACAAGTGTGCCCATTGCTTGACGGATGTATCCATGTTGACAGCATTTCGGTTCGCGATGGATATTTTTGTTTAAGTGGATGAGAACCAAGGCGTGCGATGAATGTCCGAAATGTCATCGAAGGAAAAGTTCGAGTATGCCGTCGAATGGTAAAAAGGTGATGTCGATGTCAAGACGGAGGAATCGGTGTCGAAGGGAGAACTCGAAGTCGTGAACTTCGGCAAAAAGCAAGGAGCAGGCAGCAGGGTGAGAGAGGTTATAGGTGCGGAAGAGAGATTTTAGGTTAACAGGTTGCGTATTCCCACTACACCACTCCTTGCCAAGGGTAAACTGAGTGTTTTTGGTATAAAAGGGGTAGGCAGCAGAGACTGTGCCGCGTGCCTCCCCCATAAGTTCCACACAACGCCGCAACAAGCACGGGCGGGACTCACAGTAGGCAGAGCACTCACGACAGGTGCAGTACTAGAATGCTGTGCCCACGTTGCTTGAAGACACTCTGACCTGATCTCAACATTCTTCGACCATTTGGTAAGGTATGGCAGCATAGAGCCGAGCCCCTTTTCGGCAAAAATGAGAGGTGGACAATTTCAGGTCTGTTTTGCTGCCAGTATCCACAGGTTGTGTGCGTCGTAGTTTTGAGTCGTCACTTGGGATGTCGTGGAACAAAAAGAGGTTGAGCCTGTTGCTTGTTGAAGTAGTGTTCGAACTCGTGAACGGTAAAAATCGAAGAGCAGCCTAGTGGGTGAAGAATCTTAGGTGCGGAATGAGAGAAGGTTTATAGGTTCTAGGACGGATACCACTAGACCACTCTTCGACACGAGAAATAGAGTGGTTTTGGCATATAAGGGGTAGGTGTTGACTGTCCCCATCAGAGCCTCAATGCCCCTTCGTCAAACAAATCGATGGCATATGAAAGGACAGTCCGATCAAGTGTTGCCACAATCTAGCAAACTTTCGCACATGATTATGTCGCAAAAAGAACAACAAAAATGAGGAGTGGCCCGGCGGGAGGAGGATTCGCAGGTTCAGAGGTTCGGGACACTGATAGAACACTCTTCGGTGAAGGGTAGTGCGCGATTTTGACATTAGGGGGCTAGGTATCAACTATCCCCATCAGAGCCTCATGGCCCCTGTGTTAACAGAGCGATGACATCTAAAAGAAAGTCCAAGTCGATATCGCTGCAATCCGGGGATTGTCATCGTATCGGTGGGTCGTAAAAAGAATAGCATCAAGTACTCATTCGAACTCCTGAACAGCAAAACGAAGAGTGGCCCAGCGGGAGAGGGATTTTTAGGTGCGGATTTGTAGAGATTTTAGGTTCAAGATTCTAGGATCTAGGACGGATACCGCTAGACCACTCTTCGATGAAGGGTAGTGTGTGGTTTTGACATATAAGGGGTAGGGACGAGGGGCCGTACTGCCAGCGCCGCAGTGGCGATTGAGGCTCATCTGACCCAACTCCTCCAGGCACCCATCCACGAAGTGACCAAGCACTGGACAAGAACCAACACATTCCCTGGGCGTTCTCTTGTACACTGCCATAAGTGGAACCAGAACCCAATCTTTCCATCATCAACAATGTCTGGTCTTCGTATTACTCCATGACAGTTGGCATGGACTGACTGTCATACCCCTGAGCCGATATCTTCGTCACCCAAAATTATTGTTCTATTATTGACAAGCAAAAAAGGAATGGTCGTGTTGCGGTTGCTGTGTTTTTTGTATGATCCAGCAAAAACGAAGAGTGGTGCAGTGGGAGAAGGAATTGTAGGAGCGGAGTTTAGAGATTTTAGGTTATGGTCTTAGGATCTAGGACGGATACCACTACACCACTCTTCGGTGAAGGATATGATGTGATTTTGACATATAAGGTGAGGGGTGTCCAGTCGGTACCGATGCCTAAGGTGTAAGCCACCCTCAAGATGCAGAGCGTCTCAGCCGCCCGGGCCCACCCCTGAACAGGACCTGCCTGTGGGCGATGGATTCGGAACATGACCTGCATTTTGTAATGCCGTTGGTGTTTTCCGTCGTATGGGCATACATGAAGATCTCATTGTCCTGTCTCATGTCGACCACGAGTCCTTCTTGGTAAGGTGAGCAAAGCTGGTGTTGATCAGAAACAAATGGTACCGACTCCATATCACTATCGCTTGTTGCTGAGCATCGCTTGGCGGTATTGCTCGTTGGGGGGAGCAAAAAGAAAGGTCATCGTGCGGCCATGCTGAGATTGTGCCATCCAGCAAAAACGAAGAGTGGTACAGTGGGAGAAGGAGGAATTGTAGGAGCGGATTTTAGAGATTTTAGGTTTATGATCTTAGGATCTAGGACGGATACCACTGTACCACTCTTCGGTAAGGGTAAGAGAGTGATTTTGGTATATAAGCGGCAGATGCCCAAGTCCCGTTCCACGCCAGATCACCTAGAAAATCGACCAACAAATCGGACCGGGTTAGAAAGTATGTCTGTTGTCCAAATGAAAGTCGTCGATGTCGTGAGATGTCGTGAGATGTCGTATTCGTTTGTTTTTGTTCATCCCTGCGTTTGAACGCCCTGAAGCCTGGAAGGAAATGAGAAGAAAACGAGTCGAGTAGAAAGATCGAGACGCCAAAAAGAAAGTCGAACCAAATGGCAAAAACGAACAATGGTGTAGTGGGTGAGAATGGTCTTAGGAGCGGATTTTAGAGATTTTAGGTGACCTTAGGAGTTTAGGGCGTATACCACTACACCATTCTCCGATGGGGGTATAGAAAGTGATTTTGGTATATAAAGGTAAACTCCCAGGAGCCCCTCGGACACTCTGAGTACGTATCGTACTCGGAACGTGTCGCTGGGTTCGAACGTGCTGAAAATTGGTGAAATAAATCCGCGAAAAAGGACGCATAAGAAATAGTCTCAGCAAAAATGAAGTTGATTTAACCAGCAAAAGCGAAGAGTGGTGTAGCGGGAGAATGGTCTTAGGAGCGGATTTTAGAGATATTAGGTGACCTTAGGAGTTTAGGAGTGTATACCGCTACACCACTCTTCGGTGAGGATATAGCTAGAGATTTTGGTATATAAAGGTAAACCCCTCCAGAGTACGTATCGTCATGGCAAGGTATCGCTGCGTTCGAACGTCGTCAGAAGTTGACCAGATAAATCCGAGAAAAAAGGAGGTTAGATGTCGAGACCAGATGAACAAAAAGTTGAGTCGATTGGCAAAAACCGAAGAGTGGTGTAGTGGGAGAATGATCATAGGAGCGGATAGTAGAATTTGTAGGTGATCATAGGAGTTTAGGAGCGTATACCACTACACCACTCTTCGGTATGGGTATTGGGCGCTTTTTGGCATATAAGGGTAGACATGACCGTGCTGTCGAGGGCGCTGGGTGCAGTGGGCGAGGTTCGGGTGGCGAAGCGTGAACGAAGAACGTTTCCGTGCATTCGGGGCGGGCGAATGAGAGAGGTCGCGACAGCGTGAATGTAGTCCGTGTGACTCTTCGGGATGAGTCGTCAAAAGCGTATTCGATTTCTTGAGAATTCCATGATCACTTGATCACAAACGTATTCGTCGAAAATGTTCGTCGTATTTGTCGTCGTAGCATTTCGTCGTGGAAATAAAAGTTGAAGTTATCATGATTAACCCACCTCAAATAATAATTTACAGGACGTACGTCAAATGCCGGAGCTTTCTTTTTTCCGCCCCCCGCCGTTAGTCTCTGAGCTTCCTGGAGCTTCCTTGGCGGCAGCCCACTACTAGCGCGAGTACGTAGACGTCATCGCCTCAAGCCAACTGTCCATCGTCAAAATCGCGACCAAGGCCAGTCTGGCGCCACTTCTTGCAAACCTTCTCACTCTCTCTACACCAGTCATTGACCTCTCCTAATGCTGTGGCTCTTTTGAGAACCTTGTTCATAATGGTTACTACTCGACGTGCTGCGAGGGCGGCTGCTGAAGCGAACGATACGGTTATGGATTCTCCCTCGAGATCGACTTCGACGCCTCGCTCGTCTCCTTTCCTGCCGACACCTCTAGAGAGAGCTGGACTTGTGTTGTTTCCAGCTCTTTTGATCTTCGGAACTATCTTCTCTATACTCTCGCCGCAGACGCGCGCAGCACCGTACGACCCTATCGCGCAGTCGCACCTCCAAGATCCTAGCGTTTCTCCAAGCTACTTCGCGCGCAAGTCCAATATTTTCAACGTTCTCTTTGTCAAGCGAGGCTGGGCATGGATCACTGTTGCATTCTTTGTCTTTATCTTCAGCCATCCTAGCACCACCGACACAGGACGACGTGTTCGCGCGAGTCTGCGATGGGTTGCTGTAACAACAATGTGGTTCCTCGTTACGCAGTGGTGCTTTGGGCCTGCTCTGATTGACCGTGGTTTCCGATGGACAGGTGGCCGCTGCGAGCTCGCTAGAAGGGAGGTCGAATTCGGTTCGGATACTGTTGGTGACAAGGTCACGGCAGTGGCCTGTAAAGCTGCCGGTGGAAAATGGAAGGGAGGTCATGACATATCGGGCCACGTCTTCCTCCTGACACTAGGTACTGCGTTTCTCATGCAAGAGGTTGGTTGGGCTGTGTTGAGATGGTCTGGCAAGCGAAACGAGGAGCGATGCGTTGTTATGACCGACGGAGCTCTCAAGAGCGCTAATGTCGAATCTGATACATCTCTGGGCGAAGGTTCCGAGCGACCTGCCCTGGGACTGGGCGGCAAGTTCGCTGTAGGTGTCATGGGACTGAGTGCTTGGATGCTACTCATGACGGCCATTTACTTCCACACATGGTTCGAGAAGGTGAGCAAAGCCCATGTAGTCTCTCACTTTGTAATTGCTAACGACTCCTAGTTTACTGGACTCTTGACCGCGGTGACGGCCTTTTACGTTGTGTACATTGTGCCTCGCTTTGTACCTGCTGTAAGACAGGTCATTGGTCTTCCTGGCATATAGAAAGAGGCAGGGTGTGATGAGCTATGAGTGATGCAGGCGGAGTTCATAGATGTAAGATAGAACGAATTGCATAATCCCACTGTAGTAGCATCAACTGGTTCTTTACAGGTTTGTTTCATGTCATTTCGTATCGCTATACTTCATCAACGACAGATGAACAACTCCAGGCCTGCCGACCAATGTCCATTGTGACGTTACACTATAGTCTCGTCATATCCAGACACATGCTCTAACTTCTTGTCCGGCTATTTATCTCCTTCGTCGAGCCGGTGACTTCGTCTTCTTGAACTCATCCTTAATGTCATCCAACAGTCCGTCAACCGTCAAAACATCCACAGCAACACCAGCAAGACCCTTAGCGACCATGAGAGCCTTCTCGAAAGCAGGCTTGCTTCCCGCTGCGACTTCGAAGGGCGCAGTGTGAGGGCCACTCTTTGGAACAGTTCCATTAGCAAAGGTGATCTGGAACATTGGGCTAATAGCAGGGAAATCCTGGCTGATATTGCCTTGGTCAGTTGAACCACCGGGCTCTCGCATCTTGTCGACATCAGCATCGGGGAGGTCACCGCCAAGCTCTTCGAACCAGCGTGTGTATGATGCAGCGAGTCCGTCGTTGTTGTTCATATTGGCATAGCCGTATGGTCGTGTTGTAAAGTTCATCTTAGCGCCTGTGCCAAGAGCTCCGGCTTTGAAGCAGTTGTACACACGGTCTGAGAGTTCCTCCAATTGCTCCTCGTTCGCGGCGCGAAGCTGGTAGCTTCCCGATGCATCAGCAGGAATGACGTTGATACGAGTTCCCGCTGAGTGGATGATCCCATGAACACGGTCAGTCGTGCGCATTTGTTGGCGCATGTAGGACAGAGCGCTGTTGGCAAGGAGGAGTGCGTCTTGTGCGTTGATGCCCTCCCAAGGCCCGGCTGCAGCATGGGCTTCACGACCTATGTACTCGACATCGACACGATCTGTTGACTGAGCAAGCATGTACGGTGTGTCGGGGCCGTTGCTGGGATGGGAGATCAGAGAGATGTCAATCTTGGCATCCTTGAAGACACCGGCTTCGAGCATCTTGACCTTTCCACCGAGAGATTCCTCAGCTGGCGTGCCAAAGAGAATGACCTTGCCCCCAAGCTTCTCCTTGCGCATGATCTCAGCGGTTGCAAGAGCGCCACCTAGCGATGCTGTCGCAATCAAGTTATGGCCACAGGCATGTCCCAGTCCCTCCAGCGCATCGTACTCGGCATTGAAGCTCACAACAGGACCATCACCTGAGCCATCAAACACGGCCATGAAAGCAGTGTCAATGCCCCCAACTGTATCGGTCACGTTCCATCCCTTCTGCTTCTTCATGAACGATGTGAGAAGCTTGTGGGCCTTGAACTCTTTGTATCCAAGCTCAGGGTTGTCGTGGATGTTCTTGTTGATTGACCAGAGCTCTTTATCGAGTGAGTCGACGTAGTCTGAGACTGCGTCTGTGTATGGACTTGTGGCATTCTTCTTTTGGCGTGGTTCAAGGGTGGTTTGTAGTGATGATGCTGGGGCTGCTAGGAGTGTGAGGCCAAACGCAAAGGCCGCGAGGCCTCTGGCATGATCTAGACAGACCATTATAATGTCTTGCTCTTCGATATGTATTGAGGTCAATTAGAACCGCCGGTTGGAGTTTAATTGCCGCGTTCCAATGATCTTGAGTATCACCTCGAACCTGGACAATATGTAACAGATTGTCCGTCGCATCGCGTACATGGCAATCGCCCGATCTTATATGCTACAGCCACTCTGATCTCCAGTGTTACTCAGTTAGGCGAACCATGATTGACGGTATTCTTGTTATCACTTCTTTTGGCAGTATCTCAATTGCTCCTCAGTCTAGGACCTAGAATTGTTGCCCGAGACTCCACCTCGCAAATCCCCCGCCCAAGAAGTTATATAGTTACCTTCCTAACTGGGGTATCAATTAAGCAAATCTTTAGAGTTATCAGTTAGTTGAACCTGGGTCGTATCGTCACCCCGCTTCGTGGGTCTCTTATTCCCTGCGATGAGTTCGTCTATGTAACCATAGCCTTGATATCGATAGCCGATGCGGCACCGACCAAGGATCAGATTACCGGGATGAAGATTGCAAGCTTCCGAGAATTTGAGTAATTTTATGGTGCTCTCCATAACTTCTCCATTGCCGTGGTCTAAAGCCGGCCAGCATCCGCGGCAATATTGACCGCCGTTTGTCGACAAGGTGGGATTTGTGTCTGAGGCGAATATATATATATGTACTCTCCGGAGGATTATTACATATCATGGTCGATTCAAAAGAGGTGCTAGTATGTTGTACCAGGAGGTGAGCTCTGAAGTGAAAAGGCAGAGGCAGTAATCATTTATCCTGGTCACTAAGTAGTTATGGCCAGTAAGTTGTTACCCAATGGGCCATCTCTAAACATGTTCCAGATGCCAAAGTAGATCAAAAGGGCGGTGTCAGCCGTTATATCACCCGGGACTCATGTTAGTTGCCTCGAAATCGTGATTCAATACTCATTTCAGATGGGCTCTCCGTGAAGTATGAGATGAAAGAACTCGACAGTTCACAGAGGCGTACACACCTTTTGGCCCTCAATAGGCAGATCTGCGCTTACCGAGTCGTCGTCCGTGAAATCTTCATCTGCGATGATTGACATGTCCGAGACCGGCTCTTCTGATGCTGGGCAAGACATGGAATAGGGTCTCTCAGATGATACACACGCACGTAACTCCCAATCATCCCAGTATTCTTCTTCAATACTCTCAACAGGAAAGATGTAGGTATCTGCCTCTACACTAAGACTATTCTCCAAGCAAACCGTGACGGGCATGACTGCTCGCCGAGAACTGTTGTAGTGAAATTCCTGACATTGCTCTAGGGTCTCGCAACTTAGGAGAAGACCTGGGAGCTCTTTGGGGGCAGGACACTGTGATGGAGAATACTTGATGTCACTCCTTTTGTATGGCAGAACTGTGAAGACTGTAGCAGGCTTTATCAAAAAAGAGATATACTCTGTGCTGGAGAAGGAACCGGTCAGCTTGACAGATAGAAGTCTGCAGTGATACTTGTCACTCCTGGTGATGAGAACAGGTTTGATTGATGGGGATTGCATGCTGATGGAGACCGGTGAGTCGTTAAATATGTTTCAGAGGCCAAGGGATGAGATCGATGGATAAACGCTTCAAAGGGGTGAAGTACAAAAGATACTGTGCTGATGAGCAGGAGTCAGAGTTATTAAGATTAGAAGCCAAGGCAATGATTTATACTTGAGAGTATTGTAAGCAAGTTCCTCCTCTGGTAAGACTTTTATTCAATTTCACGTTATTCCTATACTAACCTTGTGTATATAATACCTCTTTGCTCAGTTGAAAACCTGTGGTCTTTTGCAGCCAAAGAGTAGCTACTAGGTGACTAACCAACAAAGACAACATCTCAAAGATGACTTCAATGTACATTCTTAGTTATTTTGAATTGAATTACGGGACATAGAGCGGAGTTTACTATCAGAACCTATGGACTAATCACATCTAACAATCATCATCGCCAACTTGATCATCTACCTTCACAAGAATCTTGCCCCTAGCATGAAGTCCGCCCAGCTTCCTATAAGCCTCCTTGGTCTCCTCAAACGGCCAAATACTATCTTTGACCAGTCTTATATCGCCACGGCCCAACATATCAGCCACAGCTTGACGGTCCTCAAGCGTAGGGCTCATCATGGAAGTACCCAGCCATCTTCGTCCAACACCACCGAGCCATGGTGATACTGGCCACCATTCGTTGAGCTTCATCTGCAGCACAGCGCGGAGGAAGTCTGGGACAAAGAAGGTAGGTGGTTTGATGCCGACGGAGGAATAGTTGCCATCGACTACGAGATAGGATGGTGAGGCGAGAAATAGGGCTTGGTGGCCTAGGGTGTCGATGATGGTATTGAAGGGATTTGAAGAGAACTTTTCAGTGAGGTGGTTGGAAAGGGGGTCATGCTGAGTATAGTCGATAACCTACGAGGTGAGTTTGTTGGCATTCCGTTTCAAACAGGGCTTAACTCACCTCATCAGCGCCAAGGCTTTTGACCAACTCGACATTCGTCCCGCTGCATATGCCAACGATATATCCACCAGGCCCTACAACCTTTCGAAGCATTTGCACCACCAGAGAGCCGATTCCACCGCTTGCTGCATTGACTCAAACACGATCCCCTGTCTTTGCACCTGACTCGTTGACAAGTTGTCGGGCTGTCAAGCCTGGTAGTAAGCAACCAGCTCCATCAGCAAAGCTCACGCCCTCTGGTTTCTTCACAGCATATCTAGCTGGAATCCTGACATATTCAGCCAAAGCACCTGTTCCGGTAGGCAGAGTATGGCTAGCTGGTAGCATAGCAAGAACCTTGTCAGCCTTATTGAATCTTTTCGACTGTGCTGATCCAGATTTATCATCATGATGCCAGACATCGATCACTGTGCCTGAGAAGTCCATCTCAGGAACACAAGTTGGCTTTCGAATAAAAGGTGGAACGAGAGTCATCTGGAATATGGCACCTGGATTCAAGCCTGCAAAGGCCACTTTGACAACAATCCATTCTTCTGGGTTCGGCACGTCCTTTGGTAGGGGAAGAGGAGGTGGTAAAGTTGGAATAGGTTGACTTCTAAGATTGAGGACGTCCCACGGTAGACCTCGCTCTGAGAATACCCAAGCTTTTGATTCTGTCATTTTGATGTGTTGTTGATGAGGGGTTTGTGAGATTGGAAGATGGGTATTGTGGCGGTTAAGCCAAGCTATGTTGGGCTTTCAGCCGCACTTGTTAGTTCAAACTGTCAGCTGTCATACAACCTCGACCAGTCGGCACGATTCCGTCGCCAAGTCTTTGCTGCATCTTCACATAAGACGGGGTATTGGTATCCGACAACGTCCATGGTGCATTGGAGCATCGTCCATGAGCACTGTTCAAAGGGAACGCTTAGCAGTCAATTTGTTGATATTTGACTGTTAAAGTATCACAGCAGCATGGCCAAGAATAGGAAAAATAAAATAATATGAAAAACAGATATAGGATTGGGAGGATCATGATGCTGTTTTTGACATGGTGAAGCAGCGAATTGATCATGTTGAGTGGCTACCCTAGACATCCAGTAAACCTGACTCTGACTGTGATCTGTCCTATTTGCACAATTGATAGACGGATAGATTATGCATACTCCTGAAACATAATCTAACTAGTGAAATCTATACCGTATGCCCACTGCTAGTTGGGAATTAGTTCGAGACAACATATCTGGGGCTTGATTGCAGCTAGCTCATTGGAGCGTTGGCGTAATTTGGACCTTAAATTGCATGGGGTCAACAATCCAATTTGCCACAAAAGGAGAAGCGAGATAACAACAACAAATTCCGCCAGCCCTGATATCGAATTATCGTTGAAAGCGGAACAAATCCCTCCATGTTTACCCCCCATCAGAATGCGCTGTACCCCCGTAATACGGTAGCCTAGAACCAAAGGAACCCCTAAGCGCCTATCAATCAATCTCCACAGCACAGAAAATACGGCTGCCCTTCAGCGGCAACCCTGCTGTAAGACTCAGCAACCACAGCAACGAAAAGACCACTTTTCAGAAAAACGACAGCGCACAATTATTCAGTTATCCGGCACATTGAAATTAGCTTATTCCATATCAGCAAAATTTTGGCAGCCAATATATGTACATAATCAGACCACACCAAGGCTACCGCCTTTTCACCGCCAGGCACCGGAATTCTCACTCATTTTACTTTTTAGGCACCATTTTTACCACTTGGTCAATAAAGTCGTCTTCCTTTGGCAAAGCCTCAAGTCAGCTCCTCAACCCTTTACCACGTAACGTACCGTACGCGTAAGAGGCAAACGTCAGCAAAAATGCGTGAGATTGTGAGACTTGAATTTTTCTTCCCTTGTCGGATTTGAGTTTGACTGAGGCTAACCCCCGTTTGACAGGTGCACGTTCAAGTCGGCCAATGTGTAAGGGCCACCCAACCAATTTTTTTGCTTTGAGGGACATGTGTTGAGTTGATGATTGCAGGGCAACCAAGTCGGCTCCAGTTTCTGGTAAATATTACTGCAGGCGATTATTTGAGTGTAGAGACTGACAGTTTATCAGGCAAACCGTCTCTGGGGAGCATGGCGTTGACGGCAGCGGCTCGTGAGTGAATGAAGAGTCGGTGACCCTTATTTGCCTCAATCTAACAATTTCTCAAAGATACAACGGAACCGACGACCAGCAGCGAGAGCGCATCGACGTTTACTTCGCCGAGGCACGTCTCCCCAATCTCTCACTCACCGTCTTTTTTTCACTAACCGTCTCCCTTTAGGCCACAAAGGATAAGTACGTGCCCCGCGCGGTCCTTGTGGATCTTGAGCCCGGTCCTCAGGATGCCATCCGCGCCGGTCCTCTAGGCCAGCTTTTCCGCCCCGACAACTTCGTCGCCGGAAATGCCAGCGCCGGTAACAACTGGGCCAAGGGTCATTACACTGAAGGTGCTGAGCTCGTTGAGGAGGCCATCGATGTTGTGCGACACGAGGTTGAGAACTGTGATCATCTTCAGGGTTTCCAGCTCACCCACTCTCTGGGCGGTGGTACCGGTTCCGGTATGGGAACGCTTCTTCTGTCGAAAATCCGTGAGGAGTTTCCCGATCGTATGATGGCTACTTTTTCTGTTATGCCTTCGCCCAAGGTTTCTGATACCGTTGTCGAACCATACAACGCCACTTTGTCATTGAACCAGCTTGTCGAGAACTCCGATGAGACCTTCTGTATCGATAACGAGGCTTTGTACGACATTTACGAGAAGACCTTGAAGATCGCTGATCCTTCTTATGCCGATCTTAACTACCTGATCTCGACAGTTATGGCCGGCGTGACAACATGTTTCCGATTCCCCGGTCAGCTCAACTCCGATCTGCGCAAGTTGGCCGTCAACATGATTCCGTTCCCTCGACTTCACTTCTTCATGGTTGGATTTGCGCCTTTGACTGGTCGCAAGATGCAGGGCTTCCAACATCTTACCGTGCCCAGTCTGGCTCAGCAGATTTTCGATAACAAGAACGTTATGGCTGCTGCTGATTTCCGCAACGGTCGATACCTCACTTGTTCCGCGATTTTGTAAGTTTTGGTTTGAGAAGATGCATGAGATGAGATGGACTAACGTGAGATTAGCCGCGGTAAGCTGTCGACAAAGGAGATCGAAGACCAGATGCTCAAGGTGCAAACCAAGAACTCAGAGTATTTCGTCGACTGGATCCCCAACAACGTGCAAACCTCCGTTTGCTCTGTTCCCCCCAGAGGTCTCCCCATGGCCGCCACATTCGTCGGAAACTCCACCGCCATCCAGGAGATCTTCAAGCGCGTCGACGACCAATTCTCCGCCATGTTCCGTCGCAAGGCCTTCTTGCATTGGTACACCAGCGAGGGTATGGACGAGATGGAATTCACCGAGGCCCAGTCCAACTTGCACGACTTGGTCAGCGAGTACCAGCAGTACCAGGATGCTGAGATCGACGACGAGGTTGAGGAGTACGAGGGTGAGGGTGAGCCTGAGGAGTATGAGGGCTAGAGGGATTGGAAAGCTGGTTAAGATGATAAACTATTTGGCTTATTATTTCTTTATTACCCCCAAAATGCTTCATCCCCTTCTAGTTCATATATAGCATTCAAAACTGAAATTGGTTTATTAGGCTTTGTTTATAGCCGATTCATAATTATACGGTCCTTTTTATTTTTGAAATCTCTTAATCATGCTTGACGTACATGGTGTCAAAGCCAACGTTCTTCCACTCGCCAGTCTCAGTGTTGAGAGTGAGATTTGTGTGCTTGACCTCTCCGTATCGAAGAGCACCGGATTCAGCACGACCACCAGCAACAGGACGCTTCAGGTGGTTGTCACCAGAAACGACGGTGAAGTTAGCCAGGGGAATATCCCAGGAGTTGCGAGAGGCAACAGAAGGAGAGCCTGAATGTGTTAGTGAGACCCATTGGAGTGATCAGGCGTTTGAATCTTACCATAGAATCGAGAAGAGACCTGCTTAGCATTCACATCCAGAATGAAGTATCCTCGGTAGTAACCCTCTTGCCACTGAAGCTCAGGGTTCTTCTGGACTCTGGCACGAGCAGCCTTGCCGGCTGCAGGCTCGATAGGGCCACCAACACCGTTAGAGCTGACAGCTGTTCCGGCGAACTCGACACCAATACTTCCAGCACCGGTTCTGTTGTCATATTCCTTGGTTCCAAGCCAAACGAGATCCGAGACCTGTCATACATCAGTTGAGTTGAGATGAGGTTGGCAATGATACATACCCAGTTCTGGTGGCTGTCTCCAGCAAGGAAGATGTTGTTTCCAATATCGTTGTCGTACAGATGCTCAAGAGTTCGGTTTCGGTTGGCGACATAGCCCTTCAAAGGTCAGTACTTGGAACAAAACCAAAAGCCCGTCATTCACTTACACTCCAGTTATCACCAGGAAGAACTTCGCCGTTACCCCAATCCTCAGTGATACGCGAAAAGATAATCTGGTTGCCAACGATTCTCCAGGCGGCACCTCGGTCCTTAGACTTACTAAGAGATCGATAGAACCAGTTCTCCTGACGACCTCCCATGAGAGTGCGGCTGGGATCATCTCGGATCATGTCGATGTAGTTGTCGTTCCAGTCGAGGCTGGTGATGCTGCGGTCGTAGTTTCGGGTGTCGAGGATGATAAGATCTAGGAGCTTGCCCATTTGGAAAGAACGCCAGACTCGAAGGCCGTCGTCAAGATCAGTTTGGCTAATCTGGATGTTAGCTGAAGCCGAGCGTAGCGTTAGATTTGATTGTTACCGGATGGGCATCCACTCGAAGTAAGCTCGGACAGCGTTAACCTTTCGAGTGTCAACGGTGACCTTGCGGCCCTCCTTCAAGAAGGACTCTTCAGTATTGTTAAGACCAGAGAATCCATCTCTGTAACCGTTGTTGGCGAACTCTACCAACTGTCAGACAAACCTAGGGATATACCCGCGGGACTTACCGTGATCATCCCAAGTAGGGATCCAAGCAAAGTTCTGTGACAGAAGCTGAAGATCGGGATCTGTGCGGTACTAGTGAGATATTCAGGTAAGTAACTTTTCTTGAAAGAATCATGTCGTGGGGTGACTAACTTGTCCATGACGAGTTCGATAGTCGTGAAGGGTAAAGATCTCAGTAGAAGGCTGACTGGCCCGGCTGCCGTTGGCTCCATACTCATAGATATAATCTCCCAGATGGATAACATAGTCGTGCTCATCCTTTCTGGCAGCGTTGCCATAAGCGTTAAAATAGCCGTTAGCTGAAACGATTAGCTTTAGCTCCCAATTTTACCAAAGGGAGAAGTGGGCTTACGATAGTTACTGCAAGAGAACACGGCGAAGCTCAGATCAGAGACGTCATCGTTGGCGGTAGGAGCAGTCTTGGTGCGGCCAACAGGACTCTTGACATCCGAGTCACAGACCTTGAACTGGTAGTAGTAAGTGGTAAGTGGTTTCAAGCCATCAGCTTCGACCTAGAAGTTGTCAGTCAAGATATCTCAGTCTCTATTTCAAAACACCATGCCCACCTTCACAGTGTAGTCGATATCAGAGGTAGTATAAGCTCGTCCACTGGCGGCCGTCTTCCCATCTCCAGAAGCAGACTTGGACTCATAAACCTTCCACTCCACACAGATAGGATGAGGATCAGCCTTGATGTACTTCTCAGTCTCATGGCTGTAATGTCCCGCGGTGCCGTTCACAACCTTCTCACTCTCGTCTGACTGAGTAGAAGGGGCAACACGGGTCCAGAGGACAACACTCTGAGGCCAAGGATCTCCGGAGGCTACTCCATGGGTGAAGTTGAGCTGAGAAGGATCATAAGGAGTGTTACCACGCTTCAGAGATCGACGCTTGACCAACGGAACATCGATTCCAAGCCGAGCATGACGACGAGATGGACTGGCGTAGTTCAAGTTGCCGTCGAACTCAGCCGTCACCGCTGTAGCCAGAAGGCCACAAGCATAGAGAATCACAGCAGACCTCATGTTGACTACGACAAAAGCCCTTGATAGAGACAAAAAACAAGCTTATCCTGCGTATATGTCTCTTTTTAAGCTTGTAACGAGCTTCATCCCAACCCCGCCTCCGTTATCGTCCATGTTGCCGCCGAGATGCCGGCAGCCAACAAACTGGCCAGGCCTGTACACGTTTTCGTCCTGTCTATTGCATCACCGCTCTTGTGGCCCTGGTTTGGTGTAACTGGGTCCTGGTGTCACGGTCAACCAAAGAGGTAGCGATGTGACGTCGTTGAGTGACCAGTAGGAAAGATAAGGATTGTAAGCATCGAATGCTAACGTTGGTTGCAATCCACGTGGAGGTTCGGAAGTTTTTATCTTGGTGTTGGTGTAATTCGACAGCGTGGTGTGGTTTGTGAATTTCATTGGTCGTTCTGTTTGCATTGATGAGGTTTTGTGTAGTCCTGATTGGAGCTGCTGCTATCGAGATCGAGGAGTGGAGACTATAACGGCAGAACGACCTAGCGAGTGTTGATCTGATGATGTCAAGCTTCTGGACATTTAATTACCTACCTATTTGAGGCAATTCTTATGTGTCTGTATGTATTTCTCCGAAACAAAGGCAGGCTTGTCTGTTCAGAGTTGGGGGCTTAGGCAATTTGGGCTATAGCTCATCAACTTATGTGGCTTGCATCAGATACACAACCTGGTTCAACAAAACTTTGGTTCTTCTCACGAGATATATTATGTATTATGCTGAAATAATTGGAAGGGAAAACAAATCTGCTTTATCATACACCTTATGAACCCGAAGCTGCTATTGGGTGGCAGTCCTGCGATTAACCACTGTGATATTTGTTTCTCTCTATTTTTAGCACACCACGTGACCACCGCACCTATCATATCCCAGCATGAACATGCCTCTCCCAAGTTTCCATTTCCTCTCCTCCAACAACAAAGAATCGTCCATATTTCTGGGTCAGAGAAAATGACTAAACAGCTGTCCCGGTCTAAAATATTTAGATGGGCCAAATTCAACCTCAAAGCACTCCTGCTGCTTGCAGAGAAACTTCGAGGTCGATCATGTACCTGCGATGAGTCCAAGGCCCCCAAGAGTGGTAGCTTGAACTGGGTTATATTCCTCACCTTCGATGATGGGGTTGAATGGGCGTTTCGCTCACCGCGCTACGATACCTGTACGTTTTCGGATGAAACCGCCTCCAAAATACTCGTTAGTGAAGCGAGTACTTTGAGGTACCTGGAAACACATTGTCAAATTCCCGTTCCGAAAGTCTACTGATATAGGTAAGATAAACCCAAGCCTGATAAATAGAATTTTCATAATGATATAAAATGCAGTGGCACTCACGAGAACGATATCGGGATACCATATATTCTTCAGAGCAAAGCTTCTGGTCGTCCTTTATCAGATTACCGCTGGACTGAGCCTTCAGTCCAGCCCCCGAATATCAAACACCCCATATTACAGCTCCCACTTTCAGAATCAGACCGCGAAAGGATAATGGCTCAGCTTGGTACCATCATGTCTCATCTCTCACAGGTCCCCTTTAATAAGATTGGATCGCTGTTTGAAGAAGACAACGGTGGCTTTTCAGTTGGTGAATGCCTCTCCCCTGTTCTCACCTGGCAATCAAGGGACGCCCTTGAGACAGATATAGAACGAGGTCCCTTTGCTGAAGAAAGTTCCTACCTTCGGTCTTTAATATCAGCACTTACCTCTCATGCAGAGGAACTCCCACTAACGCCTTACCTGTTCTTCTCGCCACTGCCAAAACCAGCTGATTATCCATCATGGGATAGCTTCAAGGCAGCGACGGACAGAAGAGGTGATTTCGTTGTTGTTGGTGATAAACTCGAGGGTAGCAAGAATCGACTCGACTACTGCATCGCAGGTCAAATGCTGGAGGAAATGTTGCCACTACTGTCAAATGATTCGACTGGCTTCACCTTATCACACCCTGACCTTCATACTGGAAATATATTTGTCGATGAAGATCTAAATATCACAAGCATTGTTGATTGGGGTTCTGCTATAGCAGGTCCCGTGACTGAGTTGTTAGCGACTCCAGGACTGGCAAGTTCTTCGAAGCCACCTTCAGTAGCTCTCACTGTTGCTTTTCAGGCCGGCTTTTCTCAAGAATCCCCAAACATCAGCCGAGATATGTGGGAGAGAGCTGAGATGATGTGGTATTTTTCTCACGTGGTACGTCTTCTGTCCGGTCAGGATCTTCCCCTGTTCCAAAGATTGCATGATCTTGTTTATAAGACCGGAGTTGAAAATCTATCGGACTCAAGAGATTATGGTTGGCTGTTTCATCAGCGGGCTATGACCCCAAGTAACAAGCAACTTCTCTCCAAACTGAGGGAAGATGACCTGACAGACGATGAAGTGAAAGAATGAGAGAAGGTCGTTTTCTCTGGAAACAAATTGGACAGGTTGGCTGTAGCTAGGAAGCTAACAGTAATGTCTGAAATGAACCCGGGATTTATTCGAGATCGGCGGCTGTGGCGATGGATTGAAGGGGCTCTGAAGGGCCCTGTATACGATAGTATCAATGACAAAGGGTGCACTTATAGAGAAAGATCGCTGTGTCCGATCGTTGACCTTATCCTCGTGAGTTTTCCTGCGGTTGCATGGGGGTACTGACCTGGAACTACAAACGGATCAACTCGAAGGACGGAAAACAAAAGGGTTTGATAACACCAGACACGGCACACCAGGTGTACTCTAGCGGACGTAGATCGAACCGCGTCGTAGTTGATCAAAATATTTGATCTGTTTCTTTCTTTTTGATTGGAAAAGGCATTTCTGGTATCTCACAAGCTTCCATATCATGACCCTCCTGCTAGCCCTTTCTTGATCCTCAGAACCGTGCTGATATGGCCCATAGCCAGCTGAGTCCTTTCGTGCGTTGCAAGAAGTCTTGCCGTCTTGACCACATTCTTGATCTGTCTCCCATTGAGCTCGACACCGGCCAATTCATCCAGCTCATCTTCAGAAAGACTATTCCCATCGATGCCAATATTAACAAATGTCCTCCAGATATGCAGCCTGCTAGTGTAGTCCAGATTGGGATAATGAATAGTGAGATGAATTCGAGACTCAAACGCTGGATCGAATGCCGAGACTCGATTAGTTGTCAAAAACATGACGCCCTCAAAGTATTCGAGGAGTCTAAGGAAAATCGAGACTAGTTTGTTTCTTTTGATATCCGAGGTAGTTCGACGTTCGAGAAAGACGTCGCACTCATCGAGGAGAAGGACTGCTCCCCATTTTGTTGAGAGCTCGAGAGCACAGTCTAACTTCTGCTCAACTTCTTGGGCAACATCCCCCAACTCGGCAGCACTCATGTTATAGAGGGGCTTTTGCATGATCTCGGAAACTAAAAGGAAGAGACGAAATTAGCAACATGTAGCCAACTTTCAGGGAATCGTGGTAATTACCAGACTCTGCTGTAAGTGTTTTCCCAGTTCCCGGCTCTCCGCTTAGAAGCATAATGATTCCTCGTCCTGCATTGGATTGGTCAGATTCGATCTTCATTTTATCTTGCTAGCATTACCTTTGCCTTTGATTACATCGTCAAAATTGTCCAATCCAGACATTTGAGCACCAACAAATGCCTGAATAATTCGTTTGTAATCGTGCGGCAGCACTAGCTGATCAAAGGCTGTTGAGCTCCATAACACGTCTTTGATGAGCTCAATATCGAATAGTCCTAGGTTGGTAGTAAGAAACTTGCCTTTGGTAAGGGCCTTGAGCCAACCTACCCCATTCTTTAGTTTTCAGGCAAAACCCTTTAACGACGTTCGTACATAGCGCATACTGGCTTTCGGAGAGTACCTTATTGGATATATCTTCTGAGACGATTAACATCTGTTGATCAACCTAGCCAAATCTCTAAACCCTGGAGCAAGAGACCTTTAAGAAGTCCCGAGATTAGAATACGTACTTGAGTTTTGTGAGCCATTACTCGAAACTATTGTGGCGTATGGTTTTGCTGGTAGAGACCTATGAGCGAGCGAATCAACCAATTTATCATGGTATAGATCATTACTACGAAACACAAAGCTCTTTGGAGCCTCAAGTGGCTGAAGTGGACCAGATGTACTGCAATTGAACCATAAGAATGTTCTGCAGTCGATGATGATCCGCTCGTTTGCCACCTACACAACCGTTAGAAGACCGGAAATGTAATTCAAGGCGTCTCTGACTTACGTGTCGCTGCTTTGGAATACCCGAGGCTGTACTAGGCAGACTGTACATACCAGAATACGTCCTGTGGTGGATGCCTTTCAAGCTCTCAAATACTCGACCACGTTGTACGAGTCGATCCTTGACTTCATCCAAATGGGGGCATAGACGTGCCGGGATAACTTCTAGCTCCAAAATTGGCTTGACGTTCTCAAAAGGCAATATGTTCAAGGTTGTTTCTGTGTACCCGAAGGTGTTCCCATCGGTGTCGATGAACCGGGCACAAAGCACGTATGCCACTGTTCCATCTGGCGTCTTGGAATAATTACTGCTGCTCAACCTAAACAGTCTATCGCGGCCTTCGACCGTGGTGTAGATTTCGATATCAGGCTCAAAGAGCGTCCACACATAATCAAAAGATATAACGCCGTTGTTCAAAAGATCCGAGGCTTGCTCAATACGCGGCTTGATCTCGGCATGTATGATATCTGCCAGAAGTTTGTAATGCGAACACTCCTCGGAGGAATCAGCGGAATCGTTCCTTGGGTCGGCTTGAGTAAACTCATCCCATCTATAGAAGAACTCTCGAAAAGGCGCATGAAACTCGAGTTTCTTGAGGTTGGGTTTGATGCCCTTGTAGCCCTTGAAAACCGGACCGAGAATCTTTTTGAGCAGTGGGCTCTGCACTGTGATAGAATGTAGCGATAGGACTGATTCATCAATTTCACCATGTTCCTTCTCGCGGCGGACAATGAGTGCGTATTTGGCTGAAGCTTGGGATGATCTTCCATCGACTCCGATTTCTTCCTCCGTCCACTCCTGCCAAGGGTCCCAGCTGCTCTTCCGGTAAATATCTTTAGTCTCAGCAGCCATGCCCACCTCTACCGGGTTACCCGAGTTGTTTTGATGATCTTGGTCCTTTGGATTATGCTCATCTGAGCGCATGAACCAAGGACTGCCCATGTTTGTTGGCTCAGGATAGGATCGAAAAAGAGCTAGTACCAGAACTTCTCTTGATGAAAGTAGTTGGTCGACTGGGATCCAGTGAGTTCTGAATGTCCACACCGAATGATAAGATCAGCCGTTGACGTTTAGTTCTAACACACGTATAAAGTTCCTTCTAGTAACGACCCAAGAGCAAGAAGAGCGCACTACGCACCAGCATGCGAAGACTTGTCTCAATAAAGCGACAAACTGGCCATCCTTCCTGCAGGTAAGTGATATGACCCGGGATTGAATATGCGTGTATACGCCTCATAGAAACAAAGGCAGCTGAAAGGCAGCTTGGAGCCCAACAGCTGATTGGCGATCTGCAGGTGCCCAAAGAAGGATGCCAATCATGACCCAATAAAGAAGCGTCATTTAAAGCTGGCCAAAGCCATCATATCTGATCATTTCATGGCCCCGCTCATGTCGTCCTATCAAAAAAGGGGTGTAAGGTTTGTTCAGCTCGGATTGTAGACTCATTCTTGTACATAGTATATCACATTATCAAATGACGGAGCGCAGGCCTCAATCTCTTGGTTGTCTGCTGTTAGGCCTGCATTGCCGCATTGTTGCATAAGCTAAGGTTTGGACACATCGTATGCCATAAACAGCTATTTGGGGCTTTCCGGACCTCCCGAGAAATGCAAGGGAGAGGAAGCCAAGCTGTAGAACATCCAGAAATGGCTTAGGGGCGGAATCAATCCTAAAAAGTGTCTGCTTTTTGGATTGATCATCGTCAGGCATCACAGATGCTGGTACCCTGTTCTTCCGTATCATGAATAAGGCTGACTCACTACTTTTTACTCAATGAACTGAGATTACCAAGCCGAGCATGACCAGTCTCTCCAGGTCTGAAAAATGCTGCCTGATCAAAGCTGACCCCTGGTTTTGTCAGTGTATCCAGCGTGGCGTTGCAATCTTGCGAGTATTATCACTCTAGGCAGAAAAGTAATAAGAAATTCTACTTGTCCTGAACTCCATTATGTCCTGGCAATAAGTTTGCTATAAGTAATCGTATATCCCGAAAGGAGTTGAGTTACTAGAATTTGTAAGATTTCTTTCACTCCTACCGATAAACTTTTCAAGTCTTAACAATACCTATGTTAACATCACACTCAAGAAACGTATGAAGACCCAGTAATATTCACACTTATATGTGGTCTAGTAATACAAAAACAAAGTCTCTGCTTTTTCGTTTCAGACTAGGTGCTCCGATTTTATCTGATATTTACCCATCCTCCTGCTAAACGATAGCTGAGAATCCACTCTTGATCCCTCGCTTATGTGACTCATGTGAGACTCTCACCCGCTTATACCCTTGTCTGGAACTTCCATCATTATCATGGTCATCACCTAAAGGACGTTTCCGGGCTGCCTGCGTCGGATCCTGAGGTTCACTTCTTGCCTCGCTGGGCATCTCAACAAATGCGGTTTGATAGGTTTCTGACTCAGGCAAATCTATTTCCATGCCAGTAGTCATTTCAATCTCAGTTGTTAATTGTTTTTCAGATCCACGGTCGTCCGTAGATGAAGATTCCATCGCTTGCTCGCCAATGGTCCCTGACAGCTCTTCCAGCCAGTTCCCACCGTATACCGAAGCCAGTTGTTCTTGGTCAAAAACTCATTCATATCGTCATCTAGCCGTGTATTTATCTCATAATGTAGTAGTACTTCGTGCTTACGTAATTTTTTATGCTGAAGGTAATTCTGGTAATATCGGAGGGCCTGGCTCAAGAAAACTTCGGGGTCCAGCAGGGCGAGGTTTTTCTCGATGATGGAGCGGGTGAGTTTAAAACGGGGCTTAGGGCAATGCTTATGAGGCGGGCAGCTTATCATTAGAATTGAACAGTAAAGGGAAGCTTTAAAGTGTGAGCGGTGGTTTTCATCCATGGTGGGTGACTGTTTGGCGTTGGTTGTGTGTAGTGTTGGTGATAGTGGCTAGACTGTTGGCATTTGCTAAGAGATGTTGCTTGAGCATAAGAAGTAGTCTGAGTATTTATAGTTCAAACTAGCCTGCATTCTCGATTTTTGTTCACTAGTCTAGTATATTATGTGCGATCATGTTCCAATGGCTCAAAGACTAGCATCGTCGCTTCTTTGCTAAGCTTCTTAGTGAGGCAATTATGTACGTACAGCAATGGATTTATTTCTTTATTTCAAATATCTTTATTTATATTGTCTTCAGATAAAGAAGAACTCATCATATCGAGATTTGCTTGTATTTCATGTGCTTTATTCGAGTCTTTGTCTGAGTAAATTGAATGTGGACTATTAAGGCTGCGAGGCTTTGATCTGCTACTATTTTGAACATGTGGCGTTCTCACTGGTGAGCGATGCTCCTCGAGCTTCGGGCGGTGCCACAGCTGAAGGATCGATGATAACATTGATAACAGTAGGTCCATTTCTCACCATCGCTTCCTGAAGTGCTTCTCGCAGCTCCTCTCCCTTTGCGACTGTACATCCCTCACATCCAACAGCTCGTGCCAATAACGCAAAATCTGTATAAGGGATGCAACATGGAGGCGGACTATCTCCCAACATCCGAGGCACTTGATCACAACTGCCATACCGGCTGTCATTCATGACTAGCCAGATGGCTTTCGATCTATATTTAACAGCGGTGCTCACCTCTGACTGCATCAACATTGCTCCGTCACCAACAATGGCCACTGCGCGTTTGTCCGTAAGGCCCATGCCGACAACGCCGCAGACAGCATGGCCCATGGGATAGGAATCCAGGTTTGATCGATAAAGCCCAGGTTTGGGGAATTTCAGGTAATGGGCTGTCCAGCAGAAACTGTTTCCGGCATCGGCGATAATCAAGCATCCATTTCGATTGATGGCAACATCTTGAACGACCGACATGACTGTCACTGGGTGAATCTGTCCTTCTGATGTAGCTAGAACCGGTTGGATAATGGCATCTGGTATGAATGGATAAGCAATCCTGTCTCCAGGCCTCTCAACCTCCAGCACGGCTCTAAGAAAGAGGCTGATCTCAGCTTCAATGAAAGTCGAACTCTTGGGCATATTTCGTTTGACCTCTGAAGTTTCCAAGTCAACACAGTAAAAGTCGGTATCGACCCATTCCTCTTGAATAAACATAGAGCTCAGCTCAGCTGCCTTAGATCCAAGAAGAAGGACCCCTTTAGGCGGGTCAGCTCTTATCGTGGGGCGAACTGATGCTCCCAAACCAGTTGTGCCGAAATACAAGAGATGATTCTCCGGGAATATACCCTTCGCGCGAGGTGTAGCAAGAACAGGGAGGTCGTATCGTTCCGCAAGCTGTTTGACAAGAAGGGAGGCACTGCGGCAGCCGTAACCGATCCAGAGAACAAGGCCCGTGGTTTTAAGTTTCCCAGCAACCTCCCGGCAGACAGCAAGCGTTTCTGCGGATAAAGAGGGGACTGGGATTTGTTCGTCAAGTTCGAGTCTCGGACGTTGCAGAGGTGATATGAGTGATTTGCTTCTGGCGGCAGTCAAGAAAACGCCTAATACCCCCCCAAGTGGATCACGCTGAATCCGCGTTAAGGTTTGTTGTAGTCGCCCTACATTCAGCTCGCCCCTGATGATCTCATAGTAGCTGAGTGCACTATCCACAGTTGGTCCAGTCAGCGCCTCCACATCTTTTGGAATAGTCTCCTGGACAACTCGACGGCCAGTTCGATCAATCTCCTCGCCCGTCAAGCCCGCAATAAAGATAATTCGGGCTCCATCTGCACGAGCACAGCGAAGTCCAGTGATGGCATTGGTGATTCCTGGGCCACTCGTTACGAAAACAGCAGCCACCTTGCCAGTCTGTATAGAATACTCTGCTGCGGCAAACGCAGCGCCGGATTGATGGCGACAGTGGTAGACTGCGATGTCTGAGTGATGTAGGGCTTTCCAGATGTGATATATGTTGCCCCCGGAGATACCGAAAGCTTTGTCACATCCAACGGAGGACAGGGACTGGACGATGGCGTCGGCGTAGGTCTGCATGGTGGAGGGAGATGGGTTCGTGAAGTGGTGAAGTGTCTTGGGGCAGAGATGCAGACTCGGGGTTACATACCTGCCTGCTGCTCTTCTATCACGAAATATGGAGAACATATGGGTAGCACTTGCTGCACTGGTGTGACGCACATGATAACTTCCGATTTAGTAAATTCAGGTCCAAGTTTCAGCCACGGTAGTCGACTGGGGATCGCACCTTCTCATCCTAAACCACAGAGTGAGCCAAGATTATTATGAGCTTTTTAGATTTGCAGAGTGTTCTTGCATCTTAGACCATCCAAAAACGCACACCACAAAAAGGAAAAAGACTCCTGGAATGGAAGCCAACGTCGTCACCCAGTTCTCACTCGTCAGTGCCGTCTGGGAAGGAGTTGGAAGTTCTGGTCTCACGATAAGCAATGTTTCTGATAAAGGCGACCATGGTCTTGGTACATTTCAGCATCTAGATGGAGAGATGGTCATGGTAGATGGTCAACTTTACCAGTTCCGATCAAGCGGATCAGTATCTCGGAAAGGAGACGAGGATATTATCACGTTCGCCCAAGTTGTGTTCTTCAAACCAAATTCTCATCTGCAATTCGACTCCTTGAATCCGCGAGCCGTTCTTGACTATCTTGACACCAGCCACCCAGGTAGTCACAATCTATTTCATGCTGTAAAGATCGAAGGGATGTTCCAGAATATCAAACTTCATGTTGCGCGGAGACAGCAGTACCAAGGCGAACCCGGCTCAGAGATCATGAAATCAATGCTCGTGTACGACTTGGAGGATATTGAAGGAATCGCTTTTGGGTTTCGGTCTCCACAGTCCACACTATTGCAAGACGGGACTATCGATTCCTGGATTGTACCACCGCCTTGTTTCTTCGGATCGGAGATTTGGCGGACATGTGATGGAGTTCTCTATGGGAGGTGGGATAATCTCAAGTAGCGTCGTCACCAAGTTTCAACTGGAGCTCCCAACAAGCAAACAGTTCAATGCTGCGTCTCTTGGTACTAGCACCGATGTGTTTAATGATGGTTAGTCTCGCCCTTTAGGTGCTGTTGACTATTGCAGCTCGCGGCTTTAATAAGAATTTGCAGTAATATCAAGTCCGGGTGTTGGTACGGAGTTGGCAAAATGCCCGAAATATCAGATTCTTTCAACATCGCCAGGTCTCGTGCGTTGTAATTTGGACCTGCAATTAATCACTAAATCTAATTTGTGCTTTTGTTTCGTGGTTGAATAAAGAACAAATGAGGTGTTGGAAAATTAGCAAGTGAAGGAGAGGCAATGCTGGTAAAGCTTCCTCCAACCCAAGCCCGTCACTGGGCCAGTTCACGGTAGGCAAAGCCTGAGTGAGACAGGGGCGTCACATCCGTGGAAGCCGCGGAAAGCGCCAAGACTTGGAATACGAAGGCAATAAGGCATCAACCACGCATTAACACCTTTACTGACACAACAACGACTCATCAAAATTCCGCTTTACGCTACAAGCAATGAGATTCGAAAGAATTACATTAATTTTATACTCCCTAAAACTATATCAATAGCCATTGCTGTCTTGAGTGCCAAAGACCTTCACAGAACACCGTACCCAACATTGAATCCAAATATCTTCAGCAATGGAACCTAACAAACCGGCTCTCAAAATTGTTCGAATAAGCTCTCGTGAGCAACTGGAAGAGCTTGTCGACTTTATTTGCGATGCCTTCATGGAAGACGACCTGTTCTGTGCCATGGTCCCTGGCCGCCATGAACATCCCGAAGCGGCTCGAAGCATGTGGCGCATGACCCTCGTCGAAGAGTACGGTAGGAAAGGCTCTATCATCCTAGCTGCTCGTCGACAAGGGGAGAATGGCGAGGAGGGAGAATTTGTTGCCTGTGCAGTTTGGTGTCGTTATGGAAAGAGTGATCTCGCTCGAAGTTGGCAGGGAGATTACTGGAATAAACGTAAGTCAGCATTGAATCTATGAGAGAGGCACCTTGACTAAGAACGACCCTACAGGGATTGCCAGGATTGAAACTGCGTGGACGATGTTCTATCGTTTCTTCCTCCGACAAGCAGGTCCCGGAATGGCACTAGACGCCTGCATCGCAGCAGGAGAAGCCGCCGAGCAAGCCTACAAGTTCTACCCTTCTGAGCGCTGGCGTCTCGGCCTCCTAGCCACCTCGCCCAAATGCCAGAGAACCGGCATTGGAAAGCGCCTTGTCCAGTGGGGCCTTGACCGCTGCGAGGAGGAGGGAGTTCCAGCGGCGCTCGAGTCAAGTGTGTCAGGAAGGCCACTCTACGAAAAGATGGGCTTTCGAGAGGTAGGCACCGTGAGCTTCTACGAAGGAAAGTGGTCCATGCCTGCGATGCTCAGACCTGTGGAGGAGACTAAGAAGACGGTTTAGGAGGCAGCTTTATCAGATTCAAAGGCCGAAGGCATCGTTTGAGGCAACTGGGGCTCAGCGGTTGCGGGCAAGGACGTATGCTCTAGATGCATGATAGATGGCGTGGCGTTTCATTCCTGATTAGTCGCAAGCTTTTGTTTTACTTGCTACACTATTAAATTCGTGACGGTGAAAACCAGGGGTTGGAACGACGCCTTGGAGATGACGAGCATCGGGCCTAGAATGCTGGCAAATTAGAAGGGCAATTTGGGACAAAGAAACTTGGTTGGTCGTGATTTGGGAGGATTACAAGTGAAGAAGGGGCTAGAAGTGTGAAGGGAGGAAAATCCATTATGTTGACGCTGTGCTAGGCCATCTTGACAGACGAGAACCGCGACTGCGAGGTCAGGCGCGCGATTGAATTATTAACACTTCACTTGGGCAAATGTGGTGGTCAAAGATGTGTATAGTTAATTGAACTCAGCTTCCTGCGCGATAGTGTTGATGTTTCCCCGTCGCATACTACTAGCAAGATACTCTGATCGGAAATTCCCTGAAAGTTCATGGTGCAGGCCTGGCTATAAACTAATGAGGTTTCCTCGCGTACCTGCCAGGAAACGTGCTACTCATGACTGCACAGGGGTATTGAAAACGGATCTGGGTTGATAGGTTTTAAATTGGAGAGGAGAGCGTAAAACGTGAGGTGGTGGGATTTTTGAGAGTGTTATTTTGAGTTGATAGACCTGACAGCTGATGCTTGCATCGCGCGCCCTACGGGAGGTGAGGTTGACAGGATCATCCTACTGCGAAACTGATTCTTGCCTCGTGGGGTAGTGGGATCTAACGATGTCTCAGAACATGAACACGCTCGTTGAGCTTATGACTATGGGGGACGCCATGTGCTGTGCTGAGAAGCTAAGTTATGCGTGGTCCTTAGTTACCCGAGGTAAGTAAGATACAACACATAACTTAGCTTCTCAACACAGAACATGGCGTCCCCCATAGTCACAAGCTCCTCAAACATGTCCATGGTCTTCGAAGTCGCCTGATCCATGATTATGTGGATGGGCTCTTCCACGTCAGGCGGCATGGTCTCAGCACAACGCATTGCATCCTCCATGGTGACAAATTCCACGAAGGCGTCCATAGCTTTGGACATCGCCCTGTCCATGATGATCTGGATAGGTTCCTCCACGTCTGGCAACATGCGGCTGTTGCGACCAACAAAGGCCTCAATCTCTCACCCTGAAATCGGTTTGTCTGGAGCTAGACGGCCATCGAAGAAGTGCGGCTTGTAACCGCTCGTCGAGGAATGGGCTGGCTCCAGCTCCTCATCCGTCTCGACCTCTTTGAAAGACTTTGCTAGTTCCGCTGACTTTGCAGTCTTCTTCGGCTCCCTCTCCGACTCTCTGCCCTCCTTTGCCTCCTTTACTGTGGGCTTAGTCACGATGGAGCTTCTGCGACCGGCAGAGGAGCGTCGCGACCGTCCTCCCCATACACAAAGTTTGCCGCGGGGGTGAATGTGTTGGACGTTCCAAGCCTCCTTTTCAGATATCTTGAAGCGGCAGAGGGCCCTTGGGTAAGGGTTGATCCCCAATGCGGTTCGTTTCCATTAGAAACGAACAGCGCCTCGCGCTGTTGCTTCAGGCGAAGACCTTCCTCCCTGTCAAAGTAGTATCTTTAGACGATTATGTGCACATAATCGGCGAGTGGTAGCTATCACCCGACGCAAATAGAGCGCGGGGGGTGGCCAAGACCAACTGTTGAGTGTTGGTCCTGAATGATGCCAGCTAGGTATGAGGGGGGTGTTTGAGGTTCACCTCCTGCGTGCATCGAAGGATGGCAGCGCAAGGAGGGACAGTCCCGGGTCCGGGTCTGAGGGTCACCCACAGTCGAGTATGATGTGGGGAAGAGGGGGAAGTTCACCGCTGTGATATTGTATGTGGGGTGGTTCTGCGTCTAGGACAATTGTCTGTCAGCTTCTGTGCGATAGCCAAAGTACGGTGGGATGTATTTACCTCTTGTTTCGCGTGAAAAATGACAATTGTTATATTACAAGTCGGGGTCCATCGAACTTGACCGCCAACGTGGGGTAGGGGAGTGTTATGACATGATGCAATGGGCTTCTCTCGTCGAGAATTTACTGACTAAAGTGGCGGAAGCGACTTGAGCAAACAAGTTGTTTGCTTGTAAAAAAGGTGAAGGCTGCAAGCTCAGCTATAATAAGAAGGAGGTGACCTCTGACACTCTTGTGAGTATTCGTTGTTGATGGAGCCGTAGGCTTCTCATCGTGCTTGGTGTGTGGAGGACATGGGTAAATAAGAGTCACCAAGTTGGGCAATGTGCTACCAGCTTTTGAGGCGAAATATGTGGGAGGAGAGACTGTGGCGGGGGCGAGGAAGATGATGAAATGTATAGAGGGTGCTTTGGTCAAAGCGAGTCTTTTGCTCTTGACATGAGTGGAGGTAGTATTGGTGGCTCTAGTGCAAAGGGAATTTCCTTGCGAGAATTTGTTTGTTTCTGTGACGCTTGTTAGCTTAGAAGGAAAAGACGTGTAGCGATGTCAAGTTTGGCACCAGCAACTGGTCGCAGGCTTGAGAGTCAAAGACGAATATGAGATTTGTACTTACGTGGAGGGCTCACTTGGCCGCTATATGTGACGAGGTGGTAGGGGTGATGTGTGACGCGTCTCTGGTGGGAAAAGATGGTATCTTGTGCATAGTAGCATTCTGCTTGGGCGCTTGATATACGCAGGAGACGAAGGGAGGAGGTAGATGTGAATGAGTAGCGTGCTTCAAGGCATGAGATGGGATATGTAGGGAGAAGACATGAAGACGCGTTTTGTTCTGGCACTTCGTTGTCTCTGGTGAAGTGATTGCCCACCGCATGAAGGGGGAGAGGCGATGAGGGGAGGAAGAATTTCATCTCCGATGCTCGCACATCTCAGTTGTGTGGGAGCTGCAAATCAGAAGGAAGGTGTGGGAAGATGATAGAAGAGGGCTAGGCAGTAACTTGCTCATAAGCAACGCGTTGCTAGGGGAAATCAGGAGTGTCTTATCCGGCGAGAGAGAGGAGGGAACTCGGTTGTTTTTGATGCAGTTTTGGAGATATGTAGATTCCGACACGAGAAATAAAAATCAAACGAAAAAGTGCATCTCGTCTCGAATGTGCATGAAAAACGAAGCCATGCTGAAAGTGACCTTCTGGGTTGGGGGTGATGTCAAAGGAGGATGACGGGACGCTACAGGGAGCTCGCCCAGAATTATGGGACCAAGACAGGGGAGGGGGGCCAGGCACACGCTCTTGGGCCAACCAGAGTGAGCCCTAACTTGCCGAGCTCACCCCACGGATCTCACCAAGACATGGGTAGCTCAAGTTCCAAGTTTTGGGAGCTTCCATTTCGCTCACTCATCATTTTTACCTCCTCACCTCATACTTCTTACCCAACTTCACAACACACACAGCCATGCCTCGCATCAAAGCCCCCTCCAACCTCCCTGAGCTTGTCAAGTCGACTTTCACAAAAGCTCGCTCAGAGAACGATTTGCATTATTTCCCCACTCAAGTCGCCATCCTCAATGTTGATTCCATCCCCGTACGTGTCATCCTATCTTCGCTCACTGGACGAATGAGCGCCATATAGGCCTAGAGAATCACTGCTAACACGAAACTCAGTTCCAACTCCGCTTCTCGCCTTCCTTGGCAAACAAACCCAAGCCGCCGCCAAAGGACCTCAACAAACCTCAAAAGCCCTTTGACCCTTTTGAGAACCCTCTTCCCGCTCTCAAGGTCACAGATCTTGGCCCCTCCCACTATCTCGTGCTGAACAAGTTTGCTGTTGTTCCCGAGCACTTCATCCTTGCCACGACAGAGTTCAAGCCCCAAACTCATGTCCTCGAAGAGTCTGACCTTGAGGCCACACTCGCTTGCATTGAGGCATATGAAGGTGCCAGAAGAACCGAAGCAGAACAAGGCCACCGCGATGGCACACTCGGCGGCGGTGATGGCCTCTTTGCTTTCTTCAACTGCGGTGACCACTCTGGTGCCAGCCAACCTCATCGTCACATCCAACTCCTCCCCATCGCCAGAATGAAGGATGGCTTCGAGGCTGACACTCCTTGGACTGTTCTCGCCGATCAACTCAAAACCAAAATCGCTCCCTTTGCTACCTTTGCCGAAGACATCAAGCTTGGCATGTCTGGTGCAGACTTGCACTCCACTTATCTCCGACTCTACCGCAAAGCCTGCCGGGCTGTTGCTGTTTACACCAAAGATTCTCTTCATACCGAAGAAGCACCCGCCGAGGGTGCCACAAGAATCAGTTACAACCTTGCTATGACCAAAGACACTCTTGTTGTCTGCCCCCGCCTGGCAGAGGGCGTTAGGCTCCAAAGCCAGGACGGTGATGTACTTGGTACCGTCTCTCTCAACGGCACCCTTCTTGCCGGCACAGCACTGGTCAAGAACGAGTTGGAGTGGGAAGCTCTCAAGAAGGATCCCGATACGCTACGCAACGTCCTACGAGACATCGGAGTGCCAACCACATTTGATAATGGCGGAGCGCTTCGCTTGTAGTTTTCGACAAGCCCCGCAACCTGCAAATTTGTACGGGGTAAGGTGTGCGCTGCAAGCATCGGCTGTCAGCTATCTCAGCTCAAAATAACACTTCTCAAAACACACTTCAGGCAGCATACTCACAAAGCTGTACAGAGGTACATGCAGTGGAAGTCTGCTCAAAACAGACATTGTGGGGGAACGATGATCACGAGGAGCAAGAGGAGGGGCCACTCAGAATGACACCGCTGACAATATGAATGGGGCTCGTCGAATCCTCCGAGGAAGACGAGCCGTTCCAACTGGGTGGCCCCACAAGCTCTGGTAGTGCTTCGAGCGCCGTGGAAGAATCGCCTGATAAGAAGAAGATCGAATACCGGCCGGGTCTGGAGCCTGCAAAGCTGTACAGAGGGGTACGCAGTGGAAGGCTGCCGAGGAGCTTGGTGTTCGCATTGCGGGACTCCACGAGTTCATTGCCGCCCCGAGGGTAATGCTTTCGTGGTCCAGCTATCTGGGATAGCCCTCCACTCATATCTGGGTTGTGAGCTAGATGTGTTGTTTGCAGTCGAGACCTTGGCTGAGAGCTTATAATCGCCACACAGAACTTGGTGCACCACTACACGGGAGCCGACATCGAATTCGACCAAGACAAACCAGCCTACCCTACCAGCTCTCCAGCAAATTTATTCTGGGGACGATCAATCCCAGCAGCTGTCTCCTCGGAGAGCTGGTAAAAACAGCACGCGGTGGAAGTCTGCAAGATCAGGCATTAGTCAAAGGCGGGGGTGACTACGAAGAGCAAGAGGGGGGAGCCACACAGGAAAACGATAATGGCAATATGGAAGGGTCTCCGTCCACTACCACTAATCGCCCTCGACATGTCTGCTCTTCCTCCAGACAACCATCGAGGTTTTGGACGGAACCCTTCCATCTGAGTGGCTCTCCCATGGCTCTTGCACACGTGTGGGGATTGATGAGCTGGTGGAAATGGAGGTGACTACGGGGAGCAAGGAGGGGAAGCCGCCCAAACGAAGATAGAGACACTATGGAAGGGGCTCTGTCAACCCATTCGGAAAAAAAAGCCAGACGGAGCCCTTTCATGGCGGCAGCCCCTCAAGCTCCCCTAGACGGTCGGTCTTGGAGGCGATGTCAAGGACGGGGAGGGAGCACAACACGTAGGGGACTGGTCAAAATGGGATCAGTGATACTATGGAGGGGACTCCGTCAACATCGTTCAACAAAAAGTCAAAGACGGAGCCCCTCCGACTTCCAGTCCTCGCAAACTCCCCGTCGGACATCAAGAGTTCGACAAGTTGTGGGAGGTGACTCCTCATCCGGTAGCGATGTAAGTATTTCCTACCCCTCATTGAATCAGATAACTAACATCTGAACGTAGGGGGATGATGAGGCATCTTCGGATGAGGATCTGTCCGATGATTCAGATGAATCCAGCGTCATTGACGGCGCAGTCCTGGGTGTCATCGAAACGACCTAGTTCCGTGGGGTGATCATAAGCTATATGCCGAGATCACCTCACCGCACATGGTAGTTTGGATGGTGCTCAGGACCGCGCCGTCAATGACGCTGGATTCATCTGAATCATCGTACATGATCAACGTCAGCTCAGTTTTCGACCCTAATACCAACGCTGAGTCTCACCATGTGTTCCAGAGCACCATCAAAGGAAGCTCGGAATGGAACAGCGATGTTCAGGAGGATAGTGGCTCTATGGAAAGGGCGCCGTCAAGGTGCTCAACGAAAATTCAATGCCAGGGCCTTTTCAATTTGGCGGACCCAGAAGGTGGTGAGAAGGTCGAGGGGTCGACAGGTCGTCGGGGATGAGGACGATTACGAAGAACAAGAGGAGGAAACTGAGCAGAACCGGGATAGTGACACTATGGATGACTTATTATTTGGACTTGATGGACAAAAAGCAACACAAACTATCTAAACACTTCACTTCACTTTCCACACCAATCATCACAGGCAATCTAGAGCACTAAATTCAAACTTACTTAATCTCACGATAGCTTCTACCATGCATGCCTTGATTCACCACCTGTTTTTGTTATCCTGTGTTTCTCATGATCACCCCTACTTCTATGCAGCCTCCATCCGGGTAAGACAAGCACCTAATAGCAATCTACTTATTAGTTGACTACAGCTTGGATAAGACTCGTTAACAAAGGTCATTAATGATATCTAGTTCAGCCCTCCAGTGTGTTGAATCACAGTTCAAGGCATTATGTATTAACATGTCACATCGAGATATCAGATAAGGCATATCAAATCAGCAAAAGACAGTTGTTGTCGGTAACTGGTCTCTTATCATTATAGGGCCATTATTGTTCATTAAATTGCCGCCAGGAAACTAAAAAAAAACTCTTTACTGGGCCCTGGTGTTCACCCTCTGCCGGGCGATGTCACCCCGACTTCGGTTGTCGTACTTGGCCGCGATGGCCTGGGCAGAGAAGCGATGCGTCGCGTTGAGCTTGGGCATCTCCTCCTCCACACGACGCCAGAAGCCAGGGGCCCCAATGTCCATCGTCCCGAGCACCGTGTTCACGGCATGGTACATGATGCCGATCTGTTTAGCCATGTTAGTACAAGGTGTTGACACGAGGTAGAGGCGGGCAACTTACGTCTCTGGTGGTCCAGCGCGGGGTGCGAGGACGAGCTGAGGGGGGCTTCTTCATGCGGTCCCAGCCGCGGAGGGTGCTCAGCGAGGTGCTCAGCTCCCCGAGGTTCTTGATGTCGGCGTAGGAGACGCCATGGAGGCGGAGGAGGCGAACGAAGTTTCGCTTCTCCTCTCGTCCCACGGGCAGCGGCATGAGCCTTTGGATGAGGGAGGGGGAGGTGACCTCGTACTCATCGAGTACCGCGCGGATCTTCTGGTCCCGGGCCTGAGCCGGCGAGACTCTGCTGAGGCCGGCCACCGAGCCACCCGCTACAGCAGCAGGAGACTTGCTACTGGTGGAGACGGGGGAGGAAGACATTGCGCCTTGGTGGGAGGAGGAGGAGAGGGGGGGAGATGGCAACTGTGTGTTGGTGGGGGAGTCTGTACAAAGTTAGTCTTGAACACCGAAGATTCAAGTCAAAGTAGAAGGGAACAAAACATACCGGAGGCGCAGCAGGCGCAGCTGTTGCTTGAAGGGAGGCTTGGAGGCGGCAGACGCGAGAGGTAGTTGTGTGTAGAAAAGGGTAAAGGCTCGGCCTTGATGGGAGCGAGCTGGTCTTTGGCAAGTTAGTAAAAGGCAAAGTTGGAGTGATATGGGATGAAAGACTAAACATACCTTGGTAAAGACTACGGTAGATGTTGGGGGAGGGGAAGATGGGCGGAGGCAGATTCGGGGGTGGGTGGTGTAAAAAGCAGTCTTGTTCAAGTTAGATCAGGACTGCTAAGACCTGCAGCATGGGAAAGAGAAATAATACCTGGGCAGCTATAATCGCTTGAAATACTTGATGGCGGTGGACTCGGGAGGAAGTTGTGTGTGAAGTTATCTTGTCCAAGTCAGCACATGCGATGCCAAGGCAAGATGGTGCAAGGGGAGGAAGCATACCTGAGTAGCCAAGGCTACTGGTGTGACTCGAAATGAAGCTCGAAGCGCAGAGACAAGGCTCGGAAGAGAAAAGGGGCTGTTGGCACAGAGGCAGAGTCTGAGATGTGAAGTGATGAGGAGGAAGGAAAGAAGAGTAGAAGCCAGGCCAAGTTGCGGCGTTATATAGAGGAGCCAGAGAGCACTCGTCCTCGAATTTGACCATTTCCATTGTTCTTACAGCTCCGGAGGTGCTCAATAGGAACTCAGACGTAATTTATTGTTGCTATTCGTCACAGGCAATAGTTTCCAGTGGAGTCACGAGCCACTCTGCTTTGTTAGTGGCCCCAAACAGGTGCGAATTATGACGACAGGACCAATGAGGGACTGATAAGATGGACGGCAATGGAGAGACAATAGCAGAAGAGGCAAAGGCAGCAGTACACCGGGTCAAGAGACAATAGTAAAAGCGAGAAAGGGAGCAGTGGACAATGGGCACTCGTTGTAGGAGTAGACTTGATGGGTATTCAAAGGTCAAAAGAGGGAAATGAGCTTCTGATATAGACAATCAGAGCAGGGCACAAGCTCAACAGCACCATGGAAAGAACAGTATCACAAAAGCCCCCCAACTTAATGACACTGAGGATGTAGAAGACCCAACAGGGAAGAGTACGTGCACTTGAACCTGCGAACTTGCCTCCACACGGGGGGCTTCACTATCCCCCCCCCCCCGAAGACCTTGTAGGCTCAGCGGCCCTGTGCATACATACATCTCTGACAGGGGTGGGTTGAGCTGCAGCTGAGATCTGGGCCCTAGTGGGATCTTGGAGCTAGTGACGTCTGCAGGCGGGGACAGGGATAGCCCAGGTAGGTCGACCCGCTTGTGGGAGCGGGACTTTGCAGTGTTTGTAGTTGTCGTGATGTCAAGGGGAGGAGAGAGGATATGTGACGGTTTATGTGTATTGGATGCAATGTGAAATATGATTAGGTGCTTGACATGCTGCATGATGCATACTAAGTTCGTCTAAGTATTGGTAAAGGCTATGCATCAAGGACATCTCGAAAGACTGTGGACTAGGTGGCGATGCTGGGGTCTTGGTGAAGGTACAACGGCCAGGCTGTGAATAGGGCCAGATCACAATATGGTACGGCCAGATGCCTCTTGATACCATGGATGCAATCTATCACTGCATAATTGACTTATCACCAGCACAAAGGGTGAATCACAGGTACTGCAGAAGACGGATGTAGTGACACTTGCAAGCTATCCGGAATGGCGGTGATCATGTGCAAGACGTCGGGGTAAAGTGCCCTGTGTAGGTTAAGATGTCAGAATACCGCCAGCTCAACTCCGTGGTAGTACAGTAACAAAGTGGTACAGAGCCAAAAAGAAAACACCAAAGGCAATGATCACCATGACAAAGACACGTCTGTAACTAGATTTGTAGTGACATGGCTCGATGTAACGTTTTTGCGGTTTATGGAATAGGTTAGTGCTCACGCCGCAATCCAGGAACCAGAAAACACCAAACTTCTCCACTCAACCCGAATTTGGATAACTCTCAAAGCAGACGCAGTAGCTACATCTTCTATGGGAACACCAATGCAGACACTTCGCAGGAGAAGCATCATTCCACCATCAACGGCCTTATTAGCTCTTTATCTTGCTTTGTACTGTCCGTACGCGTACCTACAGGCAGCCTGTCCAGTCGCTTTCGCCAGAGAAAATCAAACAAGTCAATCACTCTGCGAGACCGGTACCCAGCATAACACTTGGGCATCCAGACCACTGGGAATCATATTCCACTATGCAAGTACTCACATCTTGATGTCTTTGCCAGTATGCTCTTTCATCATAATGTGCATCTGCTAACTTCTTCGTTGAAGACAACCCCTGTTTCCCGTCGAGGTTTGCTCAAGCAAACAAACGAACGAACCGGCCACTTCGAAACCCGTTTCCGCTCCCGTCAGCTGTCTCCTCCTCCTCCTCCTCCTCCTCCTCCTCCTCCTCCTTCTCATTTCTTCTTCGCCTTGAAAATCTCATCGTTTGAGATGGAAAAAAACGTTTCTTCTTTCGAACTGTAGGGAACAAAGGCCGCTTTTCCTCGTCAGGACGTAACTGCATACCAGCTATCCAGATTTGTGTGGTTTCACGGCATTTGTCATGCAGCCGCGTGGAAACCCGCGTGGGAGGCGTCAAGGATGGGCTGTGTAGTAAAGGGTGTCAGAAAGATGTGAGACAGAAAACGGTCGTGGGGGCAGGGTGTGCTGCTAGACATACCCAGATATGGCGTATGTGTGTGTTTGTGTGTGTGTGTGGCTCAAGCCATGTGATGAGATGCAACTTCATACTTGCTTGAGTTTGATCTTCGGGAACTATAGCGAACAGACCAGATGCATATATCGATTTTGGGAAATACGACGATCAGAAGGGAAAACGGGCGCAGAGGATCATCAACTGGTAATGTCGGCTTCGGGAAGACCCGACGGAGACGAGATTGGAGGAGCTCACGGCTAACGGGTTCCAGATTCTTGTTTGCAGAAGATCGAGTTCCCTTTTCAGGAGATGAACACCACGGCAATGACGAACTCTCTTACCATACGATATAACATGCTCCCGGCCGAAGCCCATCGTATCCAAGACCAAGTTCGAAGATCCCCTTAGTTCGCCTTATCGGCTATCTCGAGGTCGCCGTGCTGCACGAACCAGATACATACATACATATATACATACCTTACATGACGCACTCGAGGACCTCTACGTCTCCGCACACGTCACGATAGACATGCATTGGCTAGAACGTTACGGGAAGTCTATTGTACATTGACGCCGGTTCGACTGAAAGGAGTAAGGCTGCGTTTTTGCTACTTCTGGCTTCTTCTCTTGTTCTTCTTCTCTCGGGGAAACAATGCGAAGGAGGGACCTTATGCAAGGAGTATTCTCGGCAATGCTGTCACTCACGTTTCTTTTTGCGGAGGTGGAATCCTTTCCGTAGACAGACAATTCGTCAATTACATGAACCCTGTTTCTCGGACTTTCTGGAAGGTACATATAATCACTTGATCAATAGCGTGTGTATTATTGCGCTATGCATCACACATAATACCTGTTGTGCATCCCATCAAATATCTTTGTACACATTTACCCCAAGGCTTCGATTCCAGGGGCCGAGACAACGACCGTTGTGAGAAAGGTGCCAGAGCCGTTGGGAGGAAACAAGGCTTGCAGGGGGTCATCCTCTCTCGGACTGTGGCTAGCTGGACTTGGACTGTCTCGCAGTCTCAGCCCGGTTTTATCTTGCGTGCATATCAGGATAGAATCGACACCCGGGGGCCGGGTCGATGGACAATTGAGATTTGAGATTTTCCTTTTTTTTTTTTATCTCCGAGAACAGGTCATATTCGATGTGTATTATGCATGAAGTGTCATGCCATGACCATTGAAACGAACGGCGCTTCCGGTTCGTCTCCCCGTTTGGTGGGCTTTTGAAGATCTCCTCGGGTTGATCTGAGATCTGATCAATGTTTCATTGCATTAGCCAGCCTCGTTTCCAGCGGGGCCATTGTTGCAGCTGCAGCTGTAGGTATCTTGCTCCTTCAAACCACGTTGTATTGGTGTTGACGATGGCTTCATTTTGTCTCTCCTCTGCAGTTGCTACAAACGTTCTCTCAACACGTGGACCTCTGAACTAACCAACCCACGAACCAATTTGTTCCCCTCTCAAATCTCTTTCATGTATCTCGTCAACGACAATTGGGCGACTGCATGTTTGTCCAAACCCGCACGTTGACCTAAAATGGCATCAGCTACATGAATGTGGCTTTGATCTGCCTCCTATTTCCGCGTGGCGTTTTTTCGTAACTTTGGCTCTGAAAACGTCAAAAGAATAGAGTGTCCTTGGTTAGAACGTCTAGGTATGGGCCGGACCGCTCACACCGTCTCTAAAAAAAGTCTTTAGCTTGAACCTGTGTCCTTAGGTTACGTTGAGGTGCTTTAGTGGGATATGATAGGTGCTTTACAGCATGTGGCTGCTTAGTTCGCAGTTCGAGAAGCAAACGTGCGAACACCATTAGCCTACTGCAAGACTTTGCATTGACAGTCCATGCTTTCAAGGAGCACGGAGTACATGACCCCAATTGGGAGCATGTCTTTCCCAAGGCACTGATAAGACTCGGCCGAGTATTTGGTGTAATGGTGCAGGGTAGCTAGACAGCCACGACAAGACACGCACAACGAAGATCGATGGCGCTCACCAAGCCACATCACATACATGCATCACATAAGAGAGACATAGCCATGGACGAATTTGATCAACTTTAACATGTTTTTGAAGTACCGACCAATCTCAAGCCCAGTACAACGCGTGACCAATATCGTGCCCCTAAAACTCCGATCATGATTTTAAACATGAGAGCCCAATCCAGGCCCCGAGACAACAACACCCAGTGAAAAAGAAACACCACGCATCTATGATCCTCCTACTCTAGCCTCAATCTTCCCACTCCTCATCTAGTTGGTCAATCAGCCGATTCTCGGCATCTCTATCCTGCTCTCTCCGACTCGGACTCGAGTGTACTTGTTGGTAGCCACGTCGAACGGTGATTCGTCTCAGACAAGCCGTGAAGCAGCAAAAACAAAGTTCCTATAAAACCAAAAGAGAAAACCTCACCTGTCAGCCCCCAGTTTCTTTTCTATAAAACCAAAAAAAATAACGGAGGAGCAAAAAGAGAAAGGAAAATAACTCAGGGAGAGTATCGCTCGGGCTTGGAGCCGGGGAGGGGACGACGCACGCAGATGAAGCTCCAGATTCCCGCCCATAAGCTGTAGTTGGGGAGTTGTCGCCAGCCGCGCGCATGGGTCACCGTCCGGTTGTAGAAGATGCCGCCGAGGAAGTACACGAGCACCGCAATCACGACGATGAGTCCGAAGATGCTGCCTGGACCGACGCTACCGGGCTTATGCGGCTCTGCGTGGGCGCATGCGTGCGAGGATCGGACCTCAAAGAAATAGGCGCATTCGTCTGGGTCTGTGCCGACAAAGGAGACGCTGGCAGAGGTTGTGGTTGGGTCTCGATCGCAGTGGAACGAAATGGTCGTCGACTTGCGTCTTCGCTTGTCCTTTGGCTTCGGTTCCTCCTCAGCGGGCTCCTCGGGTTCCGGAACAGGTGTGTAAGCCGTCAAGTCGTTCTCATCCTCGAGGTACGAGTCGCGCTGGGCGGATCGTTCGTAGATAGGTTCCGTCTTGTTGACGTCGGCGCCGCAAGGAGAGCCCCCTGTGTATTGAAGAACCAACTTGCGACCACGGCTCTGTAAGTCCATTGATTCGAAACTGCGTCTGTATTAGCTGGCGCATTCCTTTCGGCGCAATGCACCAAGTTGTGCATGTTCAAACCCACCCTATTGAGAAGACCTCGCCTCCCACCATGTAATAAGCGCTCACGTTCTGCCACAAAGGCGGCTCGACACCAACGACGTTTGTGACTGGCTCCACGACCGGACCGCAGATGTTTAATGTGAAGTTCTTTCCGTAGTCGTAGCCCTTTGAGAAGTAGTCCTTTGTCACGGCGTACTTCTTTGTGTTCTCATCGGGCACGACGGCCATGTCTGGTCGTAGATCGAAGAAGCCGCCCATGCCGGTATGTGAAGTTGCTGTACATTGTGGGACTTGGATCGTGGTTGTCGGTTGCTCTGCGACTTGAGCGCTCGCCGAACCGAGTAACGATAAAGCGAATGGTAATGCTTGGAAGCGCATGATGATGGACTCGATGGTTATCGATGGTTATCGATTCGAAACCGTATGAGGATATTGGTCGTTGGAGTATTGAAGGCGAGACGAATGGATTAGAATGGAATGGACGTCGGGACAGATCTACTGCCTGGTTGATCGGAGCTATATGATTGCGATAAAGCCTATCATCAAAAACAATGGTCACCAAAAAAGGGGCTGATAATGAAGGAACAGGTGAGTAAGCGGAACAACTTCACAGAGAAGACACAAACATATAGTTTCAGGCCCGAGTCGCGAGGGTTTTGGCGATATGGAGATGGAGATGATGTATGTATTCTCCCTGATTACGCGTTGTGGTCCCTGGGCCTGGCTCCTGTTGCAATCCCCAAAACCTCAAACGGTCTTTTCCACAAATAGTAAAACCTGCCCTGGCCTTCCACGCCTTGCTCTACACCCCTTGACCGAAGAATTAAGACACATGGGGCTTGGATTTGTGGCGACATGTGTGGCTGGTGATTGGCCCCTTTGTGAGAGGACATTCTCCAACACCGGGACAAGTATTTGTCCGGCGGCATCATAGACTTTTGTGCCTTGGAGCTTGAAGATATACCGATTTCCTGGGACTCATCAGCCAGTCTGAACTTTGGCCAAACCGTGTAGATGACGAGTTGCGTATACCGCTCTCAAGTAAGAGATATAAGAACTCTATTTTAATACTACAGTCAGATATTTATTGCCGAACAAATCTATTGCCGACTTCCGTCGTGTTAGTGAAACTACGGAGTATCCAAGCTCTAATTCGCCAATTGACCTGAGACAACTGCCATTCCCGAATACGCGAATACGACAGGGGGAGCAGCGGGGCCCGAAAAAGAATACACTACGCGTTGATTAGATTAAGCTAATTCTGTGTAATTTCGTCACGACTCCCGTAGACTCGCCTTGACTTTTTGCAAAGAGTTGATCTTTGTTTCATGAGAACAAGAGGCCTCGTTGTTTGAGTAGAATTCCTTTGGCATCTGAACTTAGAAAGAATTGAAGCCCCTGATCTGAGTTCGTCAAAACCTCAAACATGGCTGTCAAAGATAAACAGCCGGCTTCAGAGGAGCAACACGGCTATGAGTTCTTTGGCCCGTAAGTTTCAAGTCATCTCCTTACCTCACTCTTCAGATCATAGCTAACAATTCTCAGTCCCGGCGCCTTTGTCATCTCGTTCTTCCTCCCCATCCTCGTATACGTCTTCAACTTCGTCTGCAACGACATCTCGGGATGCCCCGCGCCATCTCTGCTTCACCCCAAGACCCTATCGCTCGATGCCTTGAAACACGAAGTCGGATGGCCCAGCAATGGCGTCGCTGGCCTGGTCAGCTGGAAGGGAACCGCCGCTGTGATCGGATACAATGTCCTCTCCCTGATCCTCTACCGGGTTCTTCCCGCGGTTGAAGTTGAGGGCACCGAGTTGCGCTCTGGAGGAAAACTCAAGTACCGATTTAACAGTTCGTCAAACCTGAGAATGATGAGAGGAAGACGTTTCTAACACGTTTCGCAGCTTTGTACTCTAGCACCTTCACCCTGGCTGTCCTTGCCGCTGGAACCGCTGCTCAGGGTGCCGAGTTTCCGGTCTGGACCTTCATGTCGGAGAACTTCATTCAGATCCTTTCCGCCAACATCATCTACTCCTACCTCGTGTCCACCTTCGTCTACGTTCGAAGCTTTAGCGTTAAGCCCGGAAATAAGGAGAACCGCGAGCTTGCTGCTGGAGGCCACTCCGGAAACATGTTGTATGATTGGTTCATCGGTCGTGAACTGAACCCCCGTATTTCGATCCCTCTCATTGGTGAGGTTGACATCAAGGAGTTCCTTGAGCTTCGACCTGGAATGATGGGCTGGATTATCATGAACTGTTCTTGGTGCGCTCAGCAGTATCGCAACTATGGTTTCGTGACGGATAGCTCTATCCTCATCACCGCTGTTCAGGCTCTGTATGTCTTCGACTCTTGGTGGAACGAGCCCGCGATCTTGACGACCATGGACATCACCACCGACGGCTTCGGTATGATGTTGGCTTTTGGCGATATTGTTTGGGTGCCATATGTCTACTCGCTGCAGACCCGGTATCTCTCCGTTCACCCTGTCTCTCTCGGCCCTCTCGGACTAGCCGCTATGCTGGGTCTCATCGGCCTTGGCTTCTACATCTTCCGCTCAGCCAACAACGAGAAGAACCGCTTCCGAACCAACCCCGACGATCCCAGAATCTCTCACCTCAAGTACATCCAGACCCAGAAGGGCAGCAAGCTTCTCACAACAGGCTGGTGGGGAATCGCTCGTCACATCAACTACCTGGGCGATTGGATCCAGTCGTGGCCCTACTGTCTTCCCACCGGTATCGCCGGGTATCAGATTCTCAGCGCCGGAACTCATGCCGAGGGCGCGTGGGTTATGCGAGACGGTCGAGAGGTTATCCAGGGCGAAGCTAAGGGATGGGGCATGCTCATCACCTACTTCTACATCCTGTACTTTGCTATCCTTCTCGTCCACCGCGAGAGACGTGACGACGACAAGTGCCACCGCAAGTACGGCAAGGACTGGGAGGAGTACCGCAAGATTGTTCGATACCGAATCATCCCTGGTATCTACTGATTTATGAATGGGGTTTTTAGTTGAGTTCAGATAATTAGACCGAGTACCACGACGCTTAGAGACGCTGGCGGTATGGTGGCCCGGAGAGGGAAAAAGTGTATTCTATGGAGTCGATGATGGCATTGATTCATGTAATGGGCTAAGGGGTATCATGATGATCCTTGAAAGGATGAAATCGCATAGAGGGAGCTGACAGACTTGCCTAGAAGGGCAGTAAGCTACCACAGAAAGCTACTTAATAATGATTTGACCGTTTAAACAACCTGCATCTGCATACCACCCAAGCTTTTACTGCTGTGCCTTTGACTTACAACGTAGCATAGCACGCACATCTTCCTGATCCCAGACATCCAAGGAACAGCGCCAATTCACGAGCCCAGCAGGGCACCCATTACCTCCTAGACAGCTACAGAATAATAAAACTCTTGCTAATCTGACCATTTCGCCAAGAATACAAAGATGATCACGACTTGGAATCAATGGAGACGGGCTCTAGGCCCGACATTCCGCGGTGGTTCTTCGGACGCAGACGATCGCTGGGGTCGGGGTTAGTTTCTCTGGGATGCGGGGAAGAAAGAAAAAGGTTCCAAGGGGCGGGGGAGCAAGGGCATCGTGGGGAATTAGTGATGATGACGGGGAAATATGTAGAAAAATCTGGTGTTGTTTCGGCAATTGATCAAGGGAAGAGCAAGAATTCACCGAAAAAAGATACCCCGTAATTTCGAGCAAGGACTCATGCGTGAGGGCAATTAGGGCGGATTAGACTTTTTTATTTTGGGTTTTCTGACTTATATTAATTACAGGATCTGGAGAGGGCATGACCTTGGTAAAATTTAGCTATGTCGATCACGGTTCTGAGCTGACGAGGTGTACTCTGTAGTGCAACGTTGGTCCAGCTCGTGTTGGGAATTTATCAGATGAGATCAACACTCTCATGATCTAAGAGGCCACAGACTTGCAGCACCATCTGCCCAGTTCAGTTCAGTCCAGCTCTTGTTTATGGGTAAACAAAGGGACAATGCAATGCAATTCGGGTCTGGTCCGAGGAGTAGACCATGTGACGTCAAGATACTCCAGTCCAAATACTACATCCTCTTCTCTCCCATTCACACAACACGCATGTAAGTCGATGGTCAGACGAGTCTTGACTGATTCCTTTGGGTCTAAAGCTGCCTCCAACATCGGCCCTTTTTACCCCACGACCCAAGAAAAAGAGCCTGTTCACGACAATTGTCCAATACCAGCCGTGATCGACCCTCCCCAGCAAGCTACGGCATGCAGTCCCCAGGTCAAGGCATACGCGGTGGGGTACATTGACACAGCATTTGATGACGATGAACCTTTCTTCGCAGTGCATTTTAATCTCTGCTAAGCTTCGGGAGAGGCGGCGTCCGTCCGTGAGGGAAGGGATGTGCAGTGTGCGGTGCTTGTTAGTGGAGTAGCATTTAGACAGGGTTTAGATATCCCATGTACTGAACTTAGACTACAGCACTGCAGCTGTCGTGCGTGTTCTTCGCTGTAGCTGCACGTGGTGACAATGTTTAATTTTGTGAATATATAAATGTTAAAATACCACTTCTTTTCTGAGGCTTCTCTCCCCTCCTCACACTCGTCGATAAAGTTCTTCGTTGGCTTGCTCCCTTCAACTTTGGTCCCCTTAATTCCAATATATTGGACTAGCCTGTCAGTCTACTCCCTCAATGTTAAATCGACGACATTGATCCCTCTCCCCAGTAACAAAGGCTCACCAAACTTATAGATATTATATTATAGGAAGACACGGTCATAATGAAGCTGAATTGGGTCGCCGCAGCCCTCTCTATAGGTGCTGCTGGCACTGATGGTGCAGTTGCTCTTGCTTCTGAAGTTCCAGGCACTTTGGCTGGTGTAAAGGTCGGTTTTTTTTACCATTTCCTCATCTAATCTCAGCCTTGTTGCCATATCGCCCTTATTCGCTCGGACGCTACGCACCAAATCGCGATCATTTCCTCCCTCGCAGCCTTGTTTTCTTTTTTCGATCTTCCCTCCGCAATCGCCAGCACCCTTAGCCTACACAAAAACCCCCGAGACAGTCTCTTATTGAGTTTGTCGACATCAAGTTGCTTCTCAAGTGTGCATTTGCGTGGCTGTCTACTACTGCCTCTAGACCACCAAATCTGGGCGCAATTGACCGCTCAAACCTTGTTCGAATAAGCCTTTTATTCGAGACGTCCAACTAAAGAGAATGCGCCTTTCAATAATACCGATGTTATGCGCGGCGGTGGCTGCTGTGACGGTTGTTGATCAGAATACTGACGCTCAAAAGGTTGTCACGAGAGATACACTCGCACACTCACCTCCTCACTATCCTTCACCATGGATGGATCCTAATGCCATTGGCTGGGAGGAAGCTTACGCCAAAGCTAAGAACTTTGTGTCCCAGCTCACTCTCCTCGAAAAGGTCAACTTGACCACTGGTGTTGGGTAAGTAGCTCCTTGCGAACAGTGCATCTCGGTCTCCTTGACTAACGACTCTCAGGTGGCAAGGCGAACGCTGTGTAGGAAACGTGGGATCAATTCCTCGTCTTGGTATGCGAGGTCTTTGTCTTCAGGATGGTCCTCTTGGAATTCGTCTGTCCGATTACAACAGTGCGTTTCCCGCTGGCACCACAGCTGGTGCTTCTTGGAGCAAGTCTCTCTGGTATGAGAGGGGTCTTCTGATGGGAACTGAGTTCAAGGGGAAGGGTATCGATATCGCTCTTGGCCCTGCTACTGGTCCTCTTGGCCGCACTGCTGCTGGTGGACGAAACTGGGAGGGCTTTACCGTTGATCCTTATATGGCTGGCCATGCCATGGCCGAGGCCGTCAAGGGTATCCAAGACGCAGGTGTCATTGCTTGTGCTAAGCATTACATCGCAAACGAGCAAGGTAAGCCAATTGGACGGTTTGGGAAATCGACAGAGAACTGACCCCCTTGTAGAGCACTTCCGACAGAGTGGCGAGGTCCAGTCCCGCAAGTACAACATCTCCGAGTCTCTCTCCTCCAACCTGGACGACAAGACTTTGCACGAGCTCTACGCCTGGCCCTTTGCTGATGCCGTCCGCGCTGGCGTCGGTTCCGTCATGTGCTCTTACAATCAGATCAACAACTCGTACGGTTGCCAGAACTCCAAGCTCCTCAACGGTATCCTCAAGGACGAGATGGGTTTCCAGGGCTTCGTCATGAGCGATTGGGCGGCCCAGCACACCGGTGCTGCTTCTGCCGTCGCTGGTCTTGATATGAGCATGCCTGGTGACACCGCGTTCGACAGTGGATATAGCTTCTGGGGTGGAAACCTGACTCTTGCTGTCATCAACGGAACTGTTCCCGCCTGGCGAGTTGATGACATGGCTCTGCGAATCATGTCGGCCTTCTTCAAGGTTGGAAAGACGGTAGAGGACCTCCCCGACATCAACTTCTCCTCCTGGACCCGCGACACCTTCGGCTTCGTCCAAACATTTGCTCAAGAGAACCGCGAACAAGTCAACTTTGGAGTCAACGTCCAGCACGACCACAAGAACCACATCCGTGAGTCTGCCGCCAAGGGAAGCGTCATCCTCAAGAACACCGGCTCCCTTCCCCTCAACAATCCCAAGTTCCTCGCTGTCATTGGTGAGGACGCCGGTCCCAACCCTGCTGGACCCAATGGTTGCGGCGACCGTGGTTGCGACAATGGTACCCTGGCTATGGCTTGGGGCTCAGGAACTTCTCAATTCCCTTACTTGATCACACCAGACCAAGGTCTCCAGAACCGAGCTGCCCAAGACGGAACTCGATATGAGAGCATCTTGACCAACAACGAATGGGCCCAGACACAGGCTCTTGTCAGCCAACCCAACGTGACCGCTATCGTTTTTGCCAACGCCGACTCTGGTGAGGGTTACATTGAAGTCGACGGAAACTTCGGTGATCGCAAGAACCTCACCCTCTGGCAACAGGGAGATGAGCTCATCAAGAACGTCTCGTCCATCTGCCCCAACACCATTGTCGTTCTGCATACCGTCGGCCCTGTCCTGCTCGCCGACTACGAGAAGAACCCCAACATCACCGCCATCGTCTGGGCTGGCCTTCCGGGCCAAGAGTCTGGCAATGCCATCGCTGATCTCCTCTACGGCAAGGTAAGCCCTGGCCGATCCCCCTTCACTTGGGGCCGCACCCGTGAGAGCTACGGTACCGAGGTTCTTTATGAGGCGAACAACGGCCGTGGCGCTCCTCAGGACGACTTCTCTGAGGGTGTCTTCATTGACTACCGTCACTTTGATCGACGATCTCCCAGCACCGATGGCAAGAGCGCTCCCAACAACACCGCTGCTCCTCTCTACGAGTTCGGTCATGGTCTGTCTTGGACTACCTTTGAGTACTCAGACCTCAACATCCAGAAGAACGTTAACTCCACCTACTCTCCTCCTGCTGGTCAGACCATTCCTGCCCCAACCTTTGGCAACTTCAGCAAGAACCTCAACGACTACGTGTTCCCTAAGGGTGTCCGATACATCTACAAGTTCATCTACCCCTTCCTGAACACTTCCTCATCCGCCAGCGAGGCATCCAATGACGGCGGCCAGTTTGGTAAGACTGCCGAAGAGTTTCTACCTCCAAACGCCCTCAACGGCTCAGCCCAGCCTCGTCTTCCCTCTTCTGGTGCCCCAGGCGGTAACCCTCAATTGTGGGACATCCTGTACACCGTCACAGCCACAATCACCAACACAGGCAACGCCACCTCCGACGAGATTCCCCAGCTGTATGTCAGCCTCGGTGGCGAGAACGAGCCCGTTCGTGTCCTCCGCGGTTTCGACCGTATCGAGAACATTGCTCCCGGCCAGAGCGCCATCTTCAACGCTCAATTGACCCGTCGTGATCTGAGCAACTGGGATGTGAATGCCCAGAACTGGGTTATCACCGACCATCCCAAGACGGTGTGGGTTGGAAGTAGTTCTCGCAAGCTGCCTCTCAGCGCCAAGTTGGAATAAAGGACAAGCAGACAGGGGCCAGTTTTGGGAGGACATAGTAGCCGCGCGCCAGTTACGTCAATGGCCGGTGAAGTTATTTTCGCTTAGCTTGATGAATAGAATCACGCACTTTTTGAACTCAGTCTGCTTTTCGTGATGCCTTGGTTCGTTGGGCTGCCTACAGCCTCGGGCTTAGTACTTGATTGGCCTCGCAAACACTCTATGCGTGAAAAATTTCGTACCCATCCAAATTCCATCGAGGATTAATTACATTTTATAACAAGGAATGAATTAATTGTTTTATACATATTGAACATGGAAAGCCATTACGAACCCCCATTTCACTCATGACGGTCAACAATATACCCAACTCTGCGACACGTTAGAGTACTCCTCGCGATGGCTTCATATCTTTAGTAGCATAACATGCCCACCATTATTATCGGTTTAGAAGAGAACTAAAGCATTGGAAATATTTTGAAAGCCAAAGATGTAAGGTAGAAACAAAGAACATTGCTTATATAGCAAGTATTCATATTGCAGCGAAGAACGGCCATATCTAAGGCAATGCACTGATCTGGCTGAAGGTTTAATGGAAGACACGGCGTGTCTCGGCAGGATGTCCTTCCTTATTCCTGTCGTTAGAAATATCCTCTTCGTTTGAACTTTCAGCAGTCCGGAGCCTTCTTCCCTCGCTACTACGAAAGGAACAGTGTCGTGGGGAAATACAGAGGATTCTTGAGTCACATATCAGTCACCTCATGGATCTGCCTGTTGAAATGCATTCTCCCCGACTAGCAGTGACTAAGTTGAATGATGTATTCTGGCTAAATGCCAGATGTGATCCTGAATATCAAGACTCTCCAGCATGGGATGGTGGGGTGTATTGAGATTCTCAGATTATGGATGGGCACTTTACTGGGAAGGCTCTTTCTTCGAGGCGCGAGGGCCAACACGACGATCCGATGAAGACTAAGAGGCTTCTTCAGCACCTTCAAGTATTCGTTCCAAAGTACATCCGTGGTTTCATTATTCTGGGCTGGGTATCGGAAGAAGGGATCGTGGTTTCTTCGTAGCTAGTGGTCTGAAACGCCTATCTGAAAACTTAATGTTAGCTTGAACTTGAAAAAGATGTTTGAGAAGGAGTTGGGTAAGCAGAAGTGAAGCAGGTGGCTTTAAAATGGGGGATTGGAAGAATATGGCAGATCTGAAGATGCGTATGAGGCTGGAAGCAGCGCTTGAGACTCGGCATCACGAAAATGATGCCCAAAAGGGTACCAAGCGTGAGTTCAGCGGTTGTAGCTCTTTTGGTTATGTGAGCTAGTAGTGTTAATGTGGAATAGCTCCAACCACAATCATAGGAGCAGCGATGTGTTGTGTAAGGCAAGTGGAGTATCAGATCGAGTATTCCGTATAGATTATGGACACTCAAAATTTACCGAAGTGCGGACTGGGGCATCGGGGCAGATTTAGATATCAATAGCGCAAGAGTCGTTCCTAAGATGAATAACAAGTCGAAAGCTAGACTTGATCGTTGGAAACTGGGATGGATGTCAGACCATCAGACCATCAGACCTATAGCCTGCCTCAGAACGTAACACAAGCGGCCAAATATGCACTGATTAACTTCAAATACGTTAACTCCGCATCTGCTTTCACGTGTGTGAATAGGGCCTGAGCGAGAACTTCTGTATTTATTTTCGACAAATCTCTCCTGAATACCCCAAGGGCCGCATGATCTATCCAGCACATGCCCAAGAGATAGCTTGATTCCAAGCAAGTGTAGCGTCGGCAAATACCTTAGATGCCTCAAATGATAGCTTAAGTCAATGGTTACTAGAGAATCATAGGTCAGAGGATGACTCGCAACTTTAACCGAGAAGGGGCATGGGAACGAACCTTGCATTTTGACTTGGGAGGCACAGGCAAGACAGTCATGAAAAGAACATTGTTTTTCCGAAGTTGATAGCCAACCGATATCTGGCCTGGGCCATCCACCTTTCTGTTGCATTCCTTGCATTGCGACTAAGTGTCCTTGAAATGAGGCAGCCCCATGAACATCATCTTTTCAGCAACTCGCATCTGAGTTGAATACTTCTCCTGTGGTATATAGAATGATGCGTACATCGGGGGCGCTGGATTTTGCTTTACACTCGATTAGTATTGATAAGACAGTCATGACATTGACCTGTGTTTCATGCTCTGAGACACATTTAGGGATGCATGTCTGGATAAGGGTGATGACGGACCTGGAGTGTTTCGATTTATGGCGTGTACGATGATTGCGGAAACAGTTTTGGAAGTCTATGTCTCGATCAAGGGCTCGTATGAGTTCTTCGAGGAGACTTCAGAGTTCTGGAAAGGGGACATGCGATGTGATCTGGGAGTTGAGGGGGGTTGAGTTCATATCGGACGAGCCATGGGCAACCTGCTGATGGAAAAGTCAGATGAGAAACTTGTACGCATACACAAGTAACCATTGGTATTCAGACCTAACAACATGATTCCATTTTCCGATAGTTGTGAATTTGCAGTCCTCGTCGTCGGAAGACATCACCTTTAGGTCTTGGAGGTGGATCGCATTAGCAGCATTTTGATTTTTCATTACCGGACATAATACCACAATCTCTTCCTGCCTTCTGATGCTTGGATTGGGCCATTCTTCGATAATTCGAACTGCTCCAATGAAGTCATAATCAATGTCCCGTGGCAAAACGTGTCTTTGTGCAACAAAACAACTGCCGAAAGGAAGAGAAACAAAACGACCGTTGGTCATACAGTCTCTCATAACGAGGAAGTTCCTACCGAAAGAATCGCCTCAACGTCTTTGTGCCACGTTACTGCTTCCCTCCATCCATTTCATCTGATCTAACCAGCAATCAAATTAACTGCCGATTAATTAGGAATGAAGTTTTTCGTGGATTCGGTCCGATGAAGACACCCTGAAATGGTACCAGAGTATGTGGCCTGATTTTCCTATTGTCAAGGCGATATGGTCACACAATCGGCTATGCAGAAGATTGCTTGGCTGGTAGTTCCTGGGATTTGATGAATACGCTTGGGTGAGCATTCCATAACCCCTGGCAGCTCAAAGTGGGATCTCAAACTGGCAGATCTTGCGAAGATAAGTAGGAAGGACAATGTGCAAGGGTCAAGGTCATATTTAAATGCTTCGACACCCGCTCTCAAGATATGTCGCTGAGATGGACGCAGCTGAGAGACAGGTGACGGCGGGCCCGATTGTTGTCAATCATCGATGAGTCAATGTCGGGATGGTGTCGGTTCAGGTAAGAAGCCTCGTTATTATGTCCTATGCTGCGTTTGTGTATGACTGACGGGTTGAAAGCAGTGCTTGCGAGTGAGGGCATCGACGATCGTTTGGTGGCTCAAGAAATCGGGTTGCCTGCGATTGATGAGTACTTGTCCTTTCATAGACGGTTAGGCATCAAGCTTATACCTCTATTGGATCTAGGCGAACTATGGCTACCCACTTGGTCTGATGGCCTTGTTTCAACTCAAGCTGCCTCCCATGTTGGAGTGTCGTCTTACTCGCGCTGATTACACCACGACCGCTGGCTTGGACGTGCCTCAGGATTCGACGCCATCGCTACGTTTTCTTCACCAGAATCAACTCGAATGATGGCTGAGAGAGTGCGTGAACCTGCTGTATTCCGACTGATGCTGTCGTGGCTCCCGCCGAGTCCACCAGTACAGGGATCTATGTTGGTCTGCCCCCAGGTGAGTTTGTACTATCAGTCATGATGCGTGTGAGCTAATCAAATGTAAGGATAAACGAGACGACACAAGACTGATATGACTAAGTATAGAATGTTCGTCATTCGGTGATCTAGGCGGAATCGTTCTCTGCTTTGATATTTGTCTACAAAGTGCGAACATCTCCAAGACGCGGTCGCACTGAGTAGCGCAGGTTCATGCACGGTAGTGCAACAGCTTTGTGCAGCACTGGAGACGATCAGATGATATCGGCAGTTGTTTTGTTGGATCCGGTACGTGTTGTCAGTTGCGAGATCAAAAATCACAAAAGGCCGTTGTGCTGTAGGGGGGAGGCGGCCAGATGCATGAGCGACAAAGTGGGACTGCAGTTCAGACGGAGCCAAGGAAGAAGGCAAGCTGTTGGGGAAAGTGGATAGTGCATGTCTGCTGCCTGGCAGGCCCCTGGAAACAGTTGGTTCCTCTTGCCTTAGCAAATATCAAAAACATGTTATTCTTTATCTTCTCTCCCAACAACTGCCCGTGACCACTTTCATTGGCTAAACTTGCACAACAACAACAATAACGCCCTGTTTCAAGTGAGCCTGTCTCTGGATCGCTAAGGGTGCGTCGCAAGCATGTCAAGGGTTGCATTAACAAACACTACAGCATCGGCCGATTCTCCCCTCTGCGATGTCTACAGGCGCTCTGTGTCAACAATCAATCATCCGAGCTTCATCATCTATCATTCTTGCTCTCTCTATCCATTACGCCTCTTAGCCGTGAGAACAGGGTGAAGTCTTGAGAGCCTCAAGCAGCCAACATGAATATAAGTTGCCTCGTTAATTCTCCGATATTGTGGCATGCTCGTAATCTGAAGCACAAGAGCAACTGGCCCATTTTTATTGCTACGTGCCAACAATAGATGCTGACAGAAATAGATCTTCATTAACTCGAATCGCCGGGGGGCCTTTTGCTTATCATCAGGAGGCCCTTTGACAAACACTGCACTTGTCCTGGGTCCAGAAGGCGCCTTGGCCAGTTACATGGTTGCCTTGCCGGCATTGATTTGAGCGCCGCAAACAACCTTTAGCTTTGTCACGAACGCCCGCTTATATCTCTTAGGATCAAGGAACGACTCATACGATCTACCTCTCAGCGAGTACAGAACGTGAGATAGCAAAGTCATGCAACTCAAGTGATCAAGCTACGACATTATTCGCTACACGAGCACAACCACAGTCACAGCATGCAGAACGATGAGGCTCAAGGCTTGAAATTTGAACCCCCATACTTTCTGTTTGGTGGTTGCCTCATATCCTTCAGTGTTGTTTGGGATTGAGAAAGGGTTAACTACCAAGAAGGAGGGTGGTGCCAATATCAGTACTTGAGTGCAGTCAGACAAGTAGCGAAATTTGGGAAGGCCGATGCTGTGAGCTGACTCCTAAATCTCTCAAGCTTGTGATCGCTGAGCACCTAACTGGTGATGATTGCTGAGCCAGCTTCCATCAATCCAACATGGGAGCCTTGGTTAACGGGTTTCGACTATACTCTTCCATGACGTCGACTCGTGGCTAATTCCTTTTTGACAAATTTGAGATACCAGCAAGCCATTCACTGCGCCTCATCATCTATCACGGCTGGTAGAGGGAGCCAAGGTGTACAGGCAGGCAACGTTTGTGTCCTTGGCTCCCGGAGTATTACAATATCAAGCATACTATTGAAGTCCAGCCTGCGTGTAACTCCTGTGAAAAGAGCTACACGAAAGGAATTGGATTAATCCTCTAGCGACTCTTCCTGATCTCGGCTAATTTATGCCTGACCTCAGTCAGTATCGAGGATTTGGGAGGGCGCTGAGCCCAAAGGTATATAGGGTGGATAATGTCCCCCGAAATATAGCTGCCAAAACGCAATTTGAAGAACTCGACTGAGTAGATTCCCATATTGATCAACTTGATCTTCTTTTGGATTATCGACATATCTCGGTATACTTTTACCTTGGCAAGTGTATATCTTGTCACGCATCTAGTCTTCCCACTTACCTCCGGAACTACCAATCCTACATACCAGTGCCAAATCTTTCATTATGGGCAGCGGCAAAGGCAACAGCAGCCGGAGCAGTAGGAGTAGCAAAAGAGCTCCCGCTGAATGCAGTGTGTCCAAATGCGATCGCGCAGTGGCGTGTTACAGCAATGGTAAAGACGCAGATTATTGCAAACCCCGTGAGTGTGTCCTTGAAGTCTTATCTAAGTCAATTACTTACCGTACATCAGATTGCTGCGAATTCGGACCCAGGTGCAATACTCGCACGCGTTCAAAAGATAAGTTCTGCGACAAACGTGAGTAGCCTGTCGTTTCTTCTTAGCAAAATGGCTGACTCCTTTTAAGACTCTGAGTGTGCTTGGCTTAAATGCAATACGAAACTCTTGGATGTCGAAGGAGGTGACTTTAAATACTCTAATATTGGTCACGGCTATTGGCTCTGCCGCGACCGTAAGTCACTTATCCCAGGCCGAGTCCCAAACCCAAATGCTGACATTCCCAGACTCCTGTAAGGCGAAAGACAAAGACAAGCAATGCTATGAAGAGCGCGACAAGAACTCGCAGTACTGCACAAAACACTCCAAAGAGTTTCAGTGCAAGTTCACGAAATGCGATTCCGACCGGGATGACTCTGAACGTTACTGCAAGAAACACCATTGTGAGGTGGCCGACTGCCACCATCGAACATACATCTTACCTCATGATGAAATGTTGGCTCGGGATGGGCGGAGGTGCATTCGACATCAATGTTGTATTGCCCCCGGAGGTTGCAAGGGCTACTCTCTTTTGAATGACAAGGGAGAGCCTACGAAGCTCTGTGCAAACCATGGCAAATGCCAATTCTTACACGGCTGCGACGCTATTGTCCAAGGAGACTCGAGATTCTGTACTGAACATGAGTGCGACCAACCGGACTGCCTACAGCCTCGGGATGTCCATCAAAACGCAACTATGAGATGGTGTCATATGCGTAAGTATCTACTTCCTCCCACTTTACAAAGCTAACAGTCCAATGTAGATTTATGTTCCGCGCCTGGCTGCCCCGACTTCGCTAACGGACATGGTCAAGCCCACCCCCAGAAATGCTTCCGACATACTTGTCAACGACGAGACTGTTCAGAAATCGTCAAAGACAGCAATCCCAACTCGAATTTCTGTCAAACTCATGCCTGCGCCGACCCTGCATGTCCCAATGAGTCAACAATCCCTGGTGGGTATTGCTTGGCCCATGTATGCACCACACCAGGCTGTCGTGCGCCCCGAGAACGCGGTTCTCCATTCTTCGCCTACCTTTGCAGACTCCATGGGGATGAGAGACTAGCGGAACAACAAGAGATACACTATATTCACACCGCTACTCCTTCTCGAGCAACATCTCGCTCGGGTAGCAGGGCCAGTAGCTATGACTCCCGGCGAAGGCCGAGGACGTATGCTGGCCAGGAATACTATCATTCAGCATATCGGGATCCGGTCCAGGCTGCAGAAGCTCATCGTCGATATGGAGGCATGAACAGAGAGTACATGGCGACCCCAAGAATGAATATGGATTGGGCGGGCTATGGACCATACCGTCACCAAGACTAAGTTCCCCGCAAGGCATCTTTAGAGTCTCACGCATGATGGGGGATTGGGGGAGAAGATTCTGGTAACTGAAATATGGCAAGGAGTTGGGGTGGATACGTCACGGGTCATGAACAGCACATAGCATCGTGATTACATGATGTACTGTTTCTTCGAAGTCGGGCTATAGCCGTCCAAGCAGAAACAGATAGATACAGCTAGAGCTAATGGGGTTCGAGGCCGGACCATCTGGTTCAGAAGCCTCGATGTGGGGCGGGCGGCAGGGAAGCCGTGTTGTACAGCATATACTCGAGAAGACCCCGGTAGATGTCAGATATGCTTGGATTTAAGCTTAGTTATTTATGTCTCGATAAGCTATTGATCCCTGCTGAAAAGTGATGAAGCCTGCCGAGTGTAACACGGGAGAGCTTGGGATGACTCCTGAATAAGAAGGTGAATGACCCACAAGAAGGGAAGAAGGGAAGAAGGGGGAGACTTGAATATGATCTCGCTTCTAGCCCAGATATTTCCGGATCATCTCTCTTGGAACTGACTGTCTTTCCTTCATAGCTGCCCTGATTCTCCGTTTTGGCATCGGGCGGGCATGACGTTCTTGTGCTCAGCTCGATAAGCTGAGTCAGCGATTTTCATCGCTGAGGTCTGGGTATCACCTCAACCTCCCTGTCACCCGACCCTCGATTTCTCATCTAGTGACTCGACAGTATCTCAAGAATCGTTCTTATCGCTGTGCTCCCTGGTACGTCAGGTGATATCCGTCTCCTCTGTATTCACCTTGGGCATCTTCTTGGGGTCCGCACGCGTGGGCTTGGCTTGCTTGTAGAAGACCGTATCAGGCTTCTTGAACACGCGTGGTTGGATCTTGGGACCGCATATGGGTCTGTTGATTATCTTTCCGTTGCTATCGTAGATCAGATTGGAGTAGCCGGGGTATTTGGTTCGAATGCTCGAGAGACGGAATATCTGGGCTTGGAGTCCGTGGTTGATGGCCATTTTGTCCGTGGTGTTGTGAAAGTGCGATGATCTATTGATGGGTTATGAAGATACGGTGATCATGAAAGAAAGGGTGTGATTCTTTTGCGTGGGAGAGAGGGTAATTTATACTTGTTTATGAATTTCAACTCGTTGGTATGAAAGTTTGGTGATTTGACTTTATCGTGAATTATGATGCAGGGGCAAAGTATAGCAGTAGAATCCCCACAAAGTCTCGCAATAGGAGATGATATCACTGCACCAATAAACGTCTTCAAATTAGTAGAGAGTTTCATGTTTAATTAATATGCAAGGATATAATTGGGCAGCTGCAGAAAACGCGTTGGTTCCTATGGCTTTTACTAGGTCACCTCGCAAACATTCCACAAAGAAACTTCAAGCTTGATATAAAATACCCAATAACAGTGCAACAAGTGTCAAAAGCTCTTACTTTTCAGTTTGCCCTTTGGGTTTTCACTTACGTCAAATTGCCCTTTGTATACACGGCAAAGAACGAAATAGGGACAAACACCCAAAGCTGCCTAAGTTACTGTTTGGTTTACCACCTCTTCTCCTGCTACTAAATGTTTGACTTTTGGGAAACTTCTTAAGTATTCTATATCGGGATGCCCATGTTGTACTTGAAGTTGATCCAAAGAAACCAACTCTTGCAGAGGAGCAAGGCAGATACAGGAACGGAGCCAATAAGTTACAGTCTACCATGCTCTTTCCGATAAAGCCTTTCTTTATAGTCCTCTTTTAATGATACCGCTGAATCGGGAACAACATTTGTCTTGTCTTGACAACGAAACCATATCTCAAGTTCCGCCGGCAGAGTACCGCCACCGAAACAACATGGTGAGGATTTGGGTTCATGAAATTAGCATGTCCGCTTTTAGGGCCAGTCTCTCTATGACTCTGTAAGAGTTTCTTGAGGTTTATTCCAGACTAGGAAGTTCCATATGAAATGGCAAGACATGGTCTATGGCCTTCTTGAGACACGACGTGGTTGCGGTACCTTGCCACCTCCCCTGAACAGCAGAATCATACGTTGGGTGGCGGCGTCAAGTTATGCCTTGGGATGTGTTTAACAGATAAGCAGTATTGAGATGATAAATGGTTTCTAATAAAATTCTCTGGGTGTACCTGAGCTATTTTTACTCTCCGTCATGGTCCGTTTACCTGGCGGGGATTCTTTTGAACTGTTTATCGTCTACCTGATTATGTTCATTCCAGCTTTCTGGTAGCTTGGCTCTCCGCACAACGTCCCTTACTAAGATTATAGGAGATCAATAGCAATTGAGCAACTCAAGCTATTAGTAGAACCTAAGTTTAACTCTCAATAAAGCTTTTGTGCTCCTGTATAGGAAGAACCGTTGAAGGCAATCAGATGTCAACTACATCTCTACATACCCTAGACGCTGGCCACTGAAAGCGGTAGCGGGGACAGTGGTTTCAGGGCATTTTCCTCTTTCAACCGCCGCCATCGTCAGGTATGACTTCAGACGAACATCTTACTATGCCAATGCAGAATAGAGTTCAATCAATCTCCGATCGAACCATCCCCCAAAAGCACGATCCCTCCAAGACCGACAAATTCACATGCAGCTCCCGAAAGCCTGGGACTCCAAAGTGGAGCAATCCGGCTTGCCCCCGATCCGAGAAGTTGGAAGAACAAGCCCGTTTCAGCTCCGCCAAGAACGATCAGGCCAAGCAATATTAATCAATGCTATACATATAAAACAACCATAAGTCGCCGAAACACGGGGTATTATCGAGCTTTTCACAGGGCTAGTGTAGTGGTATGGCTGTTTTGCTTGCAGGTTTTACCAACGTCACATCCCGGTATCGTCCCAGATCTGAGACAGATCTGAAAACAGCCTGGAGTTCACCGACTGTGCCAAACATTTGATGAAGACCGGCCAAAGATATGGTCTCGAAGAAAAGGAAATGACCAAGCCAAGTGAGAAGAGGGAAATAGAGTTTATGAATGTCTGTGACAATGCGAATGGCCTCATCGTCAGCTCACAAGTCAAAGCTGATCTTCACATACCGCGCGCTTAAGGAATATCTCAATTGGTCCCCCAGTTGCAGAGTCGCAGATGTTTCAACCAACGAGACGCATCCGCGACCGGGTCGTCTTGGCCCCGACCTCAGTGAATCGCAGGTCTGACACTCCAATTGGCCGAAGCTGTGATGGGTGGTATAACCCCTGTAAGGTCTCATGCGAGATGTTCTTCTCTTTTGTCAGAGCCATTCGCTCTTCTTCAAAGAACGAGCGTCTTGCTGAAAATCCCTCTTCATTCTTTTCTCTTCCTCGCTGGCGAGTGACTTAATAACTCTTAACAATTTTTTTTTTAATTCGAAGGATTTTGCTGCAACCCTCCTTTGCGACTCAACCTCCACCACTTAACCCCACTCAACACCACACATACTTGCATACCACCACTTACATCCCCCACAATGGGTAACAATCTCTCCTCAACCTTCGTCCCCGACACTTCGAAAGTCGTGCTCAGTCCTGAAGACCGACACGCGGACATGTTCCTCGGTATATTCTGGGCATCGTCACTCTACGCCTGCGCCATGATCTTCAGCACCTGCGCTCTGATCGACCGATGGAAGGGTCCCTACGATCGCGTTAGAACGTCACTTGGTTCGGTTATGGGAGCGTTGCTATTATCGACGGCTTGGCCTGTTGTCATGGCATACTTGATCTTTTCGCCGGCTGATGTCGAATAAGCGGAGGAACTATTGGGTCACGGCCTTGGGAATGAGTACTTGGAAAGGGTTTGGTTGGGTTGGATTGGGCGATTGGCGTCTTGAGAATTGTGGTGGAAATGGCATTACGGTCAGACCTGGAGTTTGAATGCATACCACGGCGATATACCATCTAATACAATTTTTTTTTCTTATGTTTATCATATTTGATTGACTCGACTTGCCGATGATCCCCTCTATCCGCGTGAACCGAATGAAGGGTCCCTCATGACTACATTCAAGTCTCATTACAACCCCCCAACCCCCCCAGTCGTTCATTAACCCACCAGAGTATTTCGACGACTTCTGTCAGATCGCGCATCCTTTCTTCCAATGATGGTCTCAAGCGCCTGAGTCAAAGCCTTGGCATCATACCGCCCACCTCTTCCCTTCTCATCCTTGGGACCATACAGCCTCGTTGCATCTATACCCAACTGTGTAAACAGTTGTTTATCCACCTTCGGCGACGCTGGACCTTCTATGTAAATAACATGCGACACATATTGACTGTATTCCTCCTCCGTGGGTTTGGGCAGACCTCTTGAGTCAGCGAGAGCATTTGCGATAGCTCCAACAAAGTCTAATCCAGTGAAAGGCGCCGTTGAAGGACCAGTCTCGCGATCGGTTGTGCCGTTGAGGATGAGGATCTTGTTGCGCACTTGCGGACTGACGATGGCATCGCCGACACCGCGAAGGACAAGGCTGGGGATTAATGAGGTAAAGAGGGAGCCAATGCTGTATACCACACTGTGAACAGATCGGAGGGCGTCGAGGACTCTTGGATTGGCGGGCATCTTGATCTCCTCGCCGTATGGGTTGATGTACCATACTCGCGCAATCCTTGCGGGTAGGTCTTCTTCTTGCTCTTTGGAGAATGCAATGGCCGGTCGGCGCAATGCAGGTAGTGTTCCTGGTAGGTTCGCGTCCTCTACATGGTGGTGATCTTGGTCCCATGGCTGGTCCTGTCGCGATACTGTTGGGCTGTGCACACCGGCTGATGCTCCAGGCACAGCGGCGGTTGGAGCACTGGGATGCGAGATGTCGTTCTGGCCTGTGATTATCGTGCCATCTTCAAGACCAGCAGCGATATGGCTAGCAAAGTTGGTGTTGAGGGCTGGAAGGACTGCTATTCTATCCGGCACTGAACATATTGAGCTCAACAGGTAGATGGCAGCTTCGAAACTACCAGTGAAGAGACGAGCGCCTGTAAGGAAGAGGTTTCCAATGCTGGCCCCGGAATAGTCAAAGCGGCTGCTAGGCTTCATGCGCTTCACAACCTCAAGATTGAAGCTGTTCAGATAAGATCTGATAAGCTCCCTTTTGGGCGACGAGATGTCATTCCAGAGAGGGTGAGTCGCTTCTAGAATCTCAAACCATTCTGATCTGGCCTCAGTGTAGACCTTTGGCAAGCGATGATTGAAGAAGTGCTTGATAGCTCTCGTCTCAGGACTTCCATCGTTCGAAATAAGACGAACAAGTCGGGACCTCACATCTCCGATACCTAGAACCCTGTCAGTCAACTAAACCCATAGCATATAGAAGAGCCACGTGGAATGGGAACATACCAGGTCCACCAAAGACACGAATGATCTCACTACTGCTGCCGCCATTATCAGAAATGGGTATCACGTAGCTCAGCGTGCACTGATTCGCTTCTCGAACGCTCTCGAAGACATCGACGAGGTTGTTAGCGGCGCTACCACCCGAGAAGACCACTATGCCCGTCGGTGGTGCCGCTGGTGTGAGGGGCCGGCGAGGGGTCGGTGGTGCTGAGGATCCACTGGAGCTTGGGAGCTGTAGACCAAGGCCGTTAAGGTTGATCTGTGCCTTTGCCATTGATTGGTAGTCGGGGGAATTATGTGATTTCTGTTTCTGGCGCAGAATGAGAACGGATTCAGAATCTGGAGATGGTGTTGATGACAGATGACAGATAGCGGGGCATGTTCGATTGTAAAGCCCCGGTAACGTTATTGCTTCATGACCCAATTATTTCCAGTTGCAACGGGTTTACAGCTGTTAATTCATTCCAATTGATGAAATAATTACTTCAATTTTACAGTGACTGTAGTATTTTGATCTTGAATATGAGGCTGTTGCTGCCAAGATGCCATGTTCCAAGCTCATGCACATACTCAAGCAATGCATGAACCCACGAGTCATGGAACAACGTGGCACGCGCTCCAATGACTTTTTACACTCAAATGTCAACATCAACACCATCTCACCCACCAAAAGCGGTAACACCCCGAGCAACCGGCGGCTCTCAATGCTCGAACCGGGAACGAAAAGCTTTGACACTTCGGATCCGTGTGGGTACCATACAGCGGACGGTGGACCGCAAAAAAAAACATGATGGCTTCATTGTAAAGAAACAAGTGGAACTCGGAACTCTTAGTCCAAAGCCCGCCATTGGTTCCCATGGCCCGGCAGTTGAAGCTTTGCCACAACTGGAGAAGAGCTATCACGGTAAACGTCAAGAGTTACGTCAGTGATGTATGAATCGCAAGGCTGGAGGATGGGTTACAAATCTCATGCACAGACGTTGGTTCCTTACAAATCTGCATGTTTCGAGAATTACCTTAACGGTTTCTTTATAAAGATTTTTCTTCTTATCTGATCGATTTGCAAGTATATATAGACTAGATCGAAGCGTCATTGGTAGTCGACATTATCATCAAACTCATACAATTCGAACCTCTACACAGCATCTTCACAGCTTCAACTTCATACTTCACAATGGCTCAATCTATTCCCAAGACTGTCAAGCAATGGACCATCCCCTCCCGTGATGGAAAGGACTTCAGCGGTCTGAAGTTCAGCGAGGAGCCTGTTCCCGAGCTCGGTGACGGCCAAGTCCTCGTCAAGAGTAAGTCCCAACTTCACTTCGCACACTCACAACAATCTTCTAACACTTCACAGTCCAGGGTGCTTCCCTCAACTACCGCGATCTCATCCTCCCTCTCGGAAAGTACCCTTTCCCCGCCAAGGACGGCGTCGTCCCCGGCTCCGATGGCGCCGGCACTGTCCTCGCCGTCGGCAAGAACGTCACCCGCTTCCGTCCCGGCGACAAGGTCGTCACTCTCTTCAACCAGGGCCACATTGGCGGATCTCTCGACCAGCTCAGCATCCAGACCGGTCTCGGTGGTGTAACTGACGGAACCTTCCGCACCGTCGGTGCCTTCGATGAGCACGGCCTTGTCCCCATGCCCTCTAACCTCGACTTCCACGAGGCTGCTACTCTCACCTGCGCTGGTCTCACTGCCTGGAACGGCCTGTACGGTCTTGAGGGCAAGAAGCTCCTCCCCGGCCAGTGGGTTCTCACTCAGGGTACTGGTGGTGTTAGTATCTTTGCTGTTCAGTTCGCCAAGGCTGCTGGTGCAAAGGTCATCGCTACTACCAGCTCTGCTGAGAAGGCTAAGCTTCTTGAGAAGCTTGGTGCTGACCACATCATCAACTACCGCGAGACTCCTGAGTGGGGAGCCAAGGCCAAGGAACTCACCGGCGGTGCTGGTGTCGACCACATCATCGAGGTTGCTGGTCCTACATCCATGAAGCAGTCCCTCAACGCTATCAAGATCGATGGTGTCATCTCGATTATTGGCTTCGTTGGCGGCACTGATAAGAGCGACCCTGGTTTCCTCGACTGCCTTTCCAACCTCTGCACTACCCGAGGTCTCCTTGTTGGAAGCCGTGCCCAGATGGAGGATATGTGCCGTGCTGTTGAGGCCAACCCTGATAAGCTTCGACCTGTCGTTGACCCCAAGATCTTCTCTCTGGAGCAGCTCCGTGAGGCTTATGAGTACCAGTGGTCTGGCAAGCACCAGGGCAAGGTCTGCGTCAAGATTGACTAAGCAATGAGTTATGATAATATATTGCCGGGCGACATGTGTCTTTGGCTTTAACGTATAATACATAGAATTAATAGATACCACATTTTCCGCATGACCAAGTTTCGTCCATCTCAGCAAGATCTTTTAACTAAGCATCGACAAGCCATGACTTGTCTCAACTGAACAGTGAAGCTCGGCCAGTACATCAATATTTCTCAATTGATCGAAAGTAATTACATTCCATTGGACACAAGTGTGTCAAAGCTCATCTACCAAAACTGTTTGTCCAGTCCTCCAACGATGTCCATCCATCTCAAGCCATCACTCCAATCTAGCAAGCAGTCTATTCCAATCTCGCGACAATGGAAACGTCGCTGCGCTCAAAAGATGAGCGCAGCGATACCAGCCAAAATGCCAACCAAACTGAGCTTCTTCGACGATCCTTCATTGACGATAACCGTGCTGGGTGTAGGATAAGGCGTTCCAGGGACAGGAACCGGCGCAACAGGGCTTGGAACAACAGGAGGAATGGTGGCAGTATCAACGGGAGGAGGAACAATAACAGCAGTCGATGATCCCTCCAAGATAGGAGACTGGGTCTCCGCGCCGCCTCCGCCCTGAACAATAGTAGTCGTATCGGCACGAGTAGTACCACCGCCCTCGCCATTGCAGATACTGCCGTTAGGACAGCATCCGTACTGCTGGTTCGTTCCAACTTCGCAGTAAGCTGTAGGAGGACATCCGCCTGCACGGCTGGGGCAGCATGTCCAGTCGAGTTGGATACAGCCGGTGCCGCAGTCCTTGAGGTTCTGGTCGGCGCAGGGAACCTCTACGACTTGACGGACAGCGAGGAGGGGAAAGCTGGGGGAGTATTGAACGGCGAGAACACCGGTGGCTGAGAGGGCGATGAGCAAGAACTTCTTCATCTTGAAGTTGAAGTTGGAGTTGTGTGTATTGGAGCGAGTGGTGGTGATGTTGCAACGAGTGACGATGTGGTGAAACTGTATCTGTTTGAGAGTGTGATGAGAGGTGAAGAGAAATGCGAGACATACCAAGCCCTCGGGGGTTTATATGCATACCATTCTCGGCTTCCCAAAGAAAACTTTGCCTCCGATCTTCTCTCTTCATTGTAGTTCCTCTCTCATGCCGCGTGCGGCGGCTTTGCTCAAAAACGCCAAAGACATTCCAGCCACGATGCATCTACTCCACCACCTGCAACCATCTACTCCCCCAAGATCATTTCCAATTCCGACAAAGTGTCATGCCTCATTTCGTGCAGTCTCGTCTATTTTTGCACATCCAGATCTGATGTTACTGCAGAGATGAAGTGCCTCTTCCCCACGTTATTTTGATGCGCCCAGTGTTTTGCAACTGTGCTGATAGCCGCCTCCGGTTTTTGCGGCACATGGCTTGATATTCAGGGCAGATTACCAGAATCTGCTATTTGCGGCGGTCGGCGTTTGGGTGGCTGCTTGCGGCGGCGCTGGGGTAACGGATCTTGGTTCCTGGTGTTTGGGCTTGGCGCTTAGAGCATTTGAGTTGAGGGAATACGAGATCTGAGGATGAGATGTTTCGGAAGAGTTTATTGTGCCAAGGCTAGTGAGGGAAGTAGTTGATGTCATTGGAGATCGGCCAGGAACAAACGCGGGTTTGATCTAGACTTGGCAAAGGACTAAACATGGTACCTAGATCTAAGACAAAACATTGGCCGTACGATCTAGCAGGCACGGGCCCGAAAGGGAGTTGCCTTGGTTGGGGATTCACGCTATCTCAGCTTGCAGATGATGGCCATGTATTTTGCGACTTGCAAGAGCTTCTGATATAAACACTTTGTCCATATAGTTTGTGTCTTTTCTCGAAACCATACTATGAACAAGATTGCATCAATGCTATGTTTGAAGTGAATAGAACATCAACAAACGAGAAACAAAGTGTTACCGACTCTATTTCTTCTCGTTACCCCAAGCATCTTCCAGAAATTCCCGAACAGTAATAGGCTTGATTTCCGGGAAGACATTATTCAGAGACTTGCTCTCATCCAAGTTGAAACCACCACTCTCTGCCCACAAACCATAGGCAGACATCACCTTTTTCATGACCGCCTTGGGTGCAGGAATATTGGCAAACATTGCCTCATGGCCTGGCAGCTCACTCAACTCCCCCTTCTCCAGCGTCTCGACACTATCATAAACAACGTTGAACTTATCGCCTATTCGAAATTAGCATCCCTAGCTCCAGTCTAGAAGCTCATCACGCACCTGTAGCTTCTTCTGCAATCTTCACCATCTCGTTGAACGTGACTTTATCACCAATGATATATGTTGCTTCCTCCCACTTCTCAAGGTTGAGAAGCGCAGCTACAAACTTGGCTACATCTCGACTATAGGTAAACGTAACGGGAACGTCTCCAGATCCTGGGATGGCAGCGGCTCGGTGTTTAATATCGACAAACGTTGAAGGAGTGTGCAAGTTTGATTTCGCAGCTGATTTAGGGGAGCCCCAGAAATCAAGAAAGAAGCCGATATGAATCGACGTCCACTCAAGATTTGTCTTGCGTAGCTCGTCTTGGGCGCGGAGTTTGTTGTTGGCTGAATTGGCCTGAGCTGCATGCCTATAACTCTTTGTGAATACTTTGTTTTCAATGCTGACAATGAGGCATTTGTCAAGTGCTTGCTTACTCTTCTGTGTGGGGAAGACCCCAGTCACTCGAGATGAATCGTTTTGTTGCCTGAGATGCTTCTGATGCACGGATAATATCAATCTCGATAGGTTCTGGCCCATTCATGCCAAGTGTCGAGATAACAGTGTGCACATTGTGCTTTTCAAAAAGCTCAGTTAGGGCACTGATGTTATGAATATCTGTAGCTAGGATAGAAGCTCCAATCTCTTCTTCTAGTAACTTGTTTTCCTTCGGCTTCTGTTAGTTACGTCCATAAACCTTTCGTGTGAAACGCTTACCTCTCGGCTGAGGATAACGACTTTATGCTCTCCTGCCGCAACAATGGCCTCGACGATGGTTCGGCCGACTTTGCCTGTACCGCCTGCAACTGCGACAGTAACCATTATGTCCGATGATATCTTTGAAGAGGGTGATTTGTGGTGTTTGATAAATGATGAGTTATAAGTTTAGTGTTTCTTCACCCAACCCGCGTCTTTATATACCTCAACTCCATTTCCATCACCAACTTATTTCTAATCGTCGCACTTACTCGGACATCTCATTCTGCGAATTATCCGTCAATTGTCAGCAATCGCTTGTTTTTCGTATTCTCCCCCAATACCCATTGGTCACCACGTCTCTAATAAGTCTGACATGCATATCATCTGCATGTCAAAATGGGGCGTATTCGAATGGTGTCAGCATAGTGATTGGACCACTGCCAAATATAGGCACAGCACGCACCTAAGACCTTTTAAAGCCGAGCTACTCCGTCCTAAGTCCTTGCTTAAACGCATTGGGTAATTGTGTTGGCCGCCAATGCTCGGTCAAATTCCAGTAGATGTCTAAGATCGAGACTTGTGATCGGATAGAGTTTCAGGGCCGGGAAATCTAGATCTGGTCGATCTGCACGCTAAGAAAGTTATTTGATAAGGGCCAGGAACCAGATATACCGTTGTTGTTCAACCCCTGGGCGCTTTCCGCCACTTGAAGCTGAGCCTGGAGTATGATGACTGGGAATACTTTGCGATACGACATCTCGCATCACTGAGTCTTAAGGGCGATCAACACGGACTTCTTTTCATTAATCTATGTATGAGAATCGGCGCAATTTGTTGTTATAGGGTAAAGTTCCGACTGGAATGTCTCGTTTCGGGGAGATTTACTGACCACCATCAGTCGCAGTAGCTGCTTTCGTCATCAAGTAAGCGAAATTGTCTCGGGAACATCGAGTAGTGTGACATCTTTCAAAGGCTCAAAGGCCCATTTCTTATCAGAATCTTATCATCAGCCTCATTTTAGAGCTTACATCTGAGTGATCAAGAATAATTGTGGGTGTTGGTTAATATAAAAGATCTAAAGGTGCATCAAGACTCATGATCTTACGTGACAGCAAGAGGAACACTGCCCTACTCTCTAATCACAGAATTTGTAACGTACCGGCTAAGTGCCTTGGCTTCTATTCTCTCTCTTCAATTGCTGTTTTTACATGGAAATGGGAGTCTTGAGGCGCCGGATTCCCTCGAAATCATAGTCGTCCAAAGACAGAAAACACTCAAGGCTGAAAGTCCCTTTTAACTAGCCTCATTCTTAGTCAAATCTCCTTATATACCTTTCTCTTGGTAAGATATAGGGCTCATCTGATGGGCAAAATGGTAGACCAATCAGATGCCCCGGAGCCCGATGACATCGGAGTCAACTAAAGCGTTCGCTCAAGACTCAAGACCAATCAACTGCCCAATATTAGAGGAACCTAACCGATATGCTTAATTGCTTCCTATATGTACTAACACTGCTTGGCTCAGAGGGTCATCGACATCTACCAGTGCAGTTTGTCGGGCGGTGTGTTTAGTCTATTACCATCCCATGACGACAATATGCTAGCATATCTACGATCACAATGTCAGCTTCAGCAGCTCTTACCTATGAATGGTGTCTAATTGGAACAAAAGCTCCGACTAATCTCTAAGCACTTAGATTGATCAATTAACTGTGCTGTCATTATGTCGCACAAATATGCACGTTTCTCTGCATTGGGCTTGACGATGTGTCAATGATCCGGAGATACCTCCGGTTTTGGAGTGCAGACTCTCAGAGGCTGTCAATTGAGTGTCGTGTCTATGGGATATAAGGTGTGCTAATTTTCTCCCCAGATTCTCTGTTCTACTCGTCTCATCCACATGCTCTGATGTGGAAGTAGCAGCAACATACTTCAATTATCTACCATGTCTCTTAACTCCAACCAACTCGACCCTCGCCAGCACCCTCTTCAGGCTATTGGCAATGCCATTGGCGCTGAGACTCAAGGAGAACGTCGAAACCCTCGAATGAGTCACATGCAAGGTGCCAATGAGGGACCAGCAGATGTCATCGCCAAGGTCTCTGGTGCACAGGCCGGAGGGAAGAGGGAGGATGATGGAGCGTACTTCACTAACAATGAGGGCATTCCCTTCCCTGACCCGTAAGTATTGGAGGAACAATGCGCAATTGCATGCTGATACTTTGTCAGGGCTCATAGCAAGACGGTTGGTGGGCTTCCTTTGATCAGCGACACATTCCTCTTGCAGTAAGTATGCCTCGTCAAGGCATAAGCTCAGAGCCTGACTCAGAGATAGGAAGCAACAGACCTTCAACAGGTCTAAGAATCTTGAGCGCAAGTATATCACTGTTTTACTTCAATGTGTATACCACTGACACATGCTAGGCATGGTTCACCCTTGTGGCTCTGGTGCCTTTGGATACTTCGAGTGTACCCAGGATGTGACTGAACTCACTGTAAGTCAAGCCCACGGGCCACTATCGTGTTGACAGTCACTGACTAACATCCCAGAAAGCCAACTTCTTGTCGTCTATTGGAGAAAAGACACCCGTCTTTGTCAGATTCTCTACTGTGACTCTCGGTCGAGAATTCCCAGACGAGGCTCGTAACCCTCGAGGCTTCGCCATCAAATTCTACACCATGGAGGGGAACTACGACATTGTCGGCCTAAACTTCGTCAGTCAAGCTATCCTCTCTGTTCATTGTACCAAACTAACCAAGGTGCAGCCCGTCTTCTTCTGCCGCGACCCCATTCAAGGACCAGACGTCATCCGCTCTCAGTACCGCAACCCAACAAACTTCCTCCTCGATCACGACGCCCTCTTCGATCTCCTCGCAAACACCCCCGAAGCCAACCACGCGGGCCTCATGTTCTTCAGCGATCACGGAACTCCCCAAGGGTGGCGCTTCAACCACGGCTACGGCTGCCACACCTTCAAGTGGGTAAACTCCAACGGAGAGTTCGTCTACATCAAATACCACTTCATCGCAAAGCACGGTCAGAAGCAGTTCACTGACAGTGAAGCTATGCAAATGTGCGGTGAAGATCCCGATTACTCGAAGAGAGATCTTTGGGAGGCCATTGAAAAGGGTGAGGAGATTGAGTGGACGGCTCATGTGCAAGTCATGGATCCTGGACAAGCGGACCCTGATAAGCTTGGGTTCGATCCTTTTGATGTCACAAAGGTTTGGCCGCGATCGCAGTTCCCGATGAAGGAGTTTGGAAGATTGGTGCTAAACAAGAACCCTGAGAACTTCCATCGAGATGTGGAACAGGCTGCTTTTTCGCCTGGTAGTATGGTCCCTGGTATTGAAGACTCTCCTGATCCTCTTCTTCAATTCCGCATGTTCTTCTACCGCGACGCTCAATATCATCGCATCGGTGTCAATCTGCACCAAATCCCCGTCAATTGTCCTTTCATGGCCAAGTCCTATGCGTCACTCAACTTTGACGGGCAGATGCGTGTTGATGCCAATCACGCGGGCAACAAACAATATGCACCCAACAGCTTCGCTCACAAGTTCAGACCTGATGTCGCTGAAGCGCCGTATCAGGTCAGCGACAACATCGCAAGCAGGGTCAGTCACTATTGGCATGAGGGTAAGAAGAATGATTATGACCAAGCGAAGGATCTGTGGAAGAAGGTCATGAGTGAGCAAGAGAAGAAGAATACTTGCTACAACACAGCCAAGGGTCTTCGTCGAGTCAAGTTTCCCGAGATCCAGGTAAGCAATTGCGGTCGTCGTGAGTCAGACTCAAACTAACAGGTCTCAGAGCAAATATTTGGCCCAGGTGTACAACATCTCAGAGGATTATGCACAGGGCATTTATGATCTTCTGGACCAACCTCAGTTTGAGTTTTCCAAGGTCAAGGAACTGGCTGAGACTGCGCAAGAGTGGTATAAAGAGCCCAAGTTTAGGCCTGGTCCTGGATCAAAGTTGGCTGGATATCCTCCGTCTTCAGCCGTTTATCAGGCATAAGTGACATATTGGACATGAATTGGGTAATTTAATTAAGCCCTTGCTCAGAAAGTGCCGTGGTTTCCAGACACAATGCTGGGCTCATCTGCCGGATTCCGTTCGTGACTTTCTAGCCTGAATCCTTCATGTAATCCTGGAGAATTTTAAGTTTGCATTTTCGATTTATCCGCTCGAAACATCGTGAGATAATCGCAGAATGCAGTCGTGAGGGCAGTCTATGATGCTGACAATATGCAGAAACCTGGACCGAAATGGAGATAAGCGGTGATAAAGAAGCGGAATGAGTGCCATGACCTATGATAAACCCAATTCAAAAGCGAAAACGCGCGAAGGATTCAAGTACATCAGCATTTAAGACAAAATTGACCAGCTCATTCAATCATGTCCAAGTATATGTTGTGCCTGTAGACTCAACATACACAGCCTCAATTCGTCCTCACCAATCCAATTGACAAGCATTCACAACCATGGCCCCAACAGATGCAGAGATCAAGGCCACTATCAAGGCCGTGGTCGACGACTTCAGAGGATGGGACCTCGCACCAATAATGCACTACCCAAATGAAGAAGGCCTTGAATTCCAAGACATCTACTTCCCCTCCGACGACGGCGTCCCTCTAGAAGGCTGGTTCATCCCCTGCAAAGGTTCCAACAAGATCATCATCGCCAACCATCCTCACTGGTTCAACCGTGCCGGCATCCCTTCGCATCTCGAACCTTGGAATCAACTCATGCCCGGGAACGACTTTGAAGTCAATTTCATTCCTGATTACAAGATTCTTCATGATGCGGGGTATAATGTTCTTGCGTATGATTTGAGGAACCATGGGCTCAGTGGAAGTGGGAATCAAGGACTCTTTGGGTTCTTTGAGTGGCGCGATGTTCTTGGATCGTTGAAATATATTCGTGAGTCGGAGGATACGAAGGATATGATGATTGGACTGTTTAGTCGCTGCGCTGGTGCAAACGCAACACTCTCAGCGATGAGACATCGGCCTGAAGCCTTCAAAGGCGTAAGATGCATGATTGCGCCCCAGCCTATATCAGCAGGTTCCTCCATCGCAGTTATGCTTGACAAAATGGGCGCTCCGGCATCGTACATGGAAGAAGCTGATCGACAGCTCTTCATGAAGACGAGTTTTCATATTAGTCAATTGTCGCCGCCGACTGATGCGAAGCACGCCAATGTCCCGACGTTTCTGTATCAGGTTCGGGATGACCCTTGCACGACGCCGAAGGATGTTCAGTCTGTTTATGATAATATCCCTATCGAGGATAAGAAGTTGAAGTGGATTGAGGGGACGGACAAGAGGTGGGATGGGTATACGTATTTTCAGAGGGAGCCTGATCAGTTCTTGGAGTGGTTTGCAAAGTACATGAACTAGGTAGGGCATTATACAATTCTAGTTCCCTATCGCGTTTCTGTTGTATTATTATGATGGCTTTGTCAAACAAAAGAAGGGGTATCGTGTATAGTCTCTCCTGGCCAAGATGCAGCAAGCATTATGGCTTGCGAGCTCTTCCATACTCAGTTGTACATCTCGGCATCTCAAATTTGGTATGTCTCACTCGGCAGCCTTTCACACGGTAAAATGTTCTCTTTGCAGCTGCCTCGTTGACCCAGTATCGCTGGCCACATCATCATACTCGGACCTCCTCGTCTGCTTAACAACAACCTCCGTCCGTGTGGTTTTCTGAATGCCTCCCTCTAATCGATCTACCAGCTCTATATCGTCCGTATTCGCTTCGATAAACGTGGTGTTACCGCCAACAAACATTGCTGATGGCACTTTGCTCTTGCCTGTCTGCTTTGAGCTCTTCTTTTGAGTGCTGTGTGATCTGGAACCGGAGTAGTCGGGATAGTCGCTGTTGTTGCTGGCCTTGACAACTTTGATGATGAGGTCGGCCATGTTCATTTCGATGTGGAGCTTGACTAGGTAGGCTAGAGGATGGAACTGAACGTAACTGTGATAACGGGTTAGTAATGGTAGGGGGTTGAGTCGGCTTGGCTTACACAATGTCGTTTGGCAGGGACATCATTGCGATGAGAAGGATCTGATCATAGTCAGTATCTAAAGCAGCAGCTCAGGGGATGGTAACAAAGCATACATCCATAGTCATCGATACAGCGATCATGCCCAAGTTGAAACGAAACAGTCGAGTGTACTTGGTCAGGCCGTTGGCAATGAGCCTCGATCGCACGAGGTGGATAAAGTACAGATTGAGTCCTGCATCAACCACTAAAAAGATGACCTTCTCGATTCTATCCCAGACTTTGTTGATGTCAATCCATGTCTTGTTAACTTGCAGCCGAGCTGGAATCCAAATCGTGAAGACGCTGATGTTGATGCATAAGATGATGAGGAAGGAGTATATCTTGAGTCGCTTGGCATTTTGTCGGTTGACCATGAGGATCGCGATTCGGTTGATGATGATTTGAATTAGCGCTTGAAGTTGGATACACCAAAGAAAAACTACAAGCCATCAGTCTCAGTTTGAGGAACGTCCTCAGCGTAACAGCATAGCATACTTAGAGTAAAGAAAACCGGAAACCCGCCGGGGATGTAATTTCGTAGATAGCACCAAGTGACAGCGCTCATAATGCAGCTGCTCGTCCATTCGAGCCATAATAAGATGATGTAGTGATTCATCCTGCGTCCTCTCCTCCATGATTTGATAGTTTGCCGCATCCCTTTGGCGAACGTGAACAGTCCGACTCCGAGCGAGATTCCCCAGGCGATGCTCGCAATGTTCATGTCATTTTCGCCAGCGTCGACTTCGATAAAGTTCGGTCCTTTCCACAAATCCCCCATGGCGATAATTCTGTGACTTAACTCGGGCAATTAGAAGCGCTCAGCAGAGAAATTCAAAGGACAAAGACAGCAAGAATAGAAACAAGGAAACGAGTGAGATAAGTAAGCAAACGATGGGACGCCCACATACATATCCAACACAACATCGCCGCTAAGCCTTCAGATCTTGCGGATCCTGATGCCTGCGCCCAACTAATAACGTTGATCCTATTGAAGGGTAAAAAGCACAGACGAAGCATCCATTCTCAGGATCCGCAGCGATCGATCTTCGGCAGGGGATCCCAGAGCATGAGGCGAGACTCGATCTCCATCTGGCCTTTGGTTGGACCGGGGGTGGGAGACTTTCATCCAGAGATCCTCAAGGCTGCATATCAGCTGGTTTGTTATATGGGGTTCGTGCATGGTTGGTGGGAGATAGACGAGTATGCTTTTGGAGTGTTTTGCGAGTCGTCTCCACGAATAATGATGTGAATATTGCTGAAGATATTGACGCTACCACGAAGTTAGCCAAAGCTGAGATCAAGTCGTTTGACAGCCCTACACGTGAAACAAGCAGATGTTCCAGAAAACGTCTTGAGAAATGCTTCATCGGTAGTACGCATCACGGATCATTGAGTGACACTCCTCGTCAAGTCAGGTGGGCCCATGTCGCCGGCCGCATATTACCGCCAGGTCCTTCCTTTCTGTAACAAAAGAAATACGCCGGCCAGACGAACTTGACACTATCGAACCTTGAATGGTAAAAACGTGGCGAGTGGCAGGGAAGAGGAGAGCTGAGGTTAATGCTTTTGCGAAAATTCTCGGAGGGGATACTCGGTGAAGATCCGTGGCAGGCCCAAAAAGCGAAGAAGCCCGATCATAACCTGCATTATAAAGTTTTAACAGAATAGCAAATGGAGATTTGTACTTTTTATGTTGGTCAAACAAGGCGGTTCCTTGATGCAGATAGATAATTCTTCAACAAAGACCAACAGGCCATCATCTACAGCGGGTCTCTCCCACTGAAGAAACTTCTACAAAAGCAAAACAGCAGATCCAATCTCGCACAAATGAGCTCTCACAACTGACCAGATCTCGTCTCATCTCTCCTCTGGCCTCCAAATTGCGGCTCAACATCCTCGTCGCCTAACAGCGGACGATCAGGGTCTAACACTATAGTCATGCACCGGCGGAACGGATGTTTTCTAGCTTCAAGCCTAGAACCAATGGTCTAAGTGAGTCCAGTGCACTATGAAACATGCCACGTGCATAGTCGGCGTGTTTCGGACGCTATTGATAGCGGCCGCTGTAGGGCTTGATGAGGCTGTTGTGGATGTCTTCACAGGAATAGCAAAGCAATTTCATCATTTTGAGGAGTCACCACTTGTATATTGAAGCGTGCAGATTGAAAAAAGAAAGGTCGCAGATAATGATTCCCTTTCAAAAGAAAGCAGATCATCCGATTGCTACCTAACACTCACATTAATATTGGATGGACGGATGTTGTAGGGAAGCCCTGTAAAGCCTGGGCCCTGTCTTCGGCTCCGCTACGGCTCCCAGAGATAAAGCTGTTACAGAAAGGGACTTGAAGAATCGTACGGATGGTCACTGCAGTGAAGATTCATTCTTGTATAAAATTGGAGGGGCGCATCGCTCACTGAGATTACATTCCACTACTGCGGAGATGATGCTGGTGGTAAGCTCGAACAAGTATGATGTCATCGACTCTCTGCATTTGCAAGCCAGAATCCTACAAGCCATCAGACACTATCACAGCTTTTCAATAAAGGAAATTCATATCTCAAAGGGAAATTGAATACATAGGCTTACACAGCTATTCTGTTTGAGGTTCAGGCTCCACTTACCTGGGAACTCATCATCAATGAAGCTCGTACATGGAAATATTCAAGTTTGTCATCGTGCGTCTGCTCAAAGGGCATTGACTCACCCGTGCATGGCCAAGAACAATCAATCTTTTTATCAAGCACTTTCGTAGGGTTAGTTTACGGGGCTGTGCAATATAATAGAAGAGTTTTCCGGCCTTTGTGCGATTGGTTGGTAGTTGTGTTGACCATATATCGCCCATTGTGGCCTTGCCTTGACACTCAAGCTTGTAAACGATGCTTCTCGTAGGTTTGTTCTTCAGCACCAAGCATCAAGCACCACCGGGCTTTCATGCAGGGTAAATAACAGTTGTATGAATGTGTAACACTGCTTCCATTGGAGTTTTTAAACAAGTCACTTGAAGTTGATACTGAACAGAAGCATTGCACATTGCAAGGAGACAGAAAACAAGCATTGAGGGTCTAGGGTGAATATCAGTGAAGCATCCCACACAACCATAAAATATTGTCGACTGAGTACACTAACAACATGATTTGCGCCAACATAAAAATCGCGAGTAGCTTCCTTATGGTCTTCCATAGGTAGATAGCTCCAACGCTCCGATCACTTATGACGATCCAGTAGTGGCAACCACCCCGCAATCCTCAGCTTTCAACCATCTACAATACAACCTACCAAGTGCTAAGCCACCATGACTCCCTCATAAATCCCCCTTCAAGTCCTCACTTACATGACTCCGAAAATGCTCGCAACTTTGCCAACATGAAGAAGAGATCTCGTGCCTGCGAAGCCTGTCAGGCTCTCAAAGTCAAATGCGAACCATCACCTGAAGAGTCTTCAATCTGTGAACGATGCTCTCGTTACAGTCTTACTTGTGTTCCTGCTGCGAGAAAGTGGCAGAGAGATAGGATTGCTGAGCTGGAGGAGCAGGTTAAGAACCTGCAGGATAAGCTTGATGGTGCTACGAATTCGACTCTGGGGTTGTCGACTTATGCTACCTCTACAAGAGCTACTTCGGTGTTCTCTGATAGAGCTTGGCCGCAGACAAGTGCTGGGTCATCAGAACTTAGCTTTCTGGATGCTCGTCTAGACTACGAAACTCAGCTTCGATGTCTGGAAGTATGTTCAACAACCGCTGGACAGTTCTGGTACCTTATACCTCCGGTCGACACCACCTCAGCACGCTCATGGCTAGACTCCCTCAGGACAGGAGCACCCGTCAAGCTCATATCCATGCTCTCCTTCACCATGTCCCCCTCCTCCGCCGAGATCAATCCCCAAACGCAAGAAGACCTACGAATCAAGACCTTCGAAATCCTCGGCCAAGCAGCCGTCGGTCTCAAGCGGCCCTCCCTAGATCTCATCCAAGCCGCGCTAATAACCGGTCTCTGGATCCGCCCGTCCCTCGACTGCAACCACGGGAACCCGAACCAGCTTGTGTCGCTGGCACACGATCTCAGCGTGGAGCTTGGTCTCGGAGGTGCGGAAATGCAGACTTCTGCACCGGCGTGGTTCTTCCGGATCCAGGGGCCTCTGACACTGGAGATGCAGAAGATTTGGTTGGCGGGTTGGATGACTTCCACGATGAAGGCTGTTGGGCTTAGGAGGGCGCATGATTTTGATTGGGGGACGGCGCATTATGAGGCTCTGGGGGCGTTGGAGGCTGATGGCTCGGATCCGTTGTTCTCGGAGATGCTTTATACGGTTCGACTTCATGCGAAGGTTGCTAGTTCTCTTGAACTCTGCGATACTCGCACGTTTCACGACATCAACTCTGATGTTGTAGCGGCTACGAGGAATCAGATCTACAATAACTTGAACGAGCTGAGCAACAGACCTCTTGCGGGCGATGTTCAACTTCGTTTTTGGCGAATGCTCGTCGCGATACATGTCAACGAGCCAGTTCTACATACAACCACCAACAAAACACTCTTCACATCCCCCTACATCTCCGAAAGAATCGGCGTCCACGACTTTGCCTGCAGTCCCATAACCTCAACAACAGCAACAGCTCTCCACTCCATAGTGGAAGCCTGTCACCTCGCCATCTCAATAGTCCTCGAAATGGACGCCTCCACAATCCTATCCCTTCCCTCCCTCTGCTTCGGTCCAGCGGTGAGCTACACACTATCCATCCTCATCAAAGTCTTCGTGGCAGTGTCTGCACCGGGAAACACATACAGTCAAATCCTGACCCGCGAAACCCTGCACGTGCGAGAAGCCATGCAAAAGCTCATCTCCGTCAAGGAAGCGCTGCTGAAGCTCGATCCGCACATGGGCAACTGGAACACGAGGACCATAGGATCTGTCGAATGGCTGGGCGTTTGGCTAGATGATTACGAGAGTATTATTGAGTGCTATGAGGAGAATCTGCAGAGGGAGGTTGCAGAACAGGAAATCGAAGGACTCAGCCCCAATGGGCATTTCTAATCCATTCCTATTGACTCTGTAGTTTACACCAATCTAGTAATTAATCTTTAGTCTTTAATGCACGTTTATTCCCTGTAGCTTGATTTTTCTCCTGCAGAAAGGGTCTAGAAGCCGTTAAATCTTACAGGGATGTTTGTCGCGGGAATCCGTGTCCTGTCACTTACACGGGTAGATTCACAAAATGACGTACACGACTCTCGGAAGGCTTCAAGGCTGTGCAATAAGCGACCAGGGCTGTGCTGGCAATTAAGCTTGTCTTTCCCCATAGTCTTTTATGGAGACGGTGAATTTTGACCGTGGATTTTATATGTGTTTGAGATGTGAGACCCTGTCGTTGGGGATCAGCATCATGATCACAGAGCGTTATGCATGGGATGAGCGAGAGTCGATGATGCTTTGACTTTGAGGGAGATGCTTGGTATAGGGATGATGAGAGATTGAGGAAGGGATTTGTTTGAGGTTCGTGGTTGGCTTCATGGAGAGATGTTGTGTATAAAGTGGAAGGGAGAAGCGCCGCGAGAAGAGAAGTCTCATCACTCACAGCTTCACATCTTCAAGCATCACAATATCACAGTCACTACCAGCTTAACAGCTATCACCAGCCTCATTATCCTCTTCAGAATAAAGAAAAAACTCAAGATGAGATTCCTCAACCTCGCAGCCCTCGCATCCGCCGTGGTCGCTCAATCCGACCTCGCCAGCATTCTCTCCTCCCAATCCGACCTCTCCACCCTCGCCGAGCTCCTCGCTCTCGTCCCCGACATCGCAGAGACTCTCGCATCCGCCAGCAACATCACCATCTTTGCTCCCACCAACGATGCATTTGCCTCGGTCCCCCGAGACATTCCTGAGGGAGAGGCTATTTCCCAGCGCAACGACACCATCGCTATCGGTGCTCTGCTGTCAAACCATGTCTTCAAGGGCTATTATCCTGCCAAGGTTGCGACGGACATTCCTGTGTTTGTGCAGTCTCTGCTGGATTCTAGCTTTGTCAATTATCGTCAGCCGTTTGGTAACTTTACTGGGGGTCAGTATAATGGTATTGTGAAGGATGGCGATGATGTCGTTGTCATCTCTGGAGAAGAGACTCTGTCCTATGTGACTGAAGCCGTAAGTACTACTCCATCTCAGAGATTTAACTGGCTCTAACAATGTGCAGGATATCAAGGTCGGTGACTCGGTCATCATCCACAAAGTCGACAAGCCTCTCAGTTTTGGTGCTCCTCTCCAACTCTTCACCCGCCGCGACAACCTCCTCAACTTCAACGCCGCTCTCAACGCAGCTGATCTTCCCTACAACTTCGGCAACCTGGATCGTGACTCCTCTACTCTTGTCAACATCTCTGACTTCACCGTCTTCATCCCCAACGACCCTGCTTTTGAGGCTATTGGTTCAGTCCTCGAAGGCGCTGATCTCAAGACTCTGCAGGAGGTGTTGAAATACCACATCGTGGACGATGTTCTCTTCTCTACTGATCTAGCCAACGTCAGCGTTCCTAGTCTGCAGGGCGCTGATTTGACGTTTACTGTTGCTGAGGATGGAAGTGCTTGGGTGAATGGTGCTAAGATTCTCTTCACCAATGTTCTTCTCTTCAACGGTGTCGCTCACGTTATCGATGGGTAAGTCATTCTTCTACTCTTAACCACCTACAGTACTGACGACAACAGTGTCCTCAACCCTGCCGACGATCCCTTTGACCGTGCTGATCTCAAGCCCGCCGCTGAAGCTGATGACCGCCTTGCTTTCCCTGGCGCAACACCCGTCTCCAAGCTCCCTTTCTCAGTCATCAGCTACGCCGACGACAGCCAGCCTACTTACACCACCCCCGAGCTCCTCAAGACACTCAAGGCCATTGACGTCTCAGCTCTTGCTACTGCCACCGCTACCGCTGATGCTACCACTGGTGCTGGAGAGACTACTCCCATTCCTACCGGAGTCACACCCGTTGTCAACGCCGCAAGCTCCAAGTTCGTTGCTGGAGGAGCTAGTGTTTTCGCTGTCCTTGTTGCTGTCCTGATGGCTTAAGCTGTTGGCAATTTTAAGGTCGTGTTGGTAGAGCTCTTGTTTGCAAGTTTGTATTCTTGACCATATTACTCCAGATACATGTCTTTCGAGGCCCAGAACTCCCCCGGTCAGAGTAGATTAGTACTTAATATCCTGAATTTACATCTTTTCTTATACAATGTCCTGGGCGAATGTGAACAAACGCATGCCGAATCGGGGAGAGCAAGCGCCGAAGATTGGTCATGTAGGCTCCATCTCGGAACACCGAGGGTCCGAGAGTGGAGATTCCGCGCGCAAGGATCGCCAGAGATCGCTTCCGATCGCGATACCAATTCCAATTTCGTGCTACAACTTCACTGATTGATTTGTCAGATTACTTCTTGTTATAACACTCATAACAGACTTTTACCCCCCAAGAACAGGCTTCGCCCATCGCTTTCAGTTATTGTACCATTTCTCAAACCCTCAAGTAAGTCTCATCATGAGGGCGCCCGTGAAAGCAACTTCTACGTGGGGTAGTACAGCTCGTCGTCTCGCATGTTGGTCGTTCTTCATCTTTATTTGCTACTGGAGTGCTGAATGGATCGCAGATCATAGAGGCGCAATTTCTCAACTTCCTCTGGCCAGCAGATTGATAGCGGCACCAGCACGGATTTACCAGCATTACCTGTCCGGAGGAAAGCCATTTACTTCGTCTACGTTCAAGCTGCAGGAGCAGTCTCAGCCTATCAACATGGGCTCTAAAATCAAGAATCTATATGGCCTCAAGGACCATCTCACTCATGATAAACTTGACGAGCTGCGGAATTTCTGGTTTGAGCATATCCCCGAGATGGCCGATCGTATCATCGCTCCTCAAGAATTGCAAAAGAGATGGTTCTTCTCAGACAAAGAGTTCGACAATGTCTGCGTGTAAGTCGCACACTTACTCTAAATTGACTATATCCTCTAATACAACCCTAGCACTCGATTCAGCCCTATACTAGAAGCCATCCGCGACGCGGGAGTTACATCCGCGCAAGAGCTTCTGTCCGTTGCTCAGCCTCGGAACTCGCTAGACTGGTTGAACCTGATCATTCTGCTCGACCAAATTCCTCGCAACTCATATCGCGGCGAGAAATCACCCATCTGCTTCACTTACTTCGACCCTATCGCGCAGCAGGTATCCCTTGAAGCCATCAAGCAGGGCATCCCAGATAAGGCACCCGAGATCCGCTGGGTCTTCTCCCACCGGAACTGGTTCTACATGCCCTTGATGCACTCAGAGGACATATCTGCACATGTTAAGGCCGTTGCCGCTTTTGATAAGATGAATCAGGATATACTGAGCTTGATGGAGGGAACGGGTGGTGCAGACGAGTACGAGAGGAAGGCAAGGGAAGTGGTGCAGGCGGATCCTGAAGCAGCGAAGTCAGTTGGTGAGACGAATAAAGTGTTTGAGGAGAAGCATAAAGTGATTATTGAGAGGTTTGGGAGATATCCACATAGAAATAAGGCACTTGGGAGGGAGGCGACGCCGGAGGAGGTAGAGTTTCTCGAGAGTGGAGGTGATACTTTTGGTAGCTAAGATGCCTGATGCATGCATTGCATAGTGGATCATTATGATCTGCACTATTAACATTGACCTCATTGCGCTAAGATGCCTGCCATGTTGGTTCAGGTACGCTATCAAAACAATTGACGATCATATTCGCGTATCAACGAGGGGTACACACTGTAGTCGCGGACAGGGCATTGATGAGTTCAGAGGTAGGTACCAGGTACTAAGTTGAGGGTAAGTTCAGAATAGACGCCTCGATTTTTGGAAGAGTTCAGGATACCTAAGGTTGATCAATATGCGGACAACGGGACAATTAACCGCAGGGTGTCTCATGACAGTGTGTGCGTGTATCCTATAATTCAGGGCCATACTCCGTTCGCCCAAAGCGAATACGTCGAATTTAAACGACAGCCGAAAACGCCTCTTTGCGCCAATAGGAATCGACGGGTGCGCTAGTGTGACAGCCCCAAGTGCCGACAGTCCACTAACGATCAGCGCCCGCCCACCAATTCCCCAGGGGCCTTTGTACGGTTCTGACACGCAATTACCGAAACGGGCACCTCGGCGTGTCGGATGTTGAGTGATCCGACCTTTAGCATCGGTAGTTGACCTGATGTCACAGTGCCATTGTTTACGCATAACACCACTTTTCCTCTCCAACTATTATATATAACAAAGTTGTCTTTGATTCGAAATGGTTACTACAAGAGCGAGTTCTCGTGGTGAGAGTATTAGTACTGAGAGCTCTACTACGATCGATATTCCTCCTACACCTGCTACACGACAACGAACGATGAAGAACGCAGACTCGAACCCCTCGGTTTCAGATGGAACATCTAAGAAACACGCTGTTCAAAGGTGGCATCATACAGCCTCATCGACAACAATTCTCTGGCTCGCTGTATCATTGCCCCTCGTTATATGGGATATAGGCTACGTCTTCGGCAGACCTCACACCATGCCTGGTGGTTTCCTCCATTGGCCTTTATACGTCCCGTATGCGCTGTACGGTGAGGTCGATCATGTGTACGGGTGGAAGGCGTTCAATGCTAAGAACGGCTTCACGGCTGCCCAGACGGCCTTAAACCTCGTTGAGACGGTCATGTACTTGGTGTATTTGTACATGCTGTGGACACGCGCGGACAAGGCATTTGATAGCGCGAAGAGGACTTTGAGTGGACGTGACGGTGCGTTGGCTGTTGTAATTGGCTTTAGTGCTGCTGTTATGACGCTGAGCAAGACAATCCTATACTGTGAGTGAACCTCTCCTATACATGGGATGGGATCTAACAGAACTAGGGGCCAATGAGTATTATAGTGACTTTGACAACATCGCTCACAACACACCTATGGACCTACTCACTCTTTGGATAATTCCCAAGTAAGTATCTATATGATGTGCTAGAATTAATACTAATTCTTTATCAGTGGTGCCTGGATCGTCCTGCCTACCTACATGATCTCGAAGTTTGGTGGGGATATTCTCGATGGCTTGACACTTGCTTCAAGCCAATCGGTAAAGACGGAATATAAGAAGCACGAAGGGTCTGGTTGAGCGTCTTGTTTAGTACTTTGCGGACATATGAGCAATGGCAATGAGGGATGACTTGTGAATGATGAGCTGGGCTAGGGAGCTTTGATGTTTAGTGAATATTGTGAAGGAACACTTTGACCTTACCATGGTCGAATAATGACATTCATTCCCAGCAGCACATCGCAGTAAGAGCAACTGACATCAACACTTGATGATTAACTACTACCCTTCCCACCTAACTTTTACCTCCCACAGCAAACATAATAAAGCTAGCTATAACTATCGTCTAGACATGTCATTTCATAAAGAAATAGGGGTATTCGCTTATAACAACCATAAAAGAAACATAGAAAAAAACGCGTCAAGCGTGAAAGCAACCACACATCTCCTTCTCAGCAAATTCTCATCTCATATCAGTCAACCCTCCCAAATCAGCATACTGCTCCCAAGCAGGCATCATGTCATCATCCTTCTCCGTCATCTCCCCCGGACTCTCCATAAACGTCTGCATCGCCGCCCAATCCGCATCCTCATTCACGATATACGGCTCCTCCACCTGCGTCTTTATCCGCAGCGGCTGCGGAAACATGCTGTGTCTTCTGCTCTCAACTTCCTCCGTGCAGCGTGAGTCAGAGAATATCGCGCTGATGGGACGGCTGCGCTTGGAGACGCGGCCGGACATTGACCGTGCGACCATGGACATTACGTCGCGGCGGCGTTCGCGGCGTGCTTTTACGTCTTTGGGGATCATGGGCTCGACGTAGTATTCTGTTAGGGGCGGTGTGTCGAGGGGTGACTCGGTGTCGTTGGTTTCGATGCTCTCGGGGGTTGTGTTGTCTGTGTCGTCTGTGTCGACGTTTACATCGTTTGTGCCGTTGCCGTAACCGTGGACAACGATTTCGTGGTAGGTTGGCCGTGTTGGCGGTGTGATTGATTGAGGTGGTGTGGTAGCGGGGGGGTTAAACATGCGCATTGATCGTCGAATTGTTGAAGAGCGGCTGAGTGCTTGTGTGAATGAGTTTGAGCGTGATGGGCGTGAAGGCATTGATGCTCGACGTTCCATCTTGCGGTTGTCGTGTTGTGTTTGGGGACGATCTCGGTGAGTGAGTGCGAAGTAATCGATGTCCGGTTTAATCTCAATCTTCCCAGAGGAATCTTCTCCTGCGTCTGCAGCACCATCCGGTTGCACACTCCAGGTCGGTCCGCTAGTAACGTACTGGGTCTGGCGTTTCAAGATACGGTCCAGATCGCGAGGTGTATCCCACGGCGGAAGCTTGTCAGTTAATGCAGAGAGACTGTAGTGAGCCTCGTTGATCTCGTCCTCTTCCAAATCTGTTGCTGTGTCTGTTGCGTAGCGAAGGACTTGGTATGTTGCGTAGATGAGAATCCATCGGACCTTGCGAGCATCCACCAGCGACACCTTCTCCTGCTTGTCTGCTTTATTCGGCGACATGATGGAATCTTCTTCGAAGCGTCGATATGCTCTCACGAGATCATTCTGCGCAACTCCTGGCTTCATCAGATTCGATGCGCTGATCAACGCTGTGTGAGCCGTTACTCTGCGATCTGATCTGAGAGTCACACGTCCGGGAAACCAAGACATGCGCCGCGAGTTGTTACCATTTGCATCGGGGAGAAGCGGCAGTGGGTGATCGAGGACATCGTATCCATGCTCGAAGTCGAAAGACTGCACAAGTTGAATAGTACAGATTCCTCCATGTGCTGTAGGCGGCATGGTATGTGATGAGGTATACTGGTCATCAACCAAGAGATCATATAAAGCTTCAAAGTCCTCACGCATAATCCGTAACACAGCTGGATCAAACAGGTCGTTGTCAGAGTCCGCAGTCGGTGGATAGTACCCCAGCTTCGTCGTATAAAACGATAACAAAAAACTTCGGAAGCGCTCAAGGTGAGCTCGGGCGCCTGCTGCGACGCTCAAATGAGCCTCCGACAGCTCATCATCGAGAAACGTTCTCAGCATCGAAGACGACCGCGTCATGCGATAATCAAGCTCGAGATGTCCTTTACGTATGAGCTTGCGTGTTGAAGGGCTGAGCTCCTGTTCTCTTCGTCAGCGTCTGGCCTTAGCATTCTTGGTCAGAAAGAAAAAAACAAACCTGAAACCCAGGATTTTCGAACAAGTTTTCGCTCATGCCGACGCAATGTGCAAAAGCTCGGATGTACAGCTCCTTCATTTGAAAACACTCCGCAAGCTGTAGTATTGCCAGCGCGTGGTTTGGCTGATTCGCCATGTCGAGATAGCCTTCCTCGTCGAAATACTCCATCATATCTGAGACATTGTCGTCCACGCCGGATCGAAACTCATGCATACTGTGGAGAAGACCAATAAGAGCGCCGCCGAGACTGTATCCGACCATGGATCTTCGAAACACCCAAGCGAAGAAATTGCGTGTTGCGAGATGGTAGTTGAAAGCTTGCGTTTTATCTGTCGTTGGAGGTGGCGGGATGTATAATTCGATTTTGCGTGTTGTGTGTTTTTTACTCCATCTCATGAGCTCGCGAAGATTGGGTTTTTGAACGCCCTCCCACACGAGAAACCTTTGGATAAGAGGGTAGCATTGGGCGTCGAGGAGGGCTGAGAAGGGGACTTTGAAGGAGGGACCTCGTTGAGAATGACCTTTGGCGTGGAGATGCACCATGCAGTTTCCATTTCGAAACCAGAGTTCAGGGTCCTGTTTCTGTAATTAGATATTCAGTTTCATGAGTAATTCTCGACCGACTTACTCGTCGAATGTTGTCCCATTCTGTGCACGTCCTCGCAGCACCATCCCACCGCTTCACAGTCGGATGATGATCCATTCTCCCATTCACAAAAGCACTGAACCGCAGGGAACTCTGTCTAGAGTTCACCTGTAGAGACGGCATAGCGAGAGTCGTATATATATGTTTTTGGCCAGAATGCCAAAAATATCAACGATCAAAAGCAGCTGAACAAATCTGCAGTGAGCCGCGTCGTCGGGATGTTGCAGGTAAATGAGTCTTTGTTCGTTAAATCCCCCTGCTCTGTTCAGAAAAATAGGCCCTGTCTTTTCTTTTACGAGCGCGTAAAATAAAAACCCCCATCACATCTCAAGTGATACAGCCATGTTGGAAGGGAAAAGACGTCAGACGCAGGGTTCCATGACGGGTCCTACGTAAGAGATCTCCAGAAGATTCAAGACAAGACGAAAGATCTCAGACCTCGCCCGGGGGGGGATATGGCCATGTTAATATTGGATCTCTGTTCTGCTCTTGACTGTCACAAAGCACCAAGCCTAGCCTTGCCCAACAGGGCGAACCCTTGAACCCGGCAAGACAGGGCCCCGACGGTCGGAATTTGAATTCAAGCCAAGGCCAAACCCAAGAGGTAAGACACTATCAAGCCACCGCATTAGCGTCTTTTTTCTCATTGACTTGTCGGCGTCTTCTCGTCTTTGAGCTGGCCGTAGATCCCTGCAGGCAGCTCGCCTATGAACTGGAGGCTATGAGCTGGCTCTTGACGTGTTTTGTCTTATTTGTTGTAGAGCACTGCATACTACTCCATACAGAGTATTGAACCCATAGATGATCAGTGCTTAGTGACAAAAAAGCAAAAATTGTCGATTTAGCCCGAACCCAAGAACCTGGTATGAGACAGAAAAGTATGTATCGTACACCATTTATCAGCCCATGGGACTCTCCGATCCGATCTACCGGAGCATCTCGAACACCATCCACCGAAGCTAGTAGGAGCATTACCTTAGGCTTTGGTCACAGCTTGCGCAATACAAGTCAAGTTACAGCAAAGAGAAAGTTGGTGTATGTCTCTGCATGATGCATCGACAGTCACACAATACCACGAACAGAATCAATTATGATGATGATCATCGTTCTTTTAACCGGTCGTCCCGGGCAAACTTGACAGCCTAAGCAAGCAATCTTGAAGAGAAAGTGGCGTAATTTCTTTCAAGGTCAACGAAATTGTGTTAATCTGTGACGTCCCGAAATTTCGGGAATTAAAACAGGGCCTCTATTACTCCACGGGTCTTGTCTTTGTTAGGCAGATTTCTTCAGCTCCACTGGGATATGCCAGATTATCTCAACAGCAAGGATCATCTACAGCTACAATCCCTGACTCTTGATACATATTTACGACAATTGTTTCTGTAGCCGCCATTTATCACTCTCTCAGCTCCAGTCTGACAACGAATTGTCAACTTGTGGATGGCAACCCAAAACCCTCAGCCGCACCGATGGGCACTCGAAGGCGTCGGGAGACCTTCAATACTCGAACCCTTTTGGGGAATTCAGCCAAGCCTAGTTTTCTGCTTGGACCAAGGGGCAGGTCCAAAGACTCCAGACAGGTCAGAGCTAGAGTCAGCCCAGACCAGGGGCGGGACCTGACCATCACTCGTTCTGGCTCTAGCTCAACATGCAGAGTCAGCCAAGCATGAAGTCTTCTTCTGTCATCATGAAATAATAGCCTTTGAACGATCGTGAACTAAACACCTCCTCTCTGCCCGGAACTCAAAGAACCCCGCAATTGCCATGTCGTGCAGGCGTCATATCATAACTAGAGCCAACAAGGCAATATTGACTGAATACAGAATCAATGGAGACCGGAGTCCGAGTCCTCGGGTTCGGAACTGAAGTCATACAACTTCAGAAGGGATTATCGTTGAGTGAAAGCGTTGAGCGAAAGCCCTCGCAAGACAAGGCGAGACGGAAAAGCTCATTAACAAGGTTGAGCTTGTCTGTTGCATGTCAGACTTTTACGGTCTAGACGCATCTGGTGCCAGATCCCGTCTTTCGCTTCCCGCCTTATAGCTGAACTCGCCACTAACAATAGTCTCAAACGCGGTGGACAACTTTACTGTATGCTGGACGGGATGGGATGGCATTCAGGGTTCAAGCTTGGAGCATTAGCCGCCCTCAGTTGTGTGTTTCACCAAGCGAAGCTTCGACCACTACCAAAGGTCTTTTTTCCTGACAACGCCACAGTCTCGGAATGCATGAAATGTGCTGAATAGAGGGCTTATTCATGCTTCTGCGGACGAGAGTCAGGGCATTAGGGGATTGCTAATTGAAAGCTGCTGGAAGCCATTCTGCGTTATGTTTTAAAGGGTACCAACCGAGACTCATATAAATAGACTTCAGGACGAAACAAGACCACAGTAATATACTTAGAGGAGGCAAGAAAAGGGCCTCCATCCTAGGCGACAAAAATCTAGGTCGGTCAGTGTAAGTTTAGGGGGAGCATACGCATGATACCGAGTTGAAACAACTGGTATTCATGACCGTTGAGAGAGGAATGTTGAACCGACTCAGCTCTCCAATACTCCCGGTAGGGCTGTGAGCTGAGTGTGAGAGGAGTGTTGAGGACAGCCAACGTTTTTCACTTTTGCTTTTTGTGATTTTAGTAAATGATACAGTTTGTTAAGTTCAAATGGAAAGACATGATTAGTTTATTCTTACTATAAGTTCACTGATATTAGTGCTACTCGGGAGGTGCATTTAGTTGAATGAATCTATGTAGACCCTGATTGGCCCCTCACCGAGTGACCATAGCTCTACTCACCTCACACCGAGAACAAAGACCCCAGTTTCAAGACAGCTCCCTTCCCAACTTCAACCCGAGTCTGCCAAACTCCACGACCTCCCACTGCCATGGCGCTCGTGATACCTTACACGTACATCCAATGTCCGTGTTCCGACAACTCTCCCCCAGATCTCCCCCAAGCGCGTCAATCACAATCCTCCGACGAACGAACCTTTGACCCCCGCGATCCTCGCTCAAACTACAGCCTCTACCCTCTCGAGTACCTCCTCTACTGCGAAGACTGCCAGCAAATACGATGTCCACGATGTGTGAACGAGGAGGTTGTTACATATTACTGCCCAAACTGCCTGTTTGAGGTTCCCAGTAGTAACTTGCGCAGCGACGGGAATAGGTAAATAACACAAAGACGTGGTCCAGACCAAGCCTGACATGCGCCTCATAGATGTACCCGAAGCTGTTACCAATGTCCCGTGTGTATTGGTCCTCTCCAGGTTATGGAAACACCTGTGGAGAAAGACCAGTCACACCTTGGCGCCGACATCCCAGGGCCTCAATACGCACTGTATTGCCAGTACTGCAACTGGACCTCCACCGAGATAGGCATCAAGTTTGACAAGCCTAACGGTATTCACTCACAGCTCTCCAAGATCAACAATGGAGGAGATCTCAAGCTCACGGCGAAAGAACTCAAGGAGCGTCGCAAGGAGAACCCAGATGAGCCACCTCTTGCCGACAGCGATGTCGATACAGATCTTCAGTATGCCAATTTGAAGTCATTCTACCAGTCGCAGCTCGCAGATACAAATGCTGCCTCGAGCGGCATATCTCCACTGAATGACACTACCGGCTATGGATCGCCTGCAGCGTCGTTGTCTCGTATCATGGCTATGTATACTGGTCACGGACATGCCCGCAAGCGCAATGGTCCTTCAGATGTTATGCGTGAGGCTCTTTCGGCAGAGGAAGGTCTGAAGTTGGCGGATCTGGATGAATCAGCTCAGATCAAGAAACTGCACCAGGAGGGGTGGGATGCTACGGCTACTATACAGCAGAACCTTGAACAAGCAGAGGTTCAGAGATTCCAGGATGGTTTACGGCCTATACCACATCTCCTCAGAACGAAGCGCTCTAAGCGTTGCTCTGTGTGTCGGCATATTATCTCCAAGCCAGAAAATAAGGTCACGTCGACACGGTTCAAGATCAGACTTGTCGCAAAGTCGTATATCCCTACGATCACCATCAAGCCTCTCAACCCCACAGCTGGAACAGTCCCTACCACGCAGCGTCCTCAAACTCTAGAAGAGCGACCGCTCAAGCCCCTCACCCCTCATCACTACATCATAACCTTCAAGAACCCTTTGTTCGATGGAATCAAGGTCACACTTGCTACGCCAAACAGTACACCTGGCAGGTTCTCCAGCAAAGTGACTATTCTCTGTCCTCAATTCGATATTGATGCCAACACGGATATGTGGGATGATGCTCTGAAGGACGATGACAGAGACAAAAAGCGAAAAGGTGAAGAGAGCAGTGGTCAGCCTGAAGCCGGTAAGATTTGGGAGCGAGGGCGCAACTGGGTCAGCATCATCTTGGAAGTGGTTCCGGCTTCACTCCGACTTGACGGTCAAAAGGACAAGAGTCCATTGAAGGAGGATGAGGATATTCTGGAGATACCCATGTTTGTGAGGATGGAATGGGAGCCTGACTCTCAGCAAGACGTCGGTGCAGCATCTGCAAAGGAAAAGGATGCTCAGGAAAGGAGGGAGCTGGCTTATTGGTGTGTGCTTGGAGTTGGCCGCATCAGTCACGATTAAAGATAGAAAAGGCATGCACATGAGAGATAGATCTAGATACCCAATAATTGGACGAAGTCATGGACGGGAAGAAGTGTTTAAGTTGTCTTGTCAAATCATACGCAGCTTGCTTGTAACATTTATCAAGCTACTTTCTTTAAGACGCCAAGCCCCTTTTTTGACCAACCAACCATTTGTGAAAAACACTCCCAGCCCGAATCAGGGAAAAATAGTCATTTCTTCTATTTCATCTCGAAAAAGGTAACGCACAGACTTAGTAGTCGGCGGGACCGCTCTGAGGGAACTCGAAGTTGACGTTGCGGCCTGTCAAACGTCGGTAGACCTCAGAGTAGGTGTCGAGGCGGTAGTCAACACCACCACGCTCCTTCTCGTCGAGGATGACCTTGAGGAGCTTGGAGCCGTCCTCCTTGGTGCGGACGCGCTTGCCGACGATCTCGACGGGGTAGGTGAGATCCTCGAGGATGGCGTCGTGGACAGCAGTGAGAGTTCGCGAACGGGGGCGCTTCTGCTTCTGGGTGTTGCGAGAGCGGGCGGATCGCTTGGGGCGGGGCAAGATGCGGCGAGAAGCGAGGATCAGGACGTGGCGGTCAGAGAACTTCTTCTCGAGCTCACGGGTGAGACTGGGGAGTATTAGTATTGAGTCTGATATTAGATAAATGAGGAGATATCTTACCGCTGCTGGACGCGGTGGAAGCCCTGCAGGGAAGGGACGGGGACAAAGATGACAATAGCCTTCTTGCCGTGGCCAACCTCGATCTAGTCAAGATCCCAAGTCAGCATGCGAGCTCCAGGACGAAACCTTGGACCGCTTCCCGTCCTGTTCCACAGAAGTCAATGATACTCCGGCTGGCACTCCTCCGCCCCGACGACATGTGTAAGCGCATCAAGTCAAGTATCTCTCGAATATCGAGGTCATTTTCGACGGAAAAGTGCGCGGTCGGGAGGCGGAGAGGCCAATGCGAGAACAGTGCAGTTTTCTTATGTGGGAACAGGATTTCTCGAAACGAGACCTAAGTTCGGAATTCTTTGTTTCATGGTATTCTCACCTCACGGGCAGAGACGATCTGCAGAGGTCGCAGGGCAACCTTGAGGTCGGAGGTGTTGGACTCGAGGTCGAAGAGAGCCTGAGCGATGCTGGTCTCAAGCTCGGAGGGGTTCTGCCTCGAAGGGCTGTTGGGAGCGATCTTGTTAAGGGCCTGGGCGCTCATTTTGACGGCTGGTTCGACTACGTGGGATTGACGACGACGAAGTTGATGGTGTTGCGCGGGCCGCTTGGAATTTTTGATAGTCGGCAATTTCAAAAAGTCGCTAAATTGGGGTTTTACCCTCTACTTTTCTGTGGGCGGTCCGTGCGTCGGTGAGGATGTTGAGGTTGATGCCTGAGGCTTGAGCCTAGCACACCGAATCCTCACCTTGTTGTCAGTGTATCCAGTCACCAATCGCCCAGAAGGGAAATCGACCACACTTACACAGCGTCCCGTGTTTCGTGGCTTGATGCAATGAAAGGAAAGCAATCAAGTCAAAGGTTGCACAGCATTTCAGAAGCATTCACTTATGAATATGCATGATTTCAAATCAACTCTGCTTGAATCTAAGACACGAAGCCGTGTAACTCCTGCAGCTCAACCACACTCACAACCACTTCCAATGGTAGAAAGCATCTCCGAGACGTCCCATGATGAAACAACGCATCGTTTACAACATTCGTATCAAACATCCTGATCCTCTATCCAGTTTTGACTGTTACACATTCTAACCCTCACCGCCCTCGGGGTCCTCCTCATCCTCGTCACCGAGCTGCTTATCAACATCCTGCTGCACCTTTTCACCTGTCGTGTCCCTTGCGATCTCGGCAGCCTTCATACCGCCAGCCGTGAGCCACAGGAAGTGATTTGTCTTGAACTGGTCAATCTGGTTGAAGAACATGTGAAACCTGCCGTGTCTTGTTAGCCCTGTCCGACTTGTGCATACGTCAGTACTCACGAGTTTTCCTTCTCCTCCACGCTGAAAATACGAGTGTAGATCTGCTTGTCCTTGAAGGCTTGGATCTTCTCTTCGTACTTGTCAAAGTCGATCGCTTCCTTTCCGAGTGACTCGGTGGCCTTTCGGTTGTAGTTGTGGAATACGGGTCGCTCAAGCAAGAGTCCGAGACCAGGGGCCTTGGGGATGGCCATCTTCTGGTTCTGGTAGCTCTCGTTGATACGTTCCATGGGAGTTCCACAGCGGACGATCAAACTGGCTAGACCAACCATCTTTCGGATCTGGTGCATCATGAAACTCTGTCCGTGGACCTTGAGAGACAGCCATTCTGTATCGTTGATGATGATGGGCTTAGGGTTGACAACGAATGACTTGATGTGTCGCTTCGCTGAGGGATCGAAGAATGACTTCTGAACAGTATAGTTGTGAAAGTTCTTTGTGCCGTTGTACTTGTTGAGGGCCTCCTGAAGACGGTTCAGACGCTCGGTGCTGACACGATATCGTCGCTTAGCGGCAACATAAGCTGCCTTGATGTCTCGAAGGGCAAAATCAACGGGGCCGAGCTCACGGTTCTTGGGCTTGTGGCTCTCCAGAACAAGGCCAGACTGTTGAGCCTCGGGCTCTGTAGTTTGTTCAGCAGCCTCGCCAGCGGGTGTCTCAGCAGCAGGCTTCTCCTCTGCTGGCGCGCTCTCTTCGGTCTCTTTCGCAGCTTCCTTGCGTGCAGCAACCTCTTCATCATCCATAACGTGGACTCGCTCCAACACGGCAGCCTTGGTCTCGGGGTCTAACCGGGCCAAGATGGGCTTAATCTCCTTCTCTTCCACATCGGACCAGAAATCCTTGACATCCTCCATCCGAGCAGCCAGCTCATCCTCGACACCATGCTCCTTGGCCAGCTCAACCAGTTTTTGGCCCAAGAAAGACTCGGGGTGGGGAGGCAGAAGACAGTAGCTAGGCATAAGATACTCATACCATCTTGAGTCGCAGGTTTGGTAACAGCTGAAGGCGTTGTTCGTTCGCTGAATACCCCAAATGCGGATCTGTTCTGGGAGCTCGGCGTTGATCTTGTCCACAATATCCTCATCCTCAATAATAAGCTTCAGGCTGATGACATTTCCAGCCGCATGCACACCCTTATCCGTTCGAGCGCATCGAACAAGACTCGACTTCTTGGGGTCGTCGGCATTTGCCTTGGAAATAGCGCTTGCGGCGACAAATGCCTTGAATAGATCGGCCTCAATGGTCTTCTCGTTGCCATTGACTTGCATTCCCTTGTAACCAGTGCCGGCATATCCAATCATGACAGCAACTTTTCGCTTGGGTCGTCGCTCTTCGGCAGCAATCTCATCCTTGGAGAAGGGGTTGTTGCTCGACTCGCCATCGGCAGAATCACCCTTCTTATTCAGTTTGCGACGCTTGAACTCCTTAAATTCATCATTCTTCTTGCGCTTGTCACCCTTCTCACGACTAGTATCTGGTTAGCGCCGTTGGCAACTGTACTCATTTCACCAATTGAGGTGAGGACTTACCCCCATTCTCCGCGACCCTTCTCTGATCGTCCTTTGCCTGGCTTTCTGTGGTCATGGCGCGGGTTGCGACGATTCTCAGAGCCATTGTTGTTAGAGGCTTTGTTGTTGTCGCCCGAGGGACGAGACTCATTGGCGCTGCTCGCGGCAGGAGCTTCGTTATCTGCCGCCATGTTTGCATCGGTTGCGACAAATATGAAAGGTCGAGCTGACAGGAGAGAAAAGCTGTAGCTATCGCGCGGAACACTTTTTTTGGTCTGGTAGACGACGAGATTTTCGATGCGGGTGAGTGGGGCTTCCCGTTGCGGTCCCGGCGGGGGAGCTTTATGTGTGGGGGCTACCCTGGATCTCGACATCGTCGTGTAAGTGCTGTCGAAGTATCAATGTTTCCATCGTTGCTTTCAAGTTTCTGTTACTGCTCATAGCTTGCTTGGATAGTGATACTTATAAATGCTCTTGATTATTTTCCTCCTCTTTATTGGGTTAGATATTCATGCTATACTCATAGATAAAACAGAATTAATCTTTCATAGAATAATAGCTCTCCTATGCAAACACCATTCTTAAATTTATCCAAACCTAGACTTCATCTCAGGAACAGTAAATCTGCTATGGTAAGTGTCTATAGTAGCAGTCTTTTATAAAAAGTTATATGTCATATTTACCTAACGTAACGCAAGGCACAGAATCGTGGTGTGAACGTAGAAAGGATGTAGCATAGATAGCAGTCTGGTATTTCATACCTTAGAAACATAACGTTAACCAACAATGATGTTTTAACACAGCAAAATGAAACTCTTGACTTTAGAATGTGCTGCTATTACTACCGTCAGGTATCATTACTCGATTACTGCCAAGTTCTTCACTACGATGCGACCTGGCTATCATAATGATCATTACATGGAACACAGGAGGAAGAAGTGGTAGGCGAGCTATGCAAATACAACACTCTTCACCCGAGTGGGAGACTTGCCAAAGGCTTCGAGAGGGATTCAGTGGTGGTAAATGCATTTACTGATTTGATCATTACAACTGTTCAAATTTCCTTTCATTCCAAACTTCTATTGTACACATCCATTCGCCATCAAATAAACGCTTTCACGCTTTCATAACTCTTCTAATAGTTGGAGCTTCGACCAGTGTCAGAAGGGAGACCCTCCTCGTCACCAGGCTCCTGATAGGCACCACTGGGCTGGGCAGCACCTCGGGTACGCTCCTCGATGATGTTGCTTTCGTCGATAGCATCTTTATCATCGCGCTCTATAATTGTGTTAGAGAGAGTCCCGTACTAAGGTAAATGAGTTGAAAATACCAAGCTGAGCGTCAGTGTCGGCCTGCTCTCCGTCGACGGGATCTTCAACTCGATCGGAGTCGGACTGAACTGGGATGGGCTGTTCCTTCTCACCAGGGCGAGAAACGTAAGAGTCGTCCTGGAACTCAGCGGAGGGAGCATCTTGAAGACCGTCGGAAGACATGATGAAAGTTGTTGATGGAGTGTGAAAAGTGGTTGTGGTGTAAGTGGTGAGTTGCAGATGAGAGTGAATACTGAGTGATGTTGAATATATTCCTTTCTTCTCACTCGAGAAGGTCACTCATCTTATACGTTTAGTTTCTGCCCTTCAACTGAAAAAATATTCTCACCAAAGACGACTATTCCGTCATGGCCCGCAAGCAAAAGCATCTATCCATGACGACATTGATGGATAATCACTTCAATGAATCATCTCCTCAGGACCAACAGCACGGCTCGCTACTAGCCTTGATGCAAGCACTTCCGAGCCCGATCTTAGTGCCCCTGATCTTTTAATTGAAAACCTCGATCCGAGAGGTTAATCTCCAGATCAGTTGTCGTGTGGCTGGGCGATTGTGATGCAAGTGGCAAGCAACTAACCGCGACAGATTCGCGATTTACATGATCTTGACGCGTTAAGTGGTTTATTTGAACTGCAGTGGAGTTCGATCTTGAGTGCTGTTAATGAGACAACGGGAGAGTTGCATCAACGATCGATGATGCTGAGGTATTGCTAGCCTATGAATTGAGGTCAGTGCTTTGAGGGATAGATGATCTTTGGTGGAGTTTGAAAGGGAGATTGGCGTAAGAAGCAAAGTAAAGACGGAATCTGATGTGGCTATCCGTGAATTAGGGACATGATTAGATCATAGATGAAGTCATGTTTGTTGTGACGATGTCAGGGAGCTGAGGCCTACAGTAGCTTGACTTTTCAGGAACAGCGAGCTGAGGCTGAACTAGCGTCCAAGCTTCAGGGAGAAGTCAAGGGAGTCATAAACACCAAAAAAAACACAGATCACAATGAATGGTAACCAAGTGATAGAAAATGCAAAAAGAAACTCTTTGATGAGACTGGGACTCGAACCCAGGAGGATTGCTCCACCAGGAAATTGGTGTTAAGGTTAACCTTAACCTGGCGCCATAACCAACTCGGCCATCTCACCGAGGCTGTTGATGGGGCTTTTGGTGCTAATACCATATTATACACACATTGTGCATGCATATCTGAACTTAATTCTAGCTGGTAATCAGAAGGGTCGTGATCGTGTCAAAATGCATGTCAGATCTGTCATCGTCGATACTTGATGGAAAGGTTGCAGTGAGGCATGGATTATCTGACTGTATCACACATTCCAATCTGAAGCCCTTATGCCGAGTCCTCCGCTAATGGTGGTGATGTGCATCATCATCATCAATTCATGCACAATTCACATATTCACCGCTGAAGCATCTACAGTCTACATTGCGCAAGAGTCGGGGCAAACCCGACCTCAAGATTGCGCCCAGCTCAGTCTACGATGCAAAAGATCCTGATCTTGATTCCTCATCCATCTGCTATTATGGTGAGAATCAGATATCATCTCCCTTGCAAAACCTTCTAGCTGCATATTTGTGCCCGTTGGGCCGAGCCAGAAACACCGACGAGACAGGATGTTTTGCTTTGTTTCCCAATTTCGCCACACCGCCGTAGAATGTCGCGATACTCTCTGAAACAAGATTGCAGTGCGCCCAGAAGGACAAGGCAGGTAAGCAGGAAGCCTGTGGCTGAGGGCATCTATGGAAGCTGGCAGGGCCTATAAGGCTTCTATAGATGGCCTTGGACATGGGCACGTCCTGTGATCTGTGCGAAACACATGCATTCGAGTGGAAGAAAAAGTTCCAAGCCTGGTCAGTGGTGAGCCAGGATATGACGATCCTCCATCATGACACGTCAATGATTGACTGTGCAGAGTCCTGGATTGTAAGAACTAAGAAGAATGAGAGAGATGATGAACCAAGACCAAAACAGAAGCTTGGCCATGTAGAGGGGGCAACGTGAGTTCAAAAGGGTTCCCCTAGTAGCGAGAATCATGGCATCGCCAAATTCCATTTGCCAATCATGGGATTATGGTTCAGCGCCATGGTCATGCCTCTGATGATGTGCTCAGGGAGCAAAGTGAGCAACAAGGTCTCGACTTGGCTATATGATCAAACATTAATCATGAGTTAATGCCAGCAAGAAAACAAAGTAAATAAATCGCAAGATACGGAGGTCTCGGATCAAAGGAATTCTCCCTTTTCTTGCGTGATTGTTGATTAAGTGATGGTTTATCAGGGTTGAGTGGTTGATAAGCCGCCAGGGTGAAAATGAGTCGACTCGGATCTCGGGATGGCGAAAGATTCGTGATGACAAAGACAGTGACATGGGACCGAGACGAGGTTAATCGACATGGGAAAATCACATCATCTCAGGCGATAGATTCCAGAACAACAAACGACCTTGTCTATGGTGGAACTTGTCGAGGCGCATAGTATCTGGATTGGAGATGACTCTTAGGTATGAGTTTATCGCACATCGTGGCTGTCTGTGGCGTATATGCAAGATGGACAGCGGCCTATTAAAGAACGGGAAGTTAAAGAATGATCAGCTGCAGGCTTCAAGTCAAAGAGGGGCAGCGAAGTCAAAAGGAAGGCCAGACTGCCAGCCTAAGAGAAAAGAAGACGTAAAAAAGAGGAGACTTGGGAAGAGAATTCTGACGATGGGGTCTTGTTATGTAACAAAGAAGAGGATACGGCGGCACTTGAGGATCCATATTCTTTTCATCTGCCGACAACACCGAAAGTACTACGATGTAAGTCAACGTGAAGTGGATTACCGTATTCAACCAAGAGACCACCAGTAGCCAGTCTAGCCAGTGCCGTCCTTATTGCAGAAGGAGTTTTCTCTGCGCCATGGAGAGGGTCTCAAAGGGTCCAAGTCTAATTCAGTCATGCCCCGTCTATGCCCCGTTCTGGTGCATGACTTGGTAGAAGCCAAGTTGCGATAGCGTCAGATACCTTAATGATGCTGTGAGAGGTCGTGCCTTGTTCCTGACATGAGATTGATATTGAAATGCTCGAATTCCACATCAATTCTCATTGCGATGCTCCAGTGGCGAATGTCATCAACTTTGTATCTCTCAGCAGAGCCGCCATTTTGACTTACACCGACCGAGTGCCGTGTCTCAGACCCACTTTTGTTAGATCGGCCGCTGATAACGCCATTTGTGTCCCAAATTTGAAAGAGGTCCTGTGAGATGATTGAACAGAATCAACAAGGCCAGACGCCTCCAGGGCTCAAATCAGTGCGGACAAGCTGACAGGGGGGGTGCATGGCAATGTTATCTGGAATGGAAGGATGTGGTCGCACAAATGGATGAGAAGAGGAAGCTGAAAGATAACAGACCGATAGAGAGTGTCGTAGTGATAGGGATAGGGAATAACACTGATGTGAATTTGGTAGTCGCTATCTAGAACTTCAATTGGCCGACAGTCAAAGTTGAGGTCGTAGTGAAAGACCCTCTTTCCCTGTCATTCCCCCGCCATTTGGCCAGACAGTTGGGTTGGGTATTGGTAAAAAACGGGAATTTCTGGCACGAGTCGGCTCAGCTTAGACGGAAAGGAGGGGGCCCTCCCCGACGACCCGAACCATCTTTCTCTCAAGGTTGGCCAAACGTCACACTCGATTGGGTCCCATCCAATACTTTACCTTTTCACACCACAAGATTCTGAGGTGGGCGTCGACACTCGTTACCCTTTCGCAATCAGCCAACTCGAATCCTCTAGACAACCTTCGGAGACAAAAGAACAAATCACAACCTGTCTCACCTCCTTCCACAACCCAATTAGCGTCCTTTGGAGCCAAGAACAATCGGCATAGTCTTGTCGTACCGCCTCTTGACCGGGGGTCTAAGCTCGTGCTGCCGCTGGTACATAGCACGCCATCCACCAGTCACTTTGCCTCAGATCCCTTCCCAGAAGCTGTCTGCCACTCTTCCCCGGACCAGCCCTGCGGGTTACGATATCTCACCTTCTCATCGCGCGACTCCAATCTCCCACCCCCAGGCCCTTGCTTGTGTTTTACACTTTGGTACAGTACAGTACAGTCAGTACATACATACTTCTGTGCCTCAGAGTCTGCGCCTGCGCCATGGAAAGCCCCTCGCTCGTCAACGGCCATCGGCCCTCCTCCGATACTTCTGTCGCAGCCCCCGGTGCTTCAGCTCTTCTTCATTCTTCTATACCTACTTCGTCTTCTACTTCTCAACCTGCTTCCGCTACAATAACAAATCATACACATCGCCATGCTTCTGCGCCGTCCACAGAACTTGACTCATCCTCACCCCTTCCTCCTACAAACGGCCACTCTTTGAAAGTCTCCGACATCGACTCCGAACACCTCGACGACAACTCTTCCCAACAACCCTCTAAAAACAATTGCGATAGACACCGATCGGATCAAGAAATTAACCCACGTCTCGTCAAGATGCCTTCCGAATTGGTCGGCAAGACCGTCAGCCCGTTCCTTAAGGAACATATTCCTGGCCTCTATGCACCCTTTGGCAAGGCAAAGACAGCCATGCCTCTATCTCCCAGTCCCAACAATACCACTGCGATTCGAAAGAGAGATCCCAACAGCAAGTTTTGCTATCGTCACCGACCTGACTCAAAATGTCGACGCGCCGCCGACGAGACCAAAATGGGTTTCATTCAAACTGTAAGTCCAGTCCCCCCCCAACCTCAACCACTTCAACCACTTCTGCTTGTCGTGGCTCTTAGTTAAATACCCTGATAGGTTATGCTAACATTCATGAAGGAACTCAACAGCCTTTCATCCGCAGACCAAGAAGCCATTACTCACGTATGGTCTCTCTTTTCTGCTGCTCCATCAAAACATCGTGAGTTGATGCTACAGGGCATCATTACACAATGCTGCTTCCCCCAACTCTCTACTGTATCACGCGAGGTACAAGAACAACTCAAGATCGACTTCCTTGCCGCTCTTCCTACCGAACTCTCCTACAAGATCCTATCGTATCTCGACACAGTCTCTCTCTGCAAGGCCGCTCAAGTCAGCCGTAGATGGAGAAACCTCGCCGACGACGACGTGGTGTGGCACCGCATGTGCGAACAACACATTGATCGCAAATGTACCAAGTGCGGTTGGGGTCTGCCTCTTCTCGAGAAGAAAAAATTGATGGCGTGGAGCCGCCATCAACAAGTTCACCGACAACCGAATGCCGCCGACGTGGTAGAGATCGACGATGAGGCTGAGACACAATCGAGCGATTCACGAAAACGACAAGCCGACGACGAACACCAACATGATGATCGAGTTGCCAAACGCTCTCGTGTGAACAACGGAGAAAAGTCAAGACAACAGCTTGAGCAAGAACGGAAGTTTCGACCATGGAAAGACGTTTATCGCGACCGTTTCAAGGTGGGGTACAACTGGAAGACTGGTCGTTGCTCCATAAAGACCTTCAAAGGTCATGAGAATGGCGTTACTTGTCTCCAGTTTGACGACAACATCCTTGCAACAGGTTCCTATGATACGACCATCAAGATTTGGAACATCGAGACTGGAGAAGTTATGCGCACGCTCCGAGGACACACTTCGGCAGTTCGCACTCTTCAGTTTGACGACTCCAAGTTGATTAGTGGCAGCTTTGACAAGACCATCAAGATTTGGAACTGGCAAACAGGAGAGTGTTTGAACACACTCCAATGTCATACCGAGGGTGTATTGTCAGTCCACTACGACGGGTGTACTCTGGCATCTGGCTCCATCGATAAGACCGTCAAGGTGTTCAGCTTTGATACCAAACAAACATTCTGTCTTCGAGGTCATACTGACTGGGTCAACCACGTGCGAATTGACTCGCCCTCCCGTGTCGTCTTTTCAGCATCGGATGATCTTTCGGTCAAGCTTTGGGACATCGATTCAAAGCAGTGTATCAAGACATTCCTTGGCCATGTTGGTCAGGTCCAGCAAGTTCTCCTGATGCCCGCTGACTTTGAGCCTGATGAAGTGCCTCAGCTGGATACCACAGATACTGCATCTGTGTCCAGTGGCCGAAGTAACAGCCCCCCTGCAGCGACTGCCGAGCAGCCTGTCGATGCTCGGGCGGCTTATGGCTCGGGTTTCACATCCGACCCCGACCGTCCGCTGCCCCCGCGCTACATGCTCACTGGTGGATTGGACAACACAGTCCGCTTGTGGGACACTACCACTGGCAAGTGCATCCGCAGCATGTTTGGCCACGTTGAGGGCATCTGGGGCCTTGTTGGTGACACTCTTCGTGTGGTCACAGGGGCTAATGACTCCATGACCAAGATCTGGGAACCTCGCTCTGGAAAGTGTGAGCGGAGCTTTACTGGCCATGCCGGCCCAGTCACCTGTGTTGGTTTGAGTGACAGCCGCATGGCAAGTGGCAGTGAAGATGGCGAGGTGCGGTTGTACAGCTTTGAGGGAGAACGTGTCGAAGAGCGTGGCACTCCTTCATAAGCACCATCTACAGGGGCACTTCATCTGTAGATGATGTCCCTTTGTGAAACATTTATGACATTCCAAGATACCAAACAGCGTTTTACGCGAAAAGCCACATGTGGCACAACTCGTTTTCTATCTTCTTTTTCTGGCCAAGTCTGGTCTTCAACATATCAAAGGGTAGCGGGAGTATTTACAACGCGACGGGCAGTCGCTTTTACAGAATTTGGGTGCATTTATAGGGTTTTGGGGAATGGATAAGTCCTCAGGTTATCTGTACTGAGTCAACGGTCAAAAGTCCCTGGGAGTTCTAGGTTTGGGATTGGTATAACACGGCGCTTCCGAGGCGAATTCTTTCACAAGAGTATGATGAAGGCATCAACAATGAGTTTGGCAGGGGATGAGTTATATAGGCTAGTGATGAGCTTAACCTCCAGACTAGAATGATGTGGAAAATTGTTGATTAAGATGTGTCTTGTAAAGTGGTATAAGTGAAATTGGTCTCTTAGCACCGAAGTAGTTTGCTGGAGCTCCAATCACCCATGCTGCCTCATCAACCGACCCCTGGTTTCTGATTCACGTTTACAAAATCACAAAAGATTTAAATACATATTTACAATTAATATGACTGAGTGCAGCCACAGACAATTCTCATAATTTTACTAAACCATAGTCTGATGCAACGAAAGATACAATCTGTAGATGCATTTGTCAGATGGGCACATGCGTATAAAGATGACCCCAGGAGGCACGCTCTCCATGACCAAACGGACTTGCGGTTTTGTTTTATATAATTAAGGCTATGACGTAAAGGCCGGTAATGGGGGGCTGTTCTGTTCCAGGACCTATGACGGACGGATATGAAGACCTCGCAAGTTGGATACAGGCCTCCATGATTATATATGGCCTAGGATGAATTTGAACAACAACCTTGACCGACTCACTGATCTGAATGTGACTACTTATAAGATACTCCGCTGATGACTGTAGATGGAAAGGAGTCATTGCCACTGAGGAAGTGCAAGAACATTCTTTGATAGCTGTCTGATGGACGACATCATTGCAATGACGAGACCAACTTCTTTTATTACGTATCATATATCATTAACGGACTACGATAAAGAGCTACATACTCATAAAGAACAGCTGTGGTCAACCTGATTACATATTGCAGAATAGGAATGTCACATAAACGATAGTAGAGCCATTCATCACAAATCTATTCAACGTTAAGCACTATACCATTGAAAGCATTGGCAAGATATCTCAAGTTCATACCAAAGATGCTGTATAACTCCAGCTACTAAAGCCCGTTTGCATATATGCTAGTGCCCATCTTGAAGAAGAATGTGCATTCGTATGTCCACCCGTCTGCATACCCACCTCCGCTATTGTATCTCTTTGACTCTTCCCGCCGGTGTCAGTAAACTGAAGTATTGTTGCCTTTTGCAAACGACTTCCCTCCCTTTGAACAACGATAAAACATCGCACAAACTGTGATGAGTCTCGGATCTGAAAAACTATAAATTCGAATATTGGAACTATTCTT